CTCGGTTGGGTTATTCCATCACATGTGAATCTGCTATATTCTACTTTAATGATCAAATTGGCAATTGACGAAACGAGGGGCGAAATTATTTTGACTAAATCTATACTAATATATAAAGCTAAAGAGTTTGTTTGTTTGAATGTTTGAACGCTCTAATCTTAGGAAGTACTGATTCGTTTTTTTCGTTTTGGGTAGGGCATTTATCGAGGAAGGCTATAGGCTATATAACACATCGTGACGTGAATAATAGGAGCGGAAGAAACAGCGGGAAATGTAAAAAAAACGGGGAAAATTATTCATTTTAGAGGGTTTCCAATACGTTATCCTACGCTGCGAAAACGGTTAAAGATACCCAAAAAATATTTATGAATTATTTATTCTTTTTAAAGAACCTAAAAAAAAATGCTGTACACTAGCTATATGTCTAAATTTTGAGAATAACTGGGAGACGCGGGCTCGTTGCGTAACAGAATTCATAAAGATAAGGTTTGCAAAAACAAATTTGGATGTTCAAAGTAACTATTCTACGCGGACGAAGTTGCTAACGCAGCCAATAAGGTGAAGGTAATATGAAAACTAACCTAACATGGGTGACTGCATGCTGCCATTTTCCCCCTTTTAAATTAATCTATTTCGTTAGACCTGAAATGTGAACCCTGGACCATCGGAAGTCTGTAACCAAGAAACCAGCAGTCTTCGCCATATAATTGCCAGCAATCATTGACTCGCATGACAAATTATCCAGGCTTCCGCTGACGGTAGTCTAGTTATGTAAGGAAGTCGGAATAGCCTTCGGTCGTTTATAATTATTACAAATGCGTATTGCGTTTTGAGAACGTAGTGTTCCTTAAGTGTGGTATATCTTTAACACTTTAATATTTTAATTTACTTTAATATTATTTCGACTAGCAATGTATTGCTTTGATTGGCTAATGACATTGTTTCGTGGGTTCGATTCCCATCAGGTCCAATATCTTTCTAATTTAAAATTTTTCTAAAACATGCTAGAAATCTAGATTTTAAATGGGTGGTAGGGATATACATTCCGTCCGGGTCTGTGCGCTAAATCGCGTTTCGGTTACATTCTGTGGATTTCCGAATATCCGAAGCCAAAATAGGTCGATAGCACATCTTGTTTAGATGCTATAGCCTGGAGTATAACCACCAACCATCAAGTGAATCTTATGCCATGTCTCTCCTCCTCTACCATTAACAAAATATTCCATAGCTAAATTGGTTAAAGCAACAGCACGGAACGCTATGGATGCCGGTTCAAGACCCGTCCGTGTTGTATGTTTTTTCTCCATTTATAATCTAGTTTTTAATATATAGTGTTTTAAACCGTTAAAGTATTATATTAAAATATGTACTACGCGCGTAAACTACAGACAGTGTTTAATAAGCTTATCGTCTTAACGAAATCGTATATTTTCTTCGCTATGCGCTTGCGCAATGAAATTAAGTTCTATTGTTCAGTGTTTCGAAACGACATGGATCTGCATTTATATTATCAGTGCAGCTAATGCTGTGTTGTAGATAAGAAAGGGCGCGTTTGAATCTAGCCTTCAGGCACCTGACCTGGGCAGGTACGTGAACTTTGCACTTTGATGCTCTTTAGTTATTACAGAGTTAGATTATTAGATATAGAATAATCCATACTAGTGTATTTTAGTGTACCTTCGAGATCCAAATACTCTACCTCGTAGTCAGATGCACAAAACACTAGACCAAAGCCAATTAAAGGAAAATATGTTTGTAAAAAAATTAAAAAATCAAGTCGATACATACTAATATTCTAAAGCAAAAAAATTTGTTTGATTGAAGGCGCTAATCTCAGAAACTACAGGATCAAACTGAAAAACTTTTTTGTTTTGGTGAGAACATTTATCTGGGAAGGCTTTAGACAATACAATATCAGACTGCGAGCAATAGGAGCGAGCGACGAGAAATGTGGGAAATTATCCATCTTTGTGGGCTGGCGTTGCATGCGCAAACAAAAAAAAAACTGTGTATGAAATGATTCCTTAAACGATCTAAAGAAATATCTTAGACATTTGAAAACTTTATTATTTTTTACATGTTATTGTACATGAAGGCGCTATCCGGCATCGTCAGCAACAGCACGGAACGCTGACGATGCCAGTTCAAGTCCTGCCCGAGTCGAAATTTTTTTCAATTTATTTTCGATTTTTAAAATATCTTAGACAGTCTGTCTTTTAAGATAAAAACGAAGGGATTTGGTCGAGGTCATGGGTAACAACTATATTTAATAAAGCTGAGGAGGTGGTTTGGAAAAACAAATGTTGATGTCCAAAATAACTATTCCACGCGGACAAAGTCGCTGACACAGCTAGTTATAACCCGATGAACATAACTTAGCTATGTTTGCTCCTTATCAAGAGAGCCGTCACGCGACATATTTCATACTTACTACGTTTACCATAACTAATTTTAATACCTATTCTTAACTCCGCAATACTACAAGAGAAATAAATGAAATATGTCCACTTCGGGCTACTAGCGGAGGATAGACAAACACGGGATTCACTTGATGATAGGTGAAACACCTCAGCCTATGGCATCTAAACAAGATGCGCGGTCGACCTATTTTGGCTCCGGATATTCGTTTTAAACTTGATAATAATTGTTTTTTGACTATACATCCCTATTAGATAAAATATTTATTTATTTAGATATATCTACTAACAGGCGCAATGCAATGCAACAGTGGCTTACGACGAGCCGCCGCCGCGGATTCTTCGGATTTTTAGACCTATTTAGTTATACTTATGTTGGTATTTATTTATCAAACGGTGTCCAAGATTTCAAAAATTTCATACAATTTTGACAAAAAATATAACCGTGGTATAAAAACTATTGGAATGGATTTTGCTACTGATTTTGAACAAACTACTTTCAGGTTTCGCATGAAGTAGGAATAAATTGTATATTAAAATTTCATAACACAGAATTAACTTGCGCGAGAGTTGCAAGTTACTGCGGTGTAACCAATACGTTGAAAAAAATGGACAATGACGTGTAGCTCTTGGTAGCTCAATTGGTTAGAACAACAGCAAGGAACGCTGGGGATGCCGATTCCTGGCAAGTCCTGCTCGAGTTGTAATTCTTTAATTTTATCATTAATTTTTAATATACAAAATAAACATTTATATATATTTGTGAGTTCAGCCCAAGGACTGTAGAAAAAGGGGTAAGTATCTGTAGTTTCAGTCTTCTGTACCTACTGCTGCTCTGTGGGGGCAGATTCAAGTCAATTCCAAATTCAAAAAGATTCCTTGTCAAACATTTTTTCAATCTAAATAAATTTGAAATTTTTATAATGCCATCATGATCAATAAAATGGGAACAATATTAAAGTTTTCACGTCATCTTCTACCTACTTGTGATATAGCATAGAATTGAGTATTAACCAGTATCAATGACATAACTATTTCTGTCAATCAAGCGATTATATAAAGCCGTATTTCTAGCTACTTGATCACGCACCAAACGATCGCTTGGCTACTAGTGCGGACCGTTACGTAGCGATGTTATCTGTTGATGGAAAATATCGATAAATATTTTTAACATAATTTAAATCGTCTTAAATCTTTTTATAACAGATTAAGGAGAACACCTTCGTTTTTAGTCAGGCCCACGAGCTTATTAGTAAACATTGAGATAATATATGACATTAATAATCGAAAATAAGGGCAGGACTGCTCTAACCAATTGTATTACCGAGTCGATAGCTCAGTTGGTTTAAGCAGCACGAAACGCTGACAATGCCGGTTCAAGTTCTGCCCGAGTTGTAAATTTCTAAAATTTATTTTCATTTTTTAATTTATATAGTACAATCATATGCACAAATATATGACATTGAAAATTAAAAACTATTACGGTAATTTATTTGGAATCACATTCCTATTATATAAAGCTGTGTTATTTTTTCCATATATATAGGCATATTTATAAAAATATCGATAATAGATTATAGAACTATTTGGACCTCAAAAAAGGAAGCTTTTTCTATCTTAGACGATAAAAGTATCGATATGGTTTGACAATTTTGTTTATAACGAAAGAAACATTTTATCGATAATTCGTTACATCACATGCCTAGTTAGCCTTAGCTAGGACCGTGCACTGACCGACAATGGGGACAGCAACGCATTCGCGCACGCAATCTTACGCATATTAATATAATAATTTAGTACTAGAACATATGTTACAATCGCTTAGAACAAATCGATATATTATAACTAGATGCGTGATTTCTACATTTTAGTAATATTAGAAATACGAAAATCATTATGTATTTAAGTTGTTAATAGATGTGCATCGTTGTGTTAATATTGTTACTTGATATTTTTATTAGCTGACTGATTTTATATTTTCCGGTAGCTAATACTTCCTGAAGTAGTTATGTAGAACTTGATACATAATAGTAGAAATGTACTGTGTGGTTCGGCAAACTCATTTGTTCTTTGGCAGAAATTTTTGGCTAATAATAAATAAGCAATACAATGCGTATAGAATTATGCATTTTCTTAATTTATAGGTAAATTTAATAATTGTCCAATAGGAGTGGGAAATGTAGAAAAAACGGGCAAAAATATTCATCTTTGAGAGTTTCCGGTAATCCGGTGCCGGATGATCTAAAAAAATATCGACGACAGTAGGTATATGTCTTTTAAGAAGAACGACGGGAAAGGACCCGACCGACGTCGTGGGTAACAGCTTAAGTTTATAAAGGGGAAGGGGTTTGCAAAAACGAATTTGGATGCCCAAATAACGATTTTCGTGGACGAAGTCGCTGACACAGCTAGTAATTTTAAAAGCTGAGGAGGTTGATGCAAAAACAAATAATATCATGCTCATAATACCTATTATTCAGAAAGTTTTTGCTACTCAGGCGCAGGTCCTCTTGCATTAATCTTTCACATATTGAACCAATGTCAAATAACTTACAACACATGAAGTAACATAATATGAAAACAATGCGTAAGCGTTTTTTGTTGACCGCGGAAACCTATTGTTGAGTTGGGAATTATTGTAATTGTTAATTGTTACTGTGCTTATATTAATATGCAATCGTTTCTTGTTTGTTCGTGAATGTTTTATGTATGAGGAATAAAAAATAAATGCCCAAATATGTACATTCTGAACTAAGTGATGGTGATACTCGTTGGTATTGAAATAAACATTTTTCCCAAAAACTACTAAAAATATAATTAAACTACTTTTTACCCTAAAACAACAAAGAAAAGATCCATCCAGTACTTTCAGTGATCTTCGTATATAGAAGAATCCTCTTTTATCAATAGCATCTAAGACGGGTGCGCTGTCGACCTATTTTAGCTTTGGATAATCGGAAATCCACAGACTGAAACCGAAACGAGATTTAACTTGACGCTTTTTTCATCTGTGGAAGGTGGTTCGTTACCCGAAATTCCGATATTTATACCACTCATTTAATATCCAGATTTCCAGACGAAGCCCAACATGTTTCAGACAAACCATTACTGTATTATGCTTGTGTATTAAGTACATCTAAGCAAGAGGCTTTGATTTAAAATAAACAAGAATATTGAACATAATTATAAATAGCTTTATAGTCTCTTAGAAAACACGACAAAAATAGCGTGACGGACTGAAAGAGTAATTGTATATAATCAAGAGGATAAAGCCTTCACCCCGATGAAACAAAAGCGCCATCTTGTTAAACGGATGGACCTTGGCATATAACCGATGACTGAAGTTTAATAAGAGAGTGTCATAGTCTTCATCACAATACCAATAAAAATCTTTTAAAACAATACTTCAGCATACATTCCTTTCAAAGGCACGTTGGTCTAATAGTTAATAATCAATGGGTCGCGGGTTCGTTTCCTGTTGGGACCAACATTTTTCTAGTCAAAGCATAAGGTTTTTGAAAGATTTGGTCTTTTGGATATTAAATGGATGGCTAGAGTATCCGTCCGGATCACGAACGGAGCCTCTAAAAAAGAAAATGTCATGAAGTTTATTAAGGATTTACTCTGTAGGGTCCCCAATTATTAAAAACTAAAATAGGCCGACAACGCATCTTGTTGGTGTGTAACATAGTTGAAGTATTTTCCTTCCATCAATTGTAACTCATCCCAAACATCTCGTTTCCGCTTCAGTCTGTATCTGTGGTTAATCGTATCCAAAGCCAAACTAGATCGACAGCGCATTTTGTATGACGCGGTATTTTACCTTCCATCAAAATGAATGAAATAATAAAAAAGAAGACGAATTTTCTAAAATAAAATTTAATTTCTTGAAACTGGTGCTTTTATTTCAATTAGAAAGGCACGATGTTCGTAGAATGTGGTTTAAATCAAATAACTCGTAGAGGTAATAAAGGTGACGTATCATTCCAGGCTCAGCACGACGGACAACGACGCAAAGCAGTACGAATGCGACCAGGGACTCGCAACTCCTGTCTCTTCTCGCGGCGAGACGAAGACAGCTGCTTACAGGGAGACTTACGACTCATATCAACAACCTCGCCGCGATAGCCCAAAAACCCTATAAGTGAGTGACCGCTTCTCTAACTTACATACAATGATTAGTGCTTTTAAATTAGTTTAAACTAAGAAAAAGAAAATAAAAAACATAACAGTAAAAATATATCTTTCTAAGAGGTGTCTTAAGTAGACAAAACTTATAATTTCATTTTCTCTTTTTCAGAAGCAACACCACTTTCGCACAATTGGAAATTCGTGATGCAAACAATTCCGTCGTTAAAAGAGTTACATTTGATAATTCAAGTAATGAAGCCATTGCGCCCACCTTGAAACTTGTCACCCATGACGGTTTTAAAGAAACGCGACAAGACATTAAACCTCATGAAATTAGACATTTGTTTATACCGAGGCTCTACCAGGACAGTAAGAGCAGAGGTGGTTTCCTTAATAACCGAAGAAATACCAAGAATGCAGCAGAAGTAAAGACTGAAAGTACTTTAGTCTATATCCCACCAGAAAAGGGGGAAAACTTAGATAAAGGCGTTGAATTAGATCCAGAAGAAGAATTCCAAGTTGATGAATCTAATCATGGACTGTATTTGTTAAACTACTCAGATACCGACAATGTAACGCAAAGCCCATCTATTAATTTAAATGAGACTAAAAATAGTGCCGACATTAAAAATTCTACAATGCTGGTTGTAGAAACAACGTCAATAAAAAATGAAGAAAATGATAATACAACAACTCAAATTAATGACTCAGAAAAAGAAAAGGCCGAGTCAAATGTCATAGCTAATAGCACCGACGTAATAAATACGAAACTTATTAAAATAGATCCAGATAAGAGTAATCAAACGCTCTTTATGTCCGAAGAGATTTATAATCATTTTAGACCACTTGAAACAGAGTTACCAGATGAGGAAATGGCACCATTTATTTATTTCGGTCAAAAAATAGGAGGCCAAAGTATAAATGATAATCTCACTAACTCACCAACGTTATCGGCTTCTACCAAATCAGTTAATTTTATAGTAGCACCATCGGAAAAGAGAAAATTTAATTCTAGATATTCTGCTACTGAAAAGTATAAAAACACAAGTGCTGGAGAAGAAGAAATTAATGAAGATATGGATGTATCCGTTGTCAAAAATGTAATAGAAAAGAACAAAATACGCAATACAGTTAAAGGCCCTGCTCCAGCACGGCACGTGGGTTTGGTTAACGCATACCGAAAGTATCCAAGTTCCACATCTAAGCCTCAGGACATAGATCAGCCTAACAATACAACCGACCCTGTATTGGAAGATCTAACATTAAATAATACAAATAATGTGAATCAATTGAATGATACGCTAATATTAACTGAAAATGTTAATGAAACTCTGTCTAGTGAAAGTAACCGAACAACAACACCTCTTCCAATTCGAAACTTTACTCGAAATTATTTTAACTTACGACGACGACCCTCCAAAATCACTACGCTTTTAAGTACTGAAAGCAGCTTAATTCCTGAAGTTAATACAACCACAGAGAAGGCTTCCACCTCCGTCTATACCGCTGTCGTTACATCTGTTTCAATTACATCATCTGTAAAAGGACATAATAAAACAGATCCCCTAGTTACTGAGCCTGAAAATAGTACTGCTATTGAAAATCTTGATGATAATTCTAATATAACAGATCAAATTATGATATTTTTTAATGACACCGAGACGACACCAATACCGACGACAACTACTACTACAACGACGACTACGACAAGTACTGCACTCCCTACAACAACAGTGACATCGACAACGACTAAACCGCACAGATATAGAATAAGAATCAGAACTACAACGCCTGAGAATCGCATTCGTAACACGACTATCACTTATTCATTCAAACCACTTGAGCCCGCAGCGACCAGTGAAAAGTATAGCGGAGATCTTAAAACGGAATCCAGTACTTCGAAGATATCAGAGAGACTAGCAAATCTCTTCCGACAAAACGATTATGATAACGTCACGAATGGTATCACAGTACGGCCGAAAAATATTCTAAGGAGACGTAGACCAACGACAACTTCGACCACGTCAACGACTTCTAGCACTACCGTTAGACCCACTATAGTCTTCTTTGAGGAAACAACGCTGCCTCTTAGTGCTTCTACATTCTCTCCAATAACTACCCCAACAATTAATCCGGAAACGACTTCTTTAAAAACATTAGTAGTAACTTCTAAATCATCTACCGGTTCCAAAACTCTTCCTCTCTCCAACAATACTGTAATAGATCACAAAACAGTGCTTAATCTCACTCGAGTGAAAAACGATACAAATGACATCCAAAATGAAGTTGTTATAGAAGCTGAAAAGACATACACGGCGTCTTACGTGTTGGCCGGTCTGGGTTTTCTTCCAGTGATAGCTGTAGTGGGTTTTGTTTTGCGAAACATTCTTAACAAGAAAACGAAGGAGATCGATACAGACTACGAGGGTTACTTCGACGATGGAGGTGATGTTAAAAAAGAGTCTCAAATCACGCCCGTGGCCCGACCACCTCTACCTACGCCTACGAAACCTGACCAAAAGTGGGAGTTCCCTAGAAATAAACTGAGGCTGCAGACTTTATTGGGTCAAGGGAATTTCGGGCAGGTAGGTAAAATTTTGTAAGAATCTTACAATTTACGAAAAAATATTTTGTTGTATTCTTGCAAAACATTTACAGTTGATCGTGTTAACTAAAATATATCTATATTATGTGCCTATATAAGCTAAAAAGCTAAAAAGTTTGTTTGTTTGATCTCCCTCAGGATTCGAATCGAAAAATTTCTTTTTGTGTTGGTTGGAGTATTTGTCGAGGAAGGCTTTAGGCTATAAAATACGAGTCTGCGAACGATAAAAAAAGAGGAAAATGTGAAATAAAAGGGAAAAATTCTTTGAGAGCTTCCGTTGCTTCGAAAACGGTTTAAGCAACCAAAAAATATGTATGATAGAATAATTTTTCTCACCATACTCTAAAAAAATTTTCGTGACAGTATATGTCTAACTTTTAAGATAAACTCACAAGATCCGTTTTATGGCAGTCAAAGTTTGCTCGAAATGCTTTATATGGCAAAAGAAGTCAGCTAGTTTTCGATACATTTAAGACACCAGTAAAACCTTATATTCGGTGATATTTTCAGGTGTGGAAAGCTGAAGCGGATGACCTAAATGGTCATGACGGATTGACTAGACTAGTAGCCGTGAAAACCATTAAAGAATCTGCTTCGCAAAAGGAGAAACAAGAGCTTCTACATGAGATATACATCATGCAAAAGATAGGGACACATCCTAATGTTGTAACTCTTCTCGCTTGTTGTACAGAACAAGGTAAACTTCATATTAATTTAAATAATCAAAGTAGCTTTTTTATAGATTGATAGCTTTCAGGGACAAAACTAACCAATATTAATTCAAAGGTATGGTAAAAAATAATGACTACTAGCTATGAATACTAGCTTTGCTATTAGTACAATATTATAGTTAATTATATAAGGCTTTTGCGGCCATTTTGTAGACAAAAATATTTGTACAATTATTTTAGATTAATTATTTACAGTAAATAAAAAGGACAAAATTATAATTATAATTTTTGTATCAGGCCGCTATAGGCAGAGTAGCCCAACTGCAATTTTATAACTTGACTTATTTATATTTTTATAGTCAAAAAATGTTAATCTACAAGAATACCGTGCCCGAAAATTTTGAACATATTTTTTACACAAATAATAGTACAATTAATTTTCGCCTAAGTTAATTGCGCATTTTTATTTTCCACCTTATTAAATATCACGTTTTTTGTTATTAGGCCACTCTGCCTCGAGCAGCCTCATATAATTTTTATTATCTAAATATATATTTAGTCAGTATGAGATATTACTCTATAATGATTTAATTTCTTTTTAACTTGACCACGCATTATGAAATGGTACTCACTTGCAATTTTTGTCTATGTTAAAAAAAATATTCAGTGTTTCAAGAATTTTTCAAAGTTTTCAGTCCTAACATCCGATTTGTATGGCCTATTTCCAGAACCCTATCTCTTGATTATGGAGTATGTAATGTGTGGTAAGCTCCTTACTTACCTGCGGGAGCGTCGATCAAGACCAGATAGATTCAGTGGCAGTGGTGCGATTACTTCGAGAGATCTCACTGTCTTCGCCTATTGTGTTGCGAGAGGAATGGACTACATCGCGTCTAAAGGAGTAAGTATAAAATACGCCTTTTCACGGGTTCCTTGGGCGAATGGTAGCAATCTATAGCAAATAATGGATTAGACCCTTATCCGGTCCATCATTCTAATCAATTTATAGAATTAGAATAGATATGTTTACTTAAATCCACAAAATTTACAATCAACACTTTTTCTAACAAACATAATAAAGAATACAAATGTAATTTGAAATTAAATCTATACACTAATCTTCGGGACTAGTAATGGGAATTGAAAAATGATTTATCTGTTGGTTAAAACATTTTTCGAGGAAGACTATAGGATTTACCATTGCGCTTCTACTAACAGAAGCGGAGAAACATTTTCCGCCGCGAAAACGGTTCAAGAAATCAAAAAAAATATGTATAAAAGAACGATTTCTCTGTAAATGACCTAAAAAAATATTCCGGACAGTATAATATCTTTTAAGATTAACTTGCAAGAACTACGGGATGCGGACGACATCGTGGCTAACAGGTTGAACAGAAAGTGTATAAAACATTTAACAAATTTTTATGAGCGGACGAAGTCGCTGACACAGCTTGTATGCCTATATAGTTGCCACTGACAGGGAAGCAACAGCGTTGGGACCAGTATCCCAAGACTGATATTCTGCCCCTTCAGAGGTCGAGCGACACGAGCGAAATCGTCATACGTTTCGATTATACATTGAAATTGTAACAAACTCTTTTGCATATGCAAGTTCAAATAGCTAAATCTATAAACGTTCATAAGTAAAATTACTTATGTCCCTAGAAAGTTTTTTCTAAAACACTGACGTCATCGGGAAATCTTGTAATTCTATGGTAAATCCGTCCAGGTAACGAACCACCATCCACAGATGATAAAGCCAAATTCAAATGCGTTTCGGTTATAGTATGTAGATTACTACATCCCGAAAGCCAACATAGATCAACAGCACATCTCGTTGAGATTGTTTAGCCTTACAAATCTAAACGTTTATAAAGCATCGTATCTAAGACTTACAACATTAGAGAAGTAAGATCTACTCCCAGTTATTGTAACGATAGAGAGCTCATATTAATCCCAATGATCACTAATTTCAGATCGTACATCGAGATCTAGCAGCGAGAAACGTTCTAGTGGATCACAATAAGCTTTGCAAAATTGCTGACTTCGGAATGTCGCGTTGCGCCGGCGCATCTGCTCGGACATCGCGCGGAGCTCTGCCTGTGAGATGGATGGCCCCAGAAGCATTACTGTATAACGTGTATAGCCACCACACAGATGTATGGGCTTTCGGGATTACTCTGTGGGAGATAGTGACGCTAGGTATTTTTAGACTGTTATCATGCTTTTTTATCTATGTCAATGTATAAATTAAACACTAACACTGGGAACACTGCGTCATGCCATCATGTGCAATAACTCATGTAAAATTTTAAAGTTGCCAAATATCAAAATAGATTAGAGTATAATAACTTATTGCAATGTTTCTTAATAGCACTACATCGTCCAGAGATTTTTATTTTTTATTTCCATCAATAAAAACAAAAATCTTCTGTCAACTGCAGTAGAATCACAATATCGTAACTTAATAATTATAATCATTAATCATTTACTCCGGATCGTCATCCATAGCTTTACGATCGTATATATGTTTTATAACAAAAAGCGACTTAAAGAAAAGTTAAAGCAAATAATTTATGCTTGAAATATTTAATATTTTTTATATGTTATGCTTTTATATGTTGATTTAAAATTATATCGTGCACATGATGACACTATATAATTTTAAAATCGAGAATAAATTGAAAAAGTTTTTGAAAATATTTGTCCTACTCGAATTTTTTTTCAATTTATTTTCGATGTTTAAACTTTCATATATTTCTTATGTGATTGCCCATGACGGCGCTATATAAATTAAAAAACGATTTTTTTTTTTTTTAATACGACTCGTGTTAAGAGCAACAGCACGAAACGCTGAGTATGCCGGTTAGGGTCCTGCCCGAGTCAGAACTTTTTTTAATTTAAAATCGATTTTTATTTAATACTATATGCCCCAATATAATTACAACTAACGGTAATTCTTTAAAACTTTTTTAATAAGTGAATCAAATGTTGCCACAATCGAGTCTCGTGTGACGTCGCATTTCCTATTATATAGGCAGTGGATCCTTATTTGATTAGTTTTCGAATGAATAAAATACATTATTTGAAATTAAATTACACTTCTGTAGATTAAATTGCACGAGAAAGCATGACAATGACAATAGGTCACATGACACTGCCGAGTCATGACACTTTCACTACTTTTACGTCACTTTTAATTTGTCATCTTGTCATGTGTCTGGAATTGCAGTGTCATGGTTTTTTAATTCGCTTTTTACCGCTACTTAAAGTACTTGCATAACACGTAAAGGTCAAGTTGTATTTTTTATCTAAAGATATTTAATGATGACGGTTTAATCTATACTAATATATAAAGCGGTACAGTTTGTTTGTTTGAATGCGCTATCTCAGGAACATATTACCGTTTCGGATTGAAACATTATTTCTGTGTTAGTTAGAGCATTTTTCGCGGAATACTGAAGGCGGCGACAGAAAACGGGGAAAATTTGTCATCCTTGTGGGTATCCGTTGGGTACGTTGCGAAATCTATCTATATCGGTATCTCGTACTTCTCTGCTTCTGTCTGTGGTTAAGGCGAATATTACACATTTAAATAAAACACTTTACCGGTTTGCAGCAGCCGTGGTCACGGGGGGAAAGCATCCGAAACGTCCGGCCGTAGTTAAAATAATTTTTAAATAAGTTTAACTAATATATATCGCGTTTTAAACAGTTAAAGTGTTTTATTTAAATGTGTACTACTCGCGTGAGTACAAACAGTATTTAATTACAATTTACTACGACTACAATAGCATTTTGTTATAATCAGATAAAATGTAATAACATTGTTTATCTAGGGATATAAGGCAAGGCCTCGGTTGAAGCGTTGTCCAAGCTTGACAGTAGGTTTTTATTATTTTGGTTATCTTTAATAATAAAACTCTCTTCCCAGGTTCAACGCCATACGCTGCCATGTCTGGGCGTGAAGTACTTACAGCTGTAACCGAAGGCTACCGGCTGGAGCGACCACCACACTGCAAACCTCAACTGTACCGCGCAATGCATTCCTGCTGGCACGCGGATCCGAACCAACGACCCTCGTTCGCAGAACTCAAGTCGCAGCTAGCAGATCTCTTAGACAATGAGCCGTCGGAGGGAAACTATGTAGACTTGGATTCGTTCTATCAGGAATCTTCAGTTTATAGTGATCCATCAGCTATTATCAACGATGATGATGGATTGTCAGCTGAATATGATAGAGAGAGGCGGGTGTTTAGAGAGTGAGTATCTATATTTTTTTAGACTGATAGAGGAGGACAGACAATCCTAGGGTGGACTTGATGGTGGATGGTAGATTTTTAATGGCTGGAGTATTTCACCTACCGTCAAGTTAACCCCGTTTGAAACGGAACTGATGCTGAAAGTTGCTCTCTATATCGGTGCTTGGAAAAACCCCTGCGTATACATTTTTAATTTTTAATTAAATTACAGATTAAAAAACGGCCCAGCTAAATTCGATAACCGAGCGTTCAGCCTACGAGACGAAGAGATGAGGAACAAGTTCGGTATCGGTACACCCCGGATGGGGGGGTTCGGCATCCGTGACCTCCCCTTCGACCGCAACTTTTCCGACGGCGATTTCAACGATAGAAATTTCCCCGACAACAATTTCCCCGAACGAAATTTCCCAGACAATAACTTTAACGATCCTAACTTCGAACGCAAAGAGGGTAAACTATCTACGTCCAGTTTCCACAGGGATAGGGAGAGGGAGAACCCGCTCGTCAGTAGGAATAGTTTCAACGGTTTTCCCCGGATCAATCAGCACTTCCAAATGACCCCGGATGGGAGGAATAAAAGAGTCTCCGAGTTTGAGTGTGATATCTGATATTTGGACTGGAAGAACGAGAGACTCAAAACATTTAATTTGAAACTTTAGGTGAAGTTATTGTTCTCTATAATCAGAAATACACTCTAAATTGCCATGAAGTAGTAGCCACCAAAGTTATTGTAAAATTGGTTTGTATAAAGTTGACTGATGTAGTGGCAGAAACTTTGATGAAACGAAACGGCGAGAGACGGTATTTATAAAAAATGCAACAAGTATACCCTTAAAAGACAGAGATAGAGTATGCTTTTATAGAAACGCGAATGAGACAAAAAATATATCATTAGGTTTAAAATATTTAATTAAACACTATTAACGGTTTAAAACGCGATTTGTATTACTTCGTGTTTTAAACCGTTGCAAATGTTTTATTTAAATGTGCACTTCTCGCGTAAAATACATTCAGGTTTTAGATAATTCTTAAAAATATTAAGCGTTAAACGGACATATTTTAGTGTCTTTTATTTGTTTACAAGGAAGCTGGATGTGTCCTTTCTAACGTTTTATGATCCCAAAACTCGAACCTGGGAACTCTTACCGTAATCCACGTCTTTTTACCGTTATATCGTTTCATCAAAGCGCAGAATTCATGACATATGCTTTAAATTGTTATCTGATATGAAATTAAGTCGTGTATATTGTAAATAGTTTAATTTATGTCAGTATTTCAGTGAATGTAAGATGTAGTTTGTAAATAGTTTAGTCTAAGTCACGCTTTATGAGCTCAGTAGTGTTTTTCTTCACAGGATTTATTTAACGTTGAGTTTTACAACTAATACATGTGTTGAAAATTATATTTGTATCGTTACTTTGATGTGGTCCAATATAACTCCAGCCAAGGAGCGAAAGAGAAGCCGCTACATGTATTTGTCTCTATTATTCAAACTCTAAATGAAAGCCGAGACCAATTGAGGCTGCCAGAGGCAGAGTGGCCTAATAACAAAAGAACATGATTTACAATAAGCGCGACAGTAAAAATGCGCAATTAACTTAGGCGAAAATGACTTTGTACTATTATTTGTGTAAAAATTATATTAACAATTTTCAGTGTCAACATGCTTAGTCTATGAAAATATAAATAACTTGAGTCACACAATTGCAGTTAGGCCACTTTGCCTCTAGTGGACTCAATTGTGGAGTGACTAACTCTATAATTGAAGAATCTACATTTATTAAAAAAATACTAGATTATTAATTACCAAATAGTAGAAGAATGGACTACGTCAAGAATATATTATTCGTAAAAAACGCTTTTAAAAAGTCTGTTAACTGTTTTAAAGCCTAGCCCATAAAAAATATATATAAACACTGAATGCACTGAAATTCGATTTCCGGTTATGTAATTTAAAAATCGAAAATAAATTGAAAAAGATTTCGATTATTAAATTATATAGTGCCTTCATGTGCATGTGTAACATGCGAAAAACATTAAAGTTTTCAAACTTAAATTTTACTTGTTATGTTGGACTATGTCAAAGTAACTTAATTTTGGCTTTATTTTAAGTAAATATTTTATAAAATTATTATATAATTCTTGTTATATAAACACGTTTTTATTACAAATCTCAGTTCAATATTACTTTCTAGTCTAAAATTGTATAGTTATTGGATTGATATGGTCTGAATTGTATGAGTTGAAAGATTTATTTTATTGTATTATGAATAAAGTAATATGAAATATTAATAGTTCTTTTATTTGTTCCTATCATAAAATACATATTTATATATACAGATAAACTTACACAAAAGTCCTAGCAATGTATGGTTAATAATGATCGGCAGATCGTTGGTTTGATTCCCTTTAGACCCGACTTTAAAAAAATCTGGTTAATAAATAGGTGATAGGAATATCGAAGTTCTGTCAGGGTCACGAACCAAGGTCTTTGGTTTCAGTCTGTGGGTTCTAAATGTCTAAAACAGAAAATCGTCAGCGCATCTTAGATGAATCTTATAGTATTTCCGATATATTCATTATTAAATTTGCACTTCTACTAACGGTACCTTATTCGTATTTAAAATTAATATTTGATTAGAATTTATATTTATTTTATAATGAAAGTATTTTATAATCAAACAATGTTTATTTAAAATAATAAAATGGTATTAAATATTTGTAGTTGGGTATTATTTGTAATTCCTTAGAAATCAAACGTTTTTAGCCACAACGCTTTGAAATGCTATAAAGGAAATGTACATTGCGGTTGTCGACTTATTACTTTCTTTTCTATTGCGGCATCGTGCATTTTTATGTCTATGTATACAGGACAGTACTGAAATATGAAATCAAGAAAAACCTTTAAAAAATTAACACGTTTCATCGCCTGAAATTATAATATACCTAGAAGTTTTTACATTAAAAAGATTGAGAACCTCAAGACAGTGAAATATAATACATAAGATATATAAAAAACCTGACGGTTTAAAACGCGAAATTTATTACTTATCTCAGTGTATGGACGAATAAATAGAGTACTTCAATTCATTTACTTTTTCATTCTAAATAGCTTTATAATTAAGAGATAGGAGGGAGATAATTTAAAGATTGTGTTGTACATCTCGTAATTTTTCAAACATACTGTAGATGGCTTTACAATAAGATTCTATTAAGTAAAGAGTATTGTACTAACAATATTGAGGCTGAAATGTGGTTGAGTCAATTCTTTCCTACTTCACGACTCACGAAGTGGTTGTTAGTTAATTTTATTTATTGCGTACTTACTATTGTTATTTTATGTAACCATAGTAACAGATGAAACATATTCATGTTAGTAGTGAAATTTCTTCTGCCCCTAGGAAGTGCATGGGGCAATAACAGAGTCCGTTTTACTGATCAATCTTTTGCAGGCAAATAATTGATCAGACTTCAGTGCCCTTCTCATCCTAAATTATTTATAGTTTCCCCTAATTCGAAGGAGCATCTTCTTGTTAACACAATTATTTCCCAACAATGTTTTAACATTATTTAACATAACTAACTAGACGTAAACTATAGACAGTATTTAGTTTTAACTAAATACTGTCTATAGTTTACGCGAGTGGTACCCATTTAAATAACTTTTAAGGATGTAAAACGCGTGTAATGTATTAGAAAACTTATTTTCAATTTATTTTAACGTTTCGTATGCTTTACATCAGCCGAGGTCACGACGGGACTGAAGATAGAGGGTGTCTAATGTAAAAGTAAAAACTGCTACGCTAGTGCCATCTGTCCCGTCCTAGTTGGTATTTGGCGAAACTAGCTGGATCCTTTAAATAAAACACTTTTAACTTACATTACTTAACTTACTTAATATATTTAATAATCTGTTTACTTAATATATTTGGTGTTTTTAACCATTAAAAGCGTTTTATTCAAATGTGTCCTACTGGCGTAAACTACAGACAATACTTAATAATAAACTCTTTCGAAATATCTAGTCTAGTTGCCTAAAATATTGTGCTTTCCATAAGTAATGTAGTTTTGGACACGAAGTATCTTGAATAAGAACGGGGTTCAAATCCAAGATGGAAAACGAGATCTGGCTTTGCCAACTTAGCAACAATCTGGCTAGCCCGGTACTAGTAAATTCTTACAATCGCCTAACAATACAATAAATGTCTATTTAAGTACATGACTTACCGTGGGAATAGCATAGAATTTAAGTCAGTCTGAATAGGTTTGATTAACAACATTAGCTGTCAGTGTTACGCTTACAACTTGTGTAATGTAGGATGATAAGTTAAAAAGTTTTTTTTTGTGATACAGGACAGATTGAGTCACTTGATAGAATGACTAGCATATAACATTTAAATAAAAATTAATAAAATAAAATATACTCTATTCTCTTTAAAATTTTAATAAATATTTAAATTCGTTAAAAGATGAACGTCTGTCTGTCTCTCGTGATTCTACAGAGTGTTCCAAAGAGCAATATATAGAGTAGATAAACACATATAGATTTGATTAACCTAAGGAGCCATTCATATCACTGCCAGGCATCCTTATCATTAAAGAAATCAATAAGAGACGTTGTCGCCCTATTTTGACATAGGACAATCGGAATTCTGAAATCCACAGACTAAAACCTAAACCAAATTAATATCATGGTGTTTTTTATCTGTGGACGATCGTTCGTGACCGGAACGGAATTTTGATATTTCTATTGGCTATTGAATACTTAATTTTAAACTAATTTATAATTATTTGATTACGCACATATTACATCCCGTAGGAATCCCCTGTCGTTGCTTATATTTTAGCCCACTACTCGAAACTATTAAGAACAGTTTAAAACGCGAAAATTACCTGTTAATTGTCATTTAACTTCGACCCCATGTTTCGGTTACGTCTGATGCTTTAATTAAAAAGGCGGTGAAAAAAAATTTATTTCTACCGAGCTAGGCACAGACACTCTAATCATTAAAATCGATCAATAAAACAGAAATGTTTCTTCCAGCTTCATTATTTTCTTAATACTCAAACTAATCACCCTATTTAAAACGTATTATAGTAAGTAGATATCGAAAATCAAAACATCATCCAAAAAGTACAGTCAGCAACCGGCGATAACTTTCGTAACTCTGACGCAACGGAGTGTGAAAGCATCTTTGATAATTTTTGCCATCGGAATGATACAATTGAGAAACTTTCGCCACACCTTAAGGCTATAGACATAAGGAATAAAATCGCTCGTACCCAATCTAAATACACTCAAACTTGCCATTAAACAATTTCCAATTATTCTTTACGTAATTGTCAGGGGCAAGATGCGTCTTGACCGACGATAGCGGGTCATATTTGTGACCCTACTATGGGAGAAAGCCGAGATCCGGAATAACGAGACACCACATTCATTCGTTCTCTCACGTTTGAACGACGCGCGTGCCTAACATGTGTAGTGCGACAAGATGAAATTAATATTATTCATCTTCGTTCTGGTCAGAGCCGATTTGGAGGATCTCAATCCGGATGAGGTCATGATAGCGCAGGAGTCCCGGCTCTACGAGACAAGGGTGAAGCCCCCAGTGAGGATAATCAAGCCTCGTGGTGTAACCAACTCACATAGACCGCAGTTTAATCAAGATTCCGTGGAGGAAGATAAAGATACTGTGAAAGAAGCTGTGCTGATGGCGTTGGAGAGGAAGAACCATGAGAAATTCGCGCAGATCATACCGATCATACGGGCTATGTCCGGGAATCAGAGGGTGGCGTTGGCGAACTTGGTGGCGAATCAAGTGATGGTGCCTGGGAGACAACTCAGCTTGGCACAGGTTGGTTCGGCTTAAAATTAATAATTTATGATTAAAAATAACTGAAGTTTTATTTATAATGTGACAATTAGCTACATTAAAACTTATATAGTTCCTCATAATTTATACGCTCGTTAGACTAATGGTAGCAATGTTATCGACGGGTCACGGATTCGATGCCCACCGAGTGCAACATGTTTTTAATTAATTTATAATAATTCGTCTCGAAAATTAGGTAAAGTTAAATGAGTGGTAGGAATAAGTTCATCTGGGTCATCACAGTTCAATCTGTGGATTTCAGAATATCCAAAGCCAAAATAGGTCGTCAACAGATTTCGTTTAGATGGTATATGCATGGAGGAAAACTTAATTTTCCGTGGTCTAGCCCGCGACCACTACTGCAAAGCTTCCATAACGTTGGGCCGTAGTTAAAATAACTTGTACTCAACTAATATATTTCACGTTTTAAACCGTTAAAGTGTTGTGTTTAAAATGAAAACAATTAAATTATTTAATTAACACGATACAGAAAGCAATTACACTAATTAGTTATTAACATATAATAAGTATGTGTGATAAATGAGATTTTTCATTTTTTGATGGACTCCTTCGTGTTATAGCAGCTATGTATAGATATCAATCAATGGGCCATGGGTTTGATCCCCACCGGGTCCAATACTTTTCTAATCACTTCATAATTTCTCAGAAACATGTTAAACCTTGTCTGAAAATCTGAATATTATAAAGATGGTAGAAATATCAAAATTCCGTCCGGGTCACAAACCACCGTTTACAGCTGAAGAAGCCCTCAAATATTTCGTTTAGGTTTCAGTATGTGTATTTCCGAATATCCAAAGCCCAAATAGGTCGACAGTGTATTCGTTTACATGTTATGTGGCTGGGGTATTTCTCCTACCTGAACTCCATGCTAGTCATGAAAATCTTTAATTTTTTAAAACGGAACCCTAATAAAATATCACTCAATAGGCATAAATTGAAATCACTCGACACTTTCTCATTTCACAATGTGTTCAGGTAATTAGCATAAAAGCTATTGCGTAAACTTCGTGGTTAGAGCTTAATTATTTTTAATTCGTATAATTGTTGATAGAATTGATCTTAGGTAACCCGAAAGTATCTATTTTGTTAATATCTTCAAGTTACTTACTTGCAAACAATTAATATTGCCATCAAATCAAAGGTGATACTTAAAAACTCATATTATATAATTTTTTATCTAAAATGGCGGAGTATTTTTGGACTAGAAGATTTTTATCTTAAAGATACGCTTTTATATATCAATCTTCTATCAAGAAGAGAACAGACAAGAAGGGGCTGATGGAACTACCCTAAACCATATAAAATCTTTGGCTTTGTATATTCAGAAATCCACAGACTGAAATCGAAACGCGATTAAACTTCACGGTTTTTTCAACTGGTGGTTCGTGATCCGGACGAATTTATTCATACCAATTCAATATCCATATTTTCAAACGAAGTCCAACGTGTTTCAGAAAGATCAGAAGCCGGTAAAGTGTTTTATTAAAAACCTTAATAATCGTTTATTTCCTTGTTAATATAACTATCTATAAATAAGTTACATTGATGTACACGTCTGTTTCTCTGTGATAAAAAGAGATATCATAGCGATCCTAGATTGTTCAATCTATCTTAACTAAATGGGGAAAATTAATTTTCTCATAGCTAATTACAACAGCGGGTAAAAACAAATATCTGTGGGAAGGTATTTTCTAATCGCTCTGAACGTGTCGCAAACCGATCGGCGACTTTTTGCCGTCGCCGGCGCATAATGGATACTTTTACGAAACTAGATCGTTGTGCAGTTTGGCCATTTGTATCGTAAATTATTGATTTTACTAACTCATTGCGATAGTGGATGTGACAATCTTGAAATTTGGAAATTAAATCCTTTGTTAAGAGCTTCGGAGTCTTTGATGTTTATATTCTTTGTATAAGAGGTCATTAAACCCTATTACGAGTTAAATAGCCAACAAATTATTGTGGACTCAATCGGTGTCGTAGCTAATGATAATAATACCAATATAACTTTTTAAATAAAACATTTTAACGGTTTTAAGCGCGTAATATTATTAAGCATATTTTTAATAACGATCCGACGTTCTTTGTTTCTCGTTTGTATCATATCACAGGCACTACATTCTAACAAAATAAGTACTCCTACATTATTACTAAAGTTAGTTGTGTGATTAAATAACAACAACACAGTATATATAAGACATATTTCTGTGTCTGAATAATCGGGTACATGTATAAAATAGTAAATTGAGATCGTGTTTCTCCGGATTTTGAACCCAGGACTTGCGCTTAACACAAAACTTTTAGGTTGGATGCCAGACAAGCATGGCGTTCGATGTGACACACAAACAAAATGAGATGTTGACCTATTATGGCTTTAGATATTCGGAAATCCACAGACTCAAACCGAAACGCGTTTAAACTACACGGTTATTTCATCCGTAGAGGTTCATAGGTTTGCGGGCGGATTTTCGATATGCTTATCACTCGTTTAATATCCAGATTTTCAGTCGAAGCCTGTTCAGACATGTTTCAGAAAAATTATCATAATTTCATAAATTGTTGAGAAATACGTTGGACCCGGTGTCTATCGAACCCACGACCCGTGGACCATACATTGCTACCATTAGACTAATGAAATGAATATGCGTAAAACCTTTAAAATACAAATTAATACTGTATATATAAAAAATTAATTACTGATTATTTTTAAGCTGGCCCGAAGCGGACTCTTAGTGTTTCTTACTGCAATTATGTATTCTGTTACATGAGCAAGTAGGTCAATAACCTCGCGTGTACTAGACTTCCGATCAGTTAGACGTGTTTATTTACTATAGATCTTATTTATAGTTAAGACTAGCTGTGTCAGCGACTTCGTCCGCGTAAACTAGTTTTGGGCAACCAAATTTGTTTTTGGAAACTCTTTCGTCTTTATAAACTTAAGCCGTTGCCCACGGCGGCGGGTGCGTCCCGTCGTTCTAGCGAGTTAACCTTAAAATGAAAAAATTATGTGTTGCGGCTTTTTTTTCAATTTTAGGAATACTTCCATACGTATTTTTGGGCAACGTTTTTTATTGCTTTGATCTCTGCAACGGCTGAATCGATTAAAATTTGACTTTTATAGTCGAAAAGCAAAATTATAAATTTAGATTCTGTCTGTTGTTAACGCGATGTACATTAGTTAAACTTATTTAAAAAACACCCGAAACGTAGATAAAATAATTTCCAAATGAGTTAAACTAATATACATCGCGTTTTAAACCGTTAAGTGTAAATAGAGTACATTTATCATTAAACGTATGTAATATGTATTCCTGCCATCCTGGATATTAATTTTAACTTTTATCGGCCACAAGGGGTTCGATGTAAAGTGTGATATCCCTTGCCCCTCGTGGAGCATGTGGCACTTTACTGCGTCCGTTTCACTGATCACTTTTTATTTACAGGCAACTAGTTGTTCGGATTCATTTAGTACCCTGCCCGACCGAAACAAATTATTATTACCCCCTGGATTCAAAGGTCCTGTACCCTTCGGGCTTAAGGCAATGCTAGCACGTTTAACCATTTAGCTATAGAGGCGGGTTCGATGCTCGGTGGATATTTTTTTTTATTTTGTGTACATTGCAATAATTGTAACGTGCCAAAATTCGTTTATCATGTTCTTCAGTTTTATCGTTGACCGAAGTAACGTCTAAGAAGAATCTTATGTAGATTTAATTCATTTCTGAGTATGAGATGTATAAATATTTATATCTCGGATGCTTCGTCGTTATTGAAGTGTATCGGCCCAGATGCTAACAATTATTTAGAGGGGAAAAAGATTTTCCTATTGGAGTGGCAGTTTCTAATTAACGTTGAGGAATTGAGAAATATTCTGTTACTATATCCTCAGTTTAATTTGAATTGCTAAGTGGTCCTGGTTCAATCCCATAACAGTAAATTGTTTTCTCCTTACTACTCGCCTGTAATTAAAATCCCAGTGAAAGACACAGAAGTGTGTTCCCCGTCTCCAGGGAATCGGGATTACACTTTTATATCCTGAAGTATTTAAATAAAACATTTAACGGTTTAAAACGCGATATATTAGTTAAACTTATTTGAAAATGATTTTTAACTTCGGCCCGACGTTTCGGATGCTTTGCAGCAGCCGTGGTCACGGGGAGACGAAACGTCGGGCCGAAGTTAAAAATCATTTTCAAATAAGTTTAACTAATATATCGTGTTCTAAACCGTTAAAGTGTTTTATTTAAATGTGTACTACTCGCGTAAACTATAGACAGTATCCTGAAGTATATTTAACAATGGGAACGTTCGTTTAATAAAATCAATGGCTCGTGGTGCACTAAACAACGAATCGGGTCCAACGTGTTTTTAAAAAATATTTTTCACGATCTAGCATAAATGGAAATTTTCCAGATTAATTCTATTTTAGTTGGGAAATTTTCATTTGATTCAATAAAACCCAAATAGGTCACCAGCGAATTTGTTAAGAAGTTTAAAAATACTTTAATGGTTTAAAACGCGATATATATTAGTTAAACTTACTTAAAATGATTTTAACTATGGCCCGACGTTTCGGATGCTTTGCAGCGTCCGTCACCGATAGACGGGAGTGTTTCAAACAAGTTAAACTGATATATATCTCATTTTAAACCGTTAAAGTGTTTTATTTAAATGTGTTCTACTAACGTAAACTACAGACACTTTTTGTTAAGGTGTGTCTTTTATTTCACCTTCCATCATTAGAACTCTGTGTTGGTCTGTCCTGTGAAAAAAAAACAAATACATTTCAACAACGTTAAGATAATCGCTTTCGTTTTAAAAATGAAAGCGATTTTATAATCTTATAGCTTTCGACAAATAAAATTTAAAACATACTGATACTTAATTAAAATTCAAATTTTCGTAACATAAGTATTCAAGAGATTATTAATAAAAGCTAGTGAATGAAGAATTTTATTGACTAACATAAAAACAGATATATTTGCTGCACGCGGGAATAGAATCTCCGATTGATAGTTAAGAGGGCATAACGATCTCAGATTATTCAATACTAGCTGTCTCAGCGACTTCGCCCGAGTAGAATAGTTATTTTAGTTATTTTTTTTTTAATTAGGTCGCGTCCCGTCGCGTATGTGTGTATAAAAAATGACCGTATTTTTTTTAGATCATTTAAAGAGAAATCATTATTTCATATATATTTTTTGGGTATCTTGATCGGTTTTCGCAGCGTAGGTACGCATCGAAAATACACAAAGATGATTATTTTCCCCCGTTTTTGCACATTTCTCGCTCTTTACTCGCTCCTTATAGTCACAATGTAATGTTTTATAGCTTTCCTCGAAAAATGGTCCAACCAACACAAAAATACTTTTTCAATATGAACCAGTAGTTCCTGCGATTAGCACGTTCAAACAAACAAACACACCAGCTTTATATATTAGTGCAGCATTTTTTTCTAACTTGACAAAAGACAAATGGCCGATTTGAAACCATAGAGTGTAGTTTATGGACCAAACGACCTCAATATTCTGAATTCACTTTTTGACGACCTTTTTTATGTCATGTTAACTTATCATTTACAGCTACTTCACTCAAACAGTAGAACAAACAATTCGTACTTGAACTAGTAATCTTTCGACCTTTAAACTAACAATAAACATTGTATGAAAGTAAACTTTTAAATTTGTTTCACAGGACCGTGGAAATTATCATAATAATAATATGTACGAGTTAAAGTAATTTGTTTGAACAATGCACTAAGATAAAATAATAATGCTAGACTGTGATTTGAAAAGATAATTGTACAATTGTAATGGGTGTTTCGTTTAAAATAATTTATTAGTTTGATTTTCAAGATTGAAATTTAAATAAAACACTTATGACGGTTTAAAACGCGAAATCTATTAAAATTCAATATCTAATTAAAAGCGAAATTTACTATTTATTTTAAGGAAGACCCGACGTTTCAAATGCTTTGCAGCAACCGTGGTCACAGGGGGACTAAATGGGTACTACTCGCGTAAACTATAGATAGTTCTAGATTGTAATTATTGTTGTAACATAATTGTTTCCAGGCAATCAAACCCTTTTAAAAGTAAAAAAATTGATTTCGACAAGTAACTAAGCCAAAAACCTCTTCCTCCTAAAGGAGCTCATGTTTAAATTTTAGTTGAAAGCAGCTGAAATTGGAGATCAGATGGTACAAAATTATTTAATTTTTACTAAAAATATCAATACCATTTAAATAAAACACTTTTAGCTATTAAAGCTAAAAATATATTAGTCAACTAATTTTAAATTCGTTTTAACTACGGCCCGACATTTCAGATGCTTTGCTTTTTTTTAGCAGCCGTGGTCATGGGGGGGCATATAAATAGAATCTTGATGTTAAATAGAAGGAATATCGAAATTCCGATTCACGAACAACCAACAACAGATAAAGTTGCAGTGAAGTTTAATCTCGTTTCGGTAACAGTCTGGAGAATTTGAATATACAAATCTAGAATAGGTCGACGGCGAATGTTTAGAAGTTATATGGTTGGGGTACTTCATCTACCATCAAGTTATATGTTTGTATAGAGGATACATCATAGAAAAAAAATACAATACTATCTTTTGTCTGTTCCAGGTGAGATTACTGTTCAACAACGACAACTCAACCGCAGACCTCATGCTGCCAATCCTAAAGGACACAGCCAACTTATTTCAAAAGTCACTTACACCGAACAAAAAACCACGAGACCTCCGATACTCCGAAACTCAAGAAAATCGCAGAAACCCACATTTCGTTAACACAGACATACTACTACATAACCAACAAGAATTTCCAAACAGACATTTTCAAAGACGATCATCATCACTCACAGAAGATGATCTAAACGATGAAGCGTTTGATGTAGGCGTTAGAGATGCGAACACATTACCAGAGAGAACAACGAAGTCAGATAAAATCAAACTACCGCCACGATCACTTAAACCCAATGCCACAGACGTTACTAGAAACACGTTTAACAGAACTCAAGAACATAACATTGATAATGAAGATAATGTAAGTTTTTTTAATGATTTTATGTAACAGGGATTAAGAGGTGATTCTTTTCCTATTATTAATTTACATAAATGTAATAAAGACGCTATCTTTTAAAGTATTTATACATACATCAAACCCACAACCAACAGTCGACCCATAATTGTGGAATATAAATAATACTGTCTATAGTTTACGCGAGTAGTAGGTACACATTTAAAACTTAAAAAGTTAGTCTCCCCGTGACCACGGCTGCTGCAAAGCATCCGAAACGTCGGGCCGAAGTTAAAAATCATTTTCAAATAAGTTTAACTAATATATCGCGTTTTAAACCGTTAAAGTGTTTTATTTAAATATGAATGTGAATAAATACAAGTGACGGATTCCTTGGTGTAATGGAAGCAATGTATGTCGTGGGTTCCCCACCCTGTCCAATATTTTTCTAATTCATGTATATATTTTTTGCAATATACCTATTGGACATGGTCCGCTTATCTGGATAATAAATGGTAGGAAGAAATTTCGCCGGGTCGCGAACCACCGGTCGCGATAAAAATGTGTTCTGTCAATGGATTTCCAAATATCAATAGCCAAAATAGGTCGACATCGCTTCTTGTTTAAATGCTATATGGCTAGGTTATACCTACTCCATTAATTGAACCACAAGCTAGTCGATCCTTCTCTATCATGGAAAAAAATTAATGCGTTTATTCAGAAACAACTCTAGATTTACAATTATAAACTAATTTTACAGATAAGAAATATAGATAAAAAACAATGATGTAGTTGCCTCTAAAAATGAGACCACTTGCTATGTTGGGAATAATGTACCAACACTGATATTCTGTGGACACAAGGTGCCACTAATTTTATTAATATTGAATCAAGTCTTCATCTATACGAGCGAAACACAAACATACTACAGAAAACAAAGAAATGTACAGCCCAATGATGAATGAACATTCGACTGACAGTACATGTTTTAAAAACGTTTTAAAACGCTAAATACATTACTCAACTTAATTTTAACTTCGACTCGACGTCCTTTAAGCTACAAAGCATACGTCGGTTCGCAGTTATAAATTAATTAACGAATACATGTCACGTTTTAAACCGTTAAAAGTTAACTAATGATAATAATTAATTAGTAATTGTTTTTAGAGAAACACAAGTCGATCCCAAGCAGATATGTCACACCAAAAAGCAAGAGAGGCAACAAAAGTGAATGACAATGGAACTTTCGATTTAATAACTGATGCTACTAATCAAAGCGTATCACAAGATTTGCCCATGGCTGAGAAACTTCGCTCGCTTAATAGATACATTGATAGAAAGGGTAAGTTAAAACTTTAATATTTTTACGTTTTGCACATAATGGCACTATATTAATAAAAAATCGATTATAAAAAAACAAATACGGCTCGGACAAGACTAGAACCTGCATCCTCAGCGATCCGTGCTGTTGCTCTAAACGATTTAGAGCCCTACACGTCATTGTCGAATATTTCAAACTATCGATACATACCTACTCCTCTCGCGCAAGGAAACTATATTCTTAGCGAGTGCTACCCGAGTCGTAAATTTGAAAAAAACAACGCAGATATTATGTGTTCGCCCCATGCCCATGGGGGGTTTTACTTAAATAATGTGAATGTAACTGCAAGTTAGGCTTTTGATGTAACAACAAATTTTGACTACCCTCATTTACCTAGTTTACAAATATGAATAAATGATTTTTTTTGGCTTTTGTATACTTATAAAGTTAGGCGAAAGTGTGTTTACTTGGTTTTTAATTGTTGAAAATGCTAGCAGTAGATGTAGTGTCCAGTGCAGGAATAAAATGATTTTTTTTATCATTAAGAATTCAGGATCTCCCCTATCACTTGGAAATAGACCTTTATATTACATTTAGTTGTTTTTTTTTATTTTTTTATTATTACTGTTAACGAGTATTATGTTATATTTATCACATGGACGTACATTTCTTCATCGTCAGTTCTGTCGTTCCGTTTTAACACTGGTTTGGCGATTTCTGTACAGTATGTTAAAAATTGAGGTCTTATTTTTGTATTGCTTATCATTATATTGTAATTTTCTTTGCGTGCCTCGAGTTCCGCGTAATTTTCCAGGTTCAACCTAGCGCTATCACCAGCTTGACAGTCTCTATCTTTTTAATCTGAGTCTCAAAAAATAGTCGAGCCGTTTCGATCCGATAAAACTACATAACCTTTAGTCCTAACGAACATCTTCATTGTACTACTACTAACTAAAATTAAAACTGATATTACTTAAATTTAGAAGGAGAAAGCTCAAGATACAATACTGTTTCACAAGTTTCAAGAATCGATGTCATCATTAGACATAATAATACGTCCATTGACCACAACTTATAAATGTTTTTATGGTTAATATTATGTAAACTTTCATTTATTCAATAAATGGTTGATGTATCACATGCTATATAAAAGAAAACTAAATTATCTAATAACTCATGTATTACTGAAAACAATAACAATCCCAATCCGAACCCTTTGTTCTCCTCTAAAAAAAGTATTGATTGTAGCTTACGCGAGTAGAACACATTTAAAAAAATACTTCTAACGGTTTAAAACGCGAAATGTTTTATTTATCTTATTTAATATTCATTTCAATTACCGACCAACATTTCGGATGCTTTGGCGTTAGGAACCACGGTTGCAAAGCGTTCGAAACATCGGGCCGTAGTTAAAATAAATTGTAAATAAGTTAACTGATACATTTCGCGTTTTAAACCGTCAAAAGTGTCTCATTTAACATAATCTGGGAAGTTTTAACTTTAAGAGATATAAAAAAAGTCTCACAAACATATTTTTTATTAATAACCTTTAACGCAGTACAAGTTTGTACCTAGAAACATTATCTTTGGCGCAAGTCAATGTTAGAGCGCGTAAGCTTCAGGACTGAAAACAATCTTAGTGTTTTGAAAGTAAAATTATGCAGAATAGTTGCTAAATAACAGCCAATCAACTTGTAAAAGCAAAACGAATCCAAGATATAACGAATCAAATAATGAGGTCCAATATTTTTTGCATACAGCGGGTCAGGGGTATTATTGCATTCAAGTGTAAATAAAGAATTATTAATAGTTACGAAAATTAACATTTAGCTATTAATTTTTATTAATAGTACATTGTTTGTATTAACGCTACAAATACTATTTTTTTTTCTTACTGATAATATTAAACTGCGCTATATAGTAGTAGTATATAGTGTTTACACACACACTTGTTACGTAAGACGTTAAAAGTAGTTTAGAATTTTTTTTAAAATTAAATTCATGAATCTTTGTCGTACCTTAGAAGTGTAGAGCAATATACAGTTAGTAAATCAAAAGCATATAAGTATACGGCCGAATTGAGATTGATCAATTTTATATTATAAAATTGGGATGCGTTCCAAAAAAATAGTTTAGTTTATATAAAAACGAAACTTTAAAGGACGTTTAAATGATCAGCTGAAGACAGGCTTGTTGTATTTTTCTGGTTTCAATCCCCACTGGGTCCAATATATTTCGGTTGAAAACAATTTATTTCCCATTTAATTTACAATAAATCTACACGAAACTTATAAATAAAATATTTATTATTATTGTACTACAATGGCAATAGGAATGTCGAAATTCCGTTCGCGTCAACCCACCGCCAATAGAGGAAACAACAAAGAACAGTTTAGTGTATAGATTCTCCAATATCCAACGCCAAAATAGGTCGACAGCGGAGTTCTGTTACGTCAAGTAAATCCCATTTTGTCTGTCCCGCTCTGTCATAAACAGCTATATTTACTTGCAGGTAACCTGATCCGTCGTGGTATTTACCCACCGAAAGCAACGACAGTCAGGCGAACGAATGCTGAGCCCACAGTATCGCCGATTCACAGACGAAGACCACTTCCATCCAGAAAGTTGCCAGCTACGAACGACCAGGCAAAATGTGAAATGTTTACCAATACGCTTTGCTTGCACAGCGAAGATTATCCTACGTTAGTACATACATTTATAGTTTACTTTTTTTTAAGTAAGATACAGTACATATTAATACGGAAAACTCACACTTGCGCAAAAAATTCCAGCTTCCCTTGTCCCTGTATTTTCTATGTTACGGACTGCCCTATATCCATGTTTGTGTGTTATGTAGTCAAGATGTTACTATTAGTAACACCTACATTTTGAGGAGAGATACTTCACTTTAGAGTGTGTTATTGTCTTGTAAAAACAAAAAAAGTAATTTTAAATCATTAATTCCTTTATACCATTGTGTAGGAATTCACAGTGAATTGTTTTATAATAACATTCATCTGTCAACTTCAAACGTCAAAACTTAATAACCATTGTTTCGTTCATTTGTTTCTACATTACCATATCGTGTCGAAACAAAGAAAGTCTCTTTGAAAACTTTAATATATTTCACATGATCGCATTATATAAATTATAAATAGATTTTTGATTGAAAAAAATGATCAATCAAAAACATCAATGTTTCGCATTCCTTCAAACACTTCCATAACTTCACCATAATATAGTTTAAAATTCTTGACCGAATTAAAATTACCGTTAAATTGGAAATTAACTCTCAAATATTTTAACATAAAAATAACTACAGAGTGCTAACAAAAAGCGGAGGTCAACTGTTGCGTAAGTAGAGCGGAGGAACGAAAGCAAAAGTAAATAAAAGGGAAAGACGGAGCTTAGCGAAAGTGCTGTCACAGATATACTAACACATAAAGCTACAGAACAAGATTAAATCGCAGATAAAAAGCACGTAGTGGACTTGACAGAAGTGATAAGTATAAGAAATATAGGTTGAAACAAAAAGCCAGGCGTGCACCGTAACGCGTTACATGACGAAACAATTTACCTTCCCGAAATAAATTTTTATATATTCAACATATATTGATTGAGGATTTTCCAAAAAATAAACAAAATTTGTTTCTCTGAATATAACTTTAATTTCCAACATGCTTTTACAATTTACAACAAATATCATTTAGAGTTATAAATTATGACCTTACCTGAAAAAATATAAAGAAACGACAATTAATGTTTATTACTATTATATGAAAATATCTTTAGTTCTTCGAATCACCGCCATTTTTCATTCACAGCTTATAAACGCGGCAAATTTGAATGTATGAATGTCAATGTCATTCATTACACATATATATTTTCTTAAAAGTAAGATATAAACGTATTGGGCTTCTAATCAAAACACTTTAAACGTTTAAAACGCGATAAATATTATTTAAACTTATTTGAAAATTACTTTAACTACGGCCCGACGTTTCGGATGCTTTGCAGCAGTAGTGACTAAAGGTAGAGGTTATTGGACTTCTTCTGAAAAAAAAACGGGATATTTAATGGGTGGTAAGAATATCGAATCTCCGACCGGGTAACAACTAAACCCGATGCCTTATTAACTTAACCGCGTTCGTAGACAGTAATTTTCTAAATGTCCAAAGCCAAAACAGGCCAACAGCACATCTTGTCGAAAAGTTATATTGACTATTTCCATCGAGTGAACCCCGTGCTTGTCTGTCTTCTGTCATAACAACAAATATTCTTTACAGTGACGCTATAGTGCAGTCATTGCGACGAAACAAAGCAGCTGGAGCCCTACTTGCTGATATCAAAGATCCCGGAGAGGGCGCTGTAGACGGCATATCTGCTGCACAAGAAGCTAAATACACCGCCGATCACTATTTAATATCTAGCAGGTAACAGTTTCTATATTAAATAATATGGACTTTTTAGTATAATTGATGCCAAGAGTAATTAGATTTCACTTGGCATCAATTTTTGCGTGTATAGTATTTGTAAATTTGGTTTTGGTTTTCTAGACCTCCTCCTAATCTTTATAAATTATTATACCTGATATCTACGACTATGGTCACGTCCCGTCGTTCTTGCAAGTTTATTGTAACAGAAAAAAATGAAGTGTTACAGACATTTGTGTAGATCATTTTATGGGGAACCATTCGCTTAGGTTCTCTTGACCCTTTTTTTTCTCGACGTTTCGTGATCACGAGCGGCATCATCGGGAGACGTTATTTCCTCGGTTTCTTGAAGAACTAATCGTCCGCTCGTGATCGCGAAACGTCGAGAACAGCCCGAAAAACAACGATATGCCGAACGATGGCCGTGAAAGCCTTACACAATTTGTAGTAAACACCTTAACATCAAGATAGGAGCGTACCAGACCAGACCAGAACCAGATGTTTTGCTTACTCTAGAAAGAGAACGCAATTCATAATTATACAAAAATGCTTGATATGTTTCTAGGCGAGGCGATACAGCGAACCGAGATTTCGCGAGCGCAGGTGAAGCTGGTTTCATGTGCCCAAGTACAGTGAAGTACGCAAGACCGCAAAGAGCTCGTGCAACCTCTGGCCAATGGAAGTACATCGTCAATACAGGAGAGCACACTCAAACTTTAAGATTGGAGAAGTGCTTGTAAGTATAAACCTAACTAGCTGTAAGTTAAAATTTAAGTATCGTCTCCAAAGTACAACAGTTTAACTCACATTGCGTCAAGCAAGACGCAAATTTAATTTGTTGAAAAGATTGTTTCGGACGACAGGGCCATAAATCTTTTTTATGTTAGAGGAGGAAAGACATAACATCTATACAAGACGTGCTGTCGACCTATTTCGGCTTTGGGTATTCGGAAATCCACAGAACGAAACCGAAACACGATTAAACTTCACGGCTTTTTCATCTGTGGACTGTGGTTCGGACAAGCCGGACGGAATTTCTTCAATCAGCCATTTTATATCCAATTTTCCAGACAAAGTTTATCATGTGTCAGAAAAAATATTAATTGTTTAGAAACATGTTGGAACAGGTGGGCATCGAACCCGCGACCCCTGCTTGTCAATTAATGAGTAAAATGGACACCACACTACTTGCACAGTTCACGGGAAGATATTAGAGTTACAATGTAGACAAATGGTATCAAAAACACGTGGAGGATAAAAAAAAACAAGTAGTTATTTAGAATTTCATTTCAGGAAACCAAAAGAATCCTGTACGTACTTAACTGATAATTTCAAATCAAAATGTGTCCAAGTTTACAACTATCACAGATTATTGACTTGGGACCAACAGAATGGGTTGCATATGGACATTTTCAAGGTAAGAAAGCTTCAAAAAACCTCTTACATTTATATATCACTGGTTTTTTAGTTTTCTATTGTAGAATAGTCTACAAAGTATTTAGTTTCACAAATATAGGCGAAATTAAAAATAAATAAAAAATATATTTATATATTTTAAATATTAAAAGATTATCAGCCATTTTTACTTATGTTGGTTAAATGTATTAACAAAAATACATTGTTAAAGGTTCCAACGTGTTGTTCATGCCACATCGAGGGGTACAGTGTATCTTTTCCACCTGTGGGACAGAGAGTTCACGAAACGTCATCTGAACATTTCCCAGGCGAAGATTTGTCTTCAGAACATGGAAACCGAGCTTTTGAAGATGTCCAGTCAACTGTTCAACGCCCAACTTTACACAAATCACCTGGTTTCGGTTTAAATAGGCCATTGGATACCTTCCCATCCTTTGCTGAAAACACCCTTCAGGGATCATCGTTTTCTAAACCAAATAATGAAGAGTTTGAGAATGCACCCGTAGCAGGCCCGACGGATTCATACGGAAATTCATACTTCCCCGATACATTTAAACAAGCTAGCTCCATTCGTAATATTAAAAGACCTGTGCCCAGAAATCCAGCTGGTATAGCCAATCCAGCAGCTAATATAGCTTTGGAATCAGTTACTCTACCAAGTTATTTAGAACCACCAACGCCATCAGCTCCATCGTCACCGTTTTCATTCTCAAAAGATTCGCTAAGTAAATATAAACTTAGTGAACAGTTCAAGCGAGGCCCCAGACCTAATAGAAGGCCTATCAGAAAGAAAATTTCCAGCGCTCCTGAAGATTTAATGTCATCGGGAACATCAGCAATTGGTTCTTTCCAACCAGATGGCTTTGATACGTTAGAAGATATGAATGATGAAATAGAAGAACCACAGGTAAATAAAGTGATGCCTAGGCCCACAATATTAAAAAAATTGCCAGCTATGAAAGAAAATAATTATCACGACCAGAGTAAAGACGTCACTGATGAAAATGGTAAAAAAATCAACTATAATTATCACCCTATCATCGACTTTTTTGATGACATTGACAAGGAGAATGATTCTATAGATCGAGAGGACAATTTGGATTCTTATGGACAATCGTCTGAATCGGAATGGAAGCCTATAAGTCATACTCCAATCGATCGAAGGAAGCATTAATGAAATTATCTGTTTTAGTATAATTCTGGTAGGATAATGTAGCTCAGTAAGCTTTACTTAAGAAACTATTTAAATATACATTCAAAATGGAACCAAATTTATAATGATAATATTTATTTTTATTTAAATTAAATTATATGTTAAGGAATCTAAGTGTATGGAATAGTGTAATAGTTATAAATATTTGAAAGTGCAATAAACTGTCAATCGTATATTTGAAGTTTGAGATTTGAACATAAAAGATATTTAAGTTACAAGATTATTTAACTGAAGTATGGGTGTCAATGAAACATTTTTTTAAATAAAATAATATATATTGAAAATATCTTATCTTAGCTTAAACAAACCTATAGCTATTAACAAGATTATCACAGAAATGTACAATAATACTTAGGTATAATTTTTAAGAAATTCAGTATAATCAAATAATAACGTTATGTGATTTTGGCACGATAGGATTTCTAATCATACATACATTTATTCTAAATAATAATACATTCTTTTACTAGGATCTAAGATGTAAGCAGGAGTTGTTGTTATTTCAGATACAGCTTTCGCATAAGCATTTAATAACTCTGCTTCACTTTTTCTGTTTCTTTTCCGGGAAGTGTTTCTTCTTATGGTACCTGCCTCTGTTGTCACGTCTTCGCTGTTTACCAGTTTACCACTTCTGTAGTTGCCGCCGTGCATTGGTCTGTTATTATTTCTCGTTACGTGTGCTCTAAAGTTTCCACCGTGCATGTGTCTAGTATCAAAATCGTCATCATCCTGTAATTCTATAAGTTTCGCACTTTTTTCATTATTATTTCGTCGCCTTTTTTCATTGCGCTTAGTACTTCCTGTAGATGTGTCGGATACTTTTTCTTTGCTATTATCCTTGTAGCGTCCCTTTCGTGAATTGTCGCCCTGTTGCTTTTTATTGACAGTTGATGTTTCTAACTGGACTATTTTTTTAGTTTTTGTTTCAGAACTGTCGACATCACTTCTCGCATCATCTCTTGAGCTTATGTCTTCACTCTGTATACTCCTGTAATTACCACCGTGTCGTGGACCTGATTCTAAATCAAGGTCATCTTTAAATATTTCAATATCACCTAAATTGTTAATCTCTTTTGCTAAGTTTTCATCTCTATAAAGATCTAACGATGCAGGATTTTCATTTTTTATTTTTGGCATGTCTAATTCTTTTATTATCTCAACTTCTTTGATATCCTGTTTATAATGCGTTTTATGCGGTGATGTAGTATTAACAGGTACTTCTCTATGTACTTCAACCTTTTTCCTGAATACTTTAGGTTGCATATCTCTATAAAGTACTTCTGTTGTTGAGCTTGGCTCTGTAGTTCTAACTAGGGTCCTTTTAGTGGGTTCCGAGGTTGTCATTTCAACGTTTTCGAGGCTTTTTTCCTGAATAGTTTTTGTATGCTGATTTAAATTAGTATTTTCTATATTTTTACCCTCACCTTGATTTTGCTGTTTGTCTACATATTCATCACTTATTCCTTTTTCTATTTTACTAACATTTTGTTCAATGTCTCCATTTTCATCGTCTTCGTAATCTTCATCATCATCTTCTTCTTCATCTTCATCATCATCATCTTCACTCTCATCATCATCACTACTTTCTTCACTTTTATCGCTTAATTCTTCTTCTTTCTCATACGACGGCGTGTAGTCATTCATATCTTGCTTTATACCTATCATTGCATCTATTTCATCTCTTTTCATATCGTCAGTGTCATCGCCATAGCTCTCAGAATCTGTAACAAGAGTAGTCTTAGTCGTTTTCTTCTTTTTTTCTCTATATTTTGCCGGGTTATGTTCTTTACTGCGAAATTCTCGTGGTTCACTGCTGGTTATTGGTGGTGCATCAGTGGTCGTTGTATGAAAACGCGTTACAAGGTGCAGTTTCATAGAATGTGGATTTTCAGTAGTTTTAGGTACTGCAGTAGTCGCTATACGAATTCTTTTTTTATGAACCACTTTTTCTGTTGTGGTTGTTGTTGTGGCAAGATCTTCTTCATCCTCATAATCTTCATATTCATCATATTCGTCGTCATCAATATTTTCTTGCTTATTAGTTGGAGATATTTCTGTAGTTGTACTTATAATTTTCGCTACAATATTGCTAGCTGCAATGTTTTGGTGTTTTGATAAATGTATGTGTGTTTTATTATTCGATGGTGATCTAAGTCTTTTAGATTCTCTAATTTGTTTTGAAAAGTTAGAATTTTTATCGTTTTCATTTTCATTTGTTAGAGTTTTAAATTCGGCTACAGTCATTGCAGTTTTGTTTACAGTTGGACTATAATGAGGTCGATGATTTTTTAAATCCAACTCATATCTCGGTTCCCCTCTTCGAGGATCCATACTGATGTCAACAAACTCGGAATCCATCAAACTAACTGGTCTATCATTCTTTCCTATATCCTTGTAAGTACGTTCAGAGTTTAGCGTTTTGTCGATGACTTGCCTTGTTTGTAATTTTCTTATTAATGGGCTAATATTACTAGTAGTAGTGAGTTTCTTTGCTTCAGGATATTGGCTTTCTTTAATAATTTTATATGGTTCATACATAAATACAGCTGCCCTTTTTTTTCTAAGTAACGCATCTTGCGTCAGAGGTTTATTTTCTGGTGTTGATTCAAAATTACTATTGTTACTCGCAGTGGTAGTGTCCGTTTTTACTTCAGTTTTGTCATGTATTAGGATGTCCTCAGGAGAATTTTTATTGGTAAAAAATACTTTTGAATGCGGTTTTAATACAGGCTCTGGGCTTTTAATAAGTTCTTCTTTAAAAAATGGACTATCCAATGGATCTTCACCGAAATATTTGGCTTTCAAGCAGTCGATTTTATCACCTAACCCTTTTAAACGTTGTTTGTTTTTCAAATTTTTAAATTCTGCTTCACCTTTATCATTATTATAATCTTCATCATCACTTCCCTTAGCGACATCGTCGTTTTTGAACTTTTCTGGTATTGGATTTATCTCCCTATCTACTTCTGGGCATTCTAAACTAGTTCTTGAGTTATAAAATGCACTGTTGTCTATTTTCTTTTTTGGCATTAATTTGAGATTTTCAGAATATCGAAGTGGGGAATGCTTGTCAAGATTCTTGGAAATTTCGAAATAATATGGATATTTAAGTCGTAATTTTTCTAATTGCTTGCTTGATTTTGTATTGTTTATCCGAAATGTTTTGTTTACAGTTGTGTCATCTGAGATATTGTACAAATTTGATAGCGGTATTTGTCGTTTAGAAACCTCATGTTCGTTTGTGCTATTATTTTCCGTGCCTTTACTTTCACACTTACTTCTTTCTGACAGGTCTTCTACTGATTCAGGCTTTTCTAAATCAGCCTTTTCGTCGTATTCAGTCTCCTCTTCTATATAATCCTCAGATTCATTTTCATCCTTAATTTTCTTCTCTTCATCGTTCCATTTTTCACCATGTAGAACTTGATCTCTTGAAGAAGTTTTTCCTTGGTCGGAATATCCTGTGTCTATTGTTGGGATTTTATATTTTCCCCTGCTAAGTTCATTCTCTTTTAAAAATCCACCATGACCTTCATGGTCTGAGGCATGTTTTTGTTCACCTGCATGATCGTATGCAGAATCCTCGTACCCTTCTTCAGAATAAACTACTTGATTTTTACTGCTCTTTACGGCTTCTCTTAGTCTTGGAGCATTTTTTATTTCTTCCAAATTATCTGCATCATCAAAAGCAGCTGACCGTGGTAGATGTTTGTATGTTTCAGTCTTTCGTACTTGAGCATAGTTCTTAATGGGCACAAACATTTCCTCATCATTTTCTGTTTCACTATTTTTATAGTCATCCTTTTGTAGCTCAAGCTTTTCACTTTCTACTGGGCGATTACTTTGAACGGCTTTGCTTATCGATTCATCAAAATCGTTTCTTATTTGTTGGTATTTGTCTTTTCCTCTTTCATATATATCATAACCATCAGGCTTCTCATCATAACTTTCTGGTGGGGCTAGCTGTGGGTATTCGTTACGATCATCATCATAAGTCATTGCATGTTGCTGGCGTAATTGTTGTATGTTATGCTTTAAGGGGCGATAGTGCATAGGCCTTACTTTTGCGTAATCCTGAGTCCAAGGATGCCTTATTTTGTGATTTAAAATATGTTCTCTATTGTGATTGACGGGTATTCGATGGTAGTAAATCGGACGTCTCATTGGTCTATGAACTTCAAACTGTAATGGCACATTGTGCTGAGGTACTTTTTTCTTATCCGTATCTTCCGGACGTTCTAAATATTCACTCGAGGAGTCAGTCTCGCCAGGATTATTTTCATATCCTTGTAACCGATTTTTGGAATCTCGAACGTCGTTCCTTATTTTTTGCAAAACCGGGTCCTTGTATATCTCCTGTAGAGCTGGCGTTTCCGCTTGGTAAGGATGGTAAACTTCATAGTAATTCGAAATAGGTTTGGCATGATGATTCGTGTTCACATATTTTTGATAGGGTTTGTAGTTCTTGTATGCGCTATTCAGTAATTGGTGTTGGCCGAAGTTTGCTTTCGATGCGCCCGTCAATGGTTCTACTGGGTACGATTCGAAGTGCTTCTCTGGCAACTTTACATCGTGAAATTTGGCAACGTCTACTGCGAACTGGGGTTTGTTTGCGGTGTACTGGAAGTATTCATTTCTGTTGTCTTGTGTCACTGGTTTTTCACTAGCATCGTCCCATGCCACCGGTACTTTAATAGTGAGACACAACGTACTTTGAAGCACTAAGATGGCGGTGATACTGAGCATTGTTTACATCACGAAAAGGCAGGGCGCGGCGCACGACTAGCCCGCTCGATCGTTTGATCAGGGTATTTATCGTCTCGGTCAAGCGTCGCGGAACGATTGCATTTCGTTCGATTTGTTGAGCTAATTTCGTTTAAGGCATAAGCGTTAGCGGATTGATCTTTGCTTTCTTTTATTTTTAACATCATTATATATTTTTCGATTAAAATCTTTGATTTGTGCTAACCACAAAGCTCTGAGTAGTGTCTGTAGTTTACGCGAGTAGTGCACAATAAAAAAAGAAATTGTTTAAAATGCGAAATATTAATTAACTTATTGAAGGAATATTTAAACTAAAGTTGAAATAAACTGAAAACATGTTAATATATCTCGCATTTACCGTTCAAAGTATTTAATTTAAACAAACTTCTGTAAACAAAAATATATATCCTTACATTATATTAGTAACATTGTACATAAACCGAATAAGAACACACAAGAACAGCAAGTTTCCCAGGCTTTACTTAAAGTGTATAAAGACCTATACAGGCTAAATGTTAAAAGTACGACGAGCTACTGTGTCGTAAAAAAGTTAAAAACAAAATAAGCAAATTTATTAGTTTACTTCAGAAAGAATATTTTAAAACTTACTCTCATTTCAAAAGTTTATTATTGTCACTTTAAAATGTATTCCATGAAAGAAATAATATTAAATAAGAAGAATAGGTACTAATTGCTTTACATACTTACCTAATTAATTTTCATAAACGTTTTGTGATTTTAGTAGAGAATGTTTTAAAAGCACTAATATAATATAGCAAGATTCACTTCGCTATACGTTTATAACATAATCCACAACGAATTGAGCAAAAAGTTGTACACAAAATTATTGATTAACAAAACAGAGTGTTATATTAGTCGAACAAAGATGGCGGATGTCCAAGTTGTGTGAAAGGTATGAAACTTTCAACTGGGCCCGGTTTTGCGACCTAGTTGTCGCTTTTGTAAACTTTATCTTGTCTATATTTAGTACCGATAGTACTCGACTGCACACGGTAGACCAGAGTTCAAATCCCAGCTGAGCCGACTGTAGTTAGTGGAATGTAGGGTCAATAAGTAAAAAACGGGTATAAAAGGTATAAATAAAACACTGACAATATCATGTCATATTATTTACTAACGTGTCGTAAATATTTCACAAAAGTTTAAGCTGAAAAGTTTGTTTAAGTGCGCTAATATCAGTAACTTACAAGTTAGAATTGAAAAAATATTTTCTTATATTCTATTTTGTGTTGGTTAAAGCATTTATCGAGGAAGGCTTTAGGCTATATAACATCACGCTGCGGCCAACAGGAGCGAAGAAACATAGTAGTAGAAACTATTCTACGCGGACAAAATCGCTAGCACAGCTAGTACGGATAAAGGGTACTACCATATTCCCTGTATGGGGCAGAAAATATATCGGTGTGTGTTTCACGAAAATTATTGTCCTTTGGATAAAAACGCAGGATCTCGTCAGCTCCGGGAAAAAACTATAAAAATATATATATTGGGCTTCTCCCAATCATTCCTTAGTACTTGTTTTTGATGTGAAAATGTTATATATCTTATATCTTCACTTTTACTGTAGACTGATGTTAAGATGTTAAACTAAAAATCGATCACGGGTCTTTAATTTTATTTGATTAACAGTAGAAGCATACACACGTTGACTCGCTTACGACCTATGAATAAATATAATTTCGAGTTAGTATATCGGACGACAACTTTCAAAGCTGCTTGAGCTTATTTAGATTGTAGTGTACTTATGGAGTGAACTTTTGAACACCTTATCAATAAAACATACACTTGTATATTATATGTAAATATAGAAAATATTGTATTTCAGTTCTTGTGTGCCACTTTTTGAATAATAATTATAAATGTTGTACGCAAGAACTATGGATTAAATTAACTTAATAAACATACTTAAACAAAATATCAAGTTAAAACAATGGCAACTTAAACAGGAGCCGCTCAGCATAACGTGAAACGTTGCAACACTGATTTTCATTCGTTCCTGGCGCCATTGATTTATGTCTTAGTAGTACACTTTAAACTTATATAACGAATTATGTGAAGAAATAATCCTTTTTTATAACAAAGCCTTAATAACGTAACTTAATGTTTAATTTAATAAATCATAAAGTCATGCGTAGATAAATTGTAGATTTTTTTATTTTTTTTAAACCTGTGTCCAGTTGTTAAACATAATTAGGTTGAAGTAACGAGTTCTTAGTATTTTAATTTTTTTTTTTTAATTAAAATAATCAATTGTATTATTTAGGTCGTTACGTCATATAATTGTTCAATAGTTGCCGTCTGTCTGTTACATAAAGCCGGCAACTGCAACACGTTGCAAATGCCTATTGAAAGCCTTGAATTAAATGCAATTAATATTTGTGCAAGGTTGCATTCTCCATGGATCGTTTCAACCTATTTATCCCACAGCTGGACGCTAGTCTCTCCCTCAGAAGAGAGAGAGAGGTTTTAACGAGCGCGTTGATCGAATGATAGCAATATTTGGCAGTTTACGAGACATCAGTTCGATTCCCACTAGCTCAAACATGTTTATGAAAATTACCACATGAATAAATTATGTAAGACTTTCACGGTCATCGCTCAGCATATCATTGTTTCGGGCAGTTCGGCCGACGTGAGCGACAAGCGGTTCTCGCCATTTCGCCATCACGAGCGGAATCTTAATTCTTCCAGCAATCAAAGACGAACGGTTTAACGGTTTACAACACGATATATTTCGGTTAAACTTGTTAGAAATTTTTTTTTTTTAACTACGGCCCGACGTTTCGGCTGCTGCGAATCAAAGTGATTTAGCTAAGGTGTTTTATTTAAATGTGTACTACTTGCGTAAATTACAGACAGTATATTTTATTCTGATTATTATCTCATCGTACTAATCATAAATACTTCTAGAATAATACAGAACGTAGCTATGAGGTCACCCTCATAGTGGGGTAAGTGGTATAAGAACCTGGCTCCACTATTGAACGTCCTGGTCCAAAGAACCCTTAATTAGCGAGTTGAAAGATTTTTTTTAAAACGTTTACCTAGGTCTAAAATAGCAAGCTAGCAGATTTGACTTTAAACTAATATTTTTCACATGTTATTGACATGACACTACATAAATTTAAAAAAAAGTATTCCTCGGCCCGGACTAGAACCGGCGTTCCGTGCTGTTGCTTTAACCAATTGAGCTACAGAGTCCTGTAAATTGGTTAGGTCAAAAGCACGAAATTTAATTTGACTTTACTTAGACATGGCGTTTATTTTTCATCTTTAGACTCCCCCCCCCCCTCGACTGCTATATTCGGCGTTATAAACAGTTAAAAATTGTGTAAATAATCATCAAAATATACTAAATAATTACAATTACTACTTTGACATAACATAAAACTTCTCGAAGTTAATTTCACGCTTCGTTCAATGGAAATCTTTGTTACATTGATTTCACAACTATAATATTTTACTAGAAGGAATTTGAACTAGATACATACTCGAAACGGCTAGAATTATACTGTTTCAATTTTATGTACTAAAAGCTATTTAGGTATAAAGTCTAACTAAATAAGTACCTATAATTGAATCTATCGCTCACGTAAAAAATAACACTTGTGTAACAATTACTAGGTAGAGATAAGTTTTGAGGACTATTTTCAACATTAACTTAATTAATTCATTATTGTTTGCGCGTTTGAAACCGTTTAAAGTTTTTTTTTTATGTTAGTATAACTATATAAAATACTTAATAATGAGCTGGTTTCTTAATAGTAGCAAAAATAAGTAAAAATTATGCTGGAAAAATCTTGCTTCGGTATCAGATGAAAAATTAGTAGTCAGAAAAAATACTTTCTATCTATGCCGACTTGAACTTTACAAATAACAAGATGAAATACTGTCTGTAGTTTACGCGAGTAGTACACATTCAAATAAAACACTGTAACGGTTTAAAACGCGATATAGGTACATTAGTTAAACTTATTTGAAAATTATTTCGACTATGGCCCGACGTTTCTAATGCTTTGCAGCAGCCATGGTCACGGGGAGACGTCGGGCCGTTATTAAACTAATATTTATCGCGTTTAAACCATTAAAGTGTTTTATTTTAATAACCAGATATGCTGTATTCTAAAACGCGCAATCGCATTTTCCTAAATTTTTCAATCATTAAGTGATTTTATCATAACCTTTACCGGGTGGTAGGGTTTCCTTGACACGACGAGAGTAGTACCACCGTAATACCAGATATTCTGCCGCTAAACAGTTTATCAGCTGTGTTCCGGTTTGAACGGCCCTGTGCTTAGTTTTGGCTCGAATTTATTGAAAAAAAAAATATAACTAATACTTTTTCCTTGTTTTTATGTATGTGTGTCCGTAATATAGTAAAAGCAGCTTTATTGGATCCGGAGCTGGTTCAATCAAGTTAATTTCCAGCATTGCTGGTTTAGGACTAAAGAACGAGAGGTCATGTGTTCGATTATTTTTTGTTGTGATTCTGATAATTTTCTTGTTATTTAGTAAAACGTCAAAGAGAGGGCTGCGCGTACAACATAAAAAAGCAGAAGGAAATGTTATTTTATTTGACCATCAAGAAAGAAACAAAAAAATTACCTAACGCATAAGTAATCTATAATAACACATAAAGCTGAAAAGTCTGTTTGTTCGAACACGCTAATCTCGGGAACTACTAGTTCTAAGACTATAATAGGCGACCAATAGGAGCAAAGAAACAGCGAGAAATGTGGAGAGAAGGAGAAAAGTGTTCATCAGAGAGCAATAGCTTAAATCTATTGTGATAGGAGGTTTGCAAAAACAAATTTTGATACCCAAAATGACTACACGGACGAAGTCGCTGACAGCTAGTTTTTTTTATAAAAAAAATAACAAAAGGTTTTAAATACAATCTAAAACACACATAATAAAATTGTAAATACCTAAGGTAAGGTCAGCAATTGTTTTAATTTATTTTGAATGAAACCATGCAGTCTGTGGGGCATGTGGCAGGAACACTTATCTGTGTCAGTTTCATCAATCAATTTTATTGGTTTGTTTAAAAAAAATCTTATTAAATTACAAAGATCCATCACGAGCGAGACTTGAACCGGCATCCAAAGCGTTCCGTGCTGATGTTTTAATCGGAGCTACCGAGTTCATCATCGAGTTTCTTTCAATTGATTCACGGATCTCTTGCAATTACTATGTCTATACTCTACGCCTCGCAACTTCTACCTAAAGAACCTTGTACGCACAGAAACTCGCTTAACCATTGAGTTACAAAGGTGATCTGAATAAATTCAGAAAGTTAATCATAATTAATTAATAATCCACGTTTGTTGAATTATTTTATACGCCTGATATTATACCATAAGCAAAATTTACAATATTGTATTAAAATTATTTTCGGGCATTTTATAGTAGCAACTTTAAGTTATTTTATTTTTAATATAACCTTTAATTTATTATTGTTTGTATTAATTATTTATTTTTATATGAAGCGTTCGCTGGCAGATTATTTTTTTTTACTTTATGAGCATTGAAAAGTTTTTCTATCTTTTTACGCAAAAGTACTTGTGTTGGGTTTTAAATTAAATTCAAAGTGGGTAATGTTTTAAAAATATATATTTAGGTTTAAAACATTATCCCAGCCGGTAGGTTTTACATTTAATACATCTATACTAATATTAGTATAGATAAAGCTGAAGAGTTTGTTTGTTTGAACGTGCTAATCTCAGGAACTAATGGTTCGAATTGAAAAAATATTTTTGTGTTAGGTAGAGCGTTTATCGAGGAAGGCTATTAAGCATCACGCTGTGACTAATGTGATCGAAGAAACTGTGAGAAATGTAAAAAAACGCAGGAAATTATGTAACTCTCTGGGATTCCAATTCAAGACACCCAAAAGATATGTGTCACAGGAAAACAATAGAATGTATCGGTCTGGCAGGGCACAGTTGTCTAATCAACCACTTGTCTTGGTAAAAATCCGATCAGTAAAACGGACACCAAAGTATGTTCGCCTCCATGCCCCACGGGAAATGGGATTTCACACAATATATGCAGGGGCAGGATTTGAACTTTGATTAATGTTTTGGTCTATTTTTAATTCTAAGGCATAAAACGACAATTATTGCAGTAAATACTTTACTGAAAATGTTTTTTATTCTCTTTACTTACGCAATAATTTTACATTCGCGCTGCCACTAATATATTATTTTTCTATATATATTCATATAATTTTTTAGGTTCGTTACAACTTTTCCACAATATTTAAATTTTTTGGTACTACTTGTTATCTGATAGGGACAGACTGAAAATCAGCGCTTAGCAAGGCTTGCTGAGCACATGCTGAGTCTTGATGCCTTTTAGCACAAAGTTAAATTTGTACATTTTTGGTATTCTTTTAATTGTAAGTTTTCTTTTTTATTACTTATTTTAGTTGTAAATGATGTAGTTTGTGATAATAAACAGATTATTTATTTTATTTATTTACTTGTGTATTTAACTATAAAAACGTATTCGGCAAGATGTTACATACTATACATTATCATCTCGATCGAATCCATCGGCAAGCTGTCAAGGTTTTAAGTTAGCCTTAGATGGAATCGATATGTGTGTTAAATATTTGAACGGCGTTATTCTGAAATAGCATGCTTGCGTCTCGCGGTGGCACCCACATTTTTGGAACCCAGCTTTTGACTTTACTCTCGCAAAATTGGAGAGTAAAGAGTAAAGTACGGAAGATATGAGTGATTAATTGGGGTTGGATTAAAAATGATTCTTAACGGGAATGAAATGTTGTGGAAAGAGAATAATCGACCTATGTCACTCTCGATCGTATCGATTGTAACAAGTCATGTCAATTCGTCGCTAAGCAAAGAAAGACGGACAAACAAACAGACATACACAAATAATATTAGTATGGATAGGTGCTTCCAGTTTAATAAGATTTTTACAAAAGTAATATCTTACTGACAAAAGGGTGTACATTCTAGATTTTTTAAATCAATGAAACCTAAATAAGAAGTAACTTTGACTTTTGGATGAATCCTAAATCCTTATTTTATATGAAATACAAACACATACAGAAATACTTTGAGCACCTGCTGGCATAAAATACTTAATTATGTTTTTTTTAACTTTGGCTCAAAAATATAAATAATATCGTTTTGGAAATCAACTACAAACGAACAAAATTAAAGTTTAGTTTTTTTCGGGACATTGGTTTTGGGTTTGATTCCCACCGGATCAAACAGGTTTTAAACACAATGAACATTTTTTTTAAAGATTTCAACATCAAAACCGTGAATTTAAGGATAACTAAAGCAAAAATAGGTTGTCATCGCATCTGTTTAAATTTTTTTTATGTTTGTCTGTCTTACTCTATCATAGAACTTTTTAAATAACAGACAGATAAGTTGTATATATAAATATTTGAGTCCAAGGCGTTGAGGGCCGCGTATCAATATAAACAGTGAATGTAGGTGCGCGGGAGTGTAGTTCTCACAATGTCGACCATACGGCAGGTTTGTTCCTTTGTTAGTTTGTACCTTTAACTATACGTGTGTAACAGTGTCATAGTGGAGGGGGTCAATCCCCGATATAACCCCGTTATATCGGGGATTCAATTGATGAGAGGTGAAATACCCCAGCCAAATAACGTCTACACAATATGCGCTGTCGGCCTATTTTGGCTTTGGATATTCGGAAAACAACTATAGGATTGCTGTGGAGGAAAACACTGTGAGATCGGGTTTTTCATTAACAATTTTATTGTTTTTTGATTAACCACACACCATTCCAGGATTTACTTACATACTGCTTATTTACTAGCTAGGGAATCATTCGATGAAATGCGACATGTGCCATGCTTAGCCATAATGATACATTGATATACCGCCTGTAGTTTACGCGAGTAGTACACATAAAAAAAAACAGTTTAACGGTTTAAAACGCGAAATATGTTAGTTAAACTAATTTGGTAATTATGTAAAGCAACCGAAACGTCGGGACGTATTTAAAATAATTTTTCACAATTCTTGGGTATATTGAACAATTTTAGCAGCGTCACAGAGATGAATTTCCCCCCTTATTTCCACTTTTCCCACTGTTTCTTCGCTTCTAATAATCAGCGCGATGTTTTATATAGCCGATACCCTATAGTCTTCCTCGAGAAATGCTCTAATCAACACAAAAATATTTTTTTAATTCGAACCAGTAGTTCCTGAAAATAGCGCGTTCAAACAAACAAACTCTTCAGCTTTATATATTAGTATAGACTTAAATTAAATTTAAAAAACAAGGTGAGGTTCATAAAACCTTCACTTTACTTCCTGAATTGAATTGACCTTTATGTAAGTGGATAGTGCTAAGGACGCATTAAAATTAGTCTTGAATTGAATAATTATATGAATAACAAACCAGTTGCTTAAATAAAATGCTTTCGACGGTATGAAACGCGAAGAGTATTCACTTATCTTATATTCAATTTATCTTAATGGCTCTACGTTTGGGATGTCTTTTTACTTTGATTTAAGGGATCATCTTTAGACGCCTCCATGACCACTCAGTAAATAAATTTCGCGTTTTAAACCGTTATTTTTTTTTTAGTAACAATAATTCATAAGTTGTTATACGTTATAAATTGTGTTATCGTAAATGCGAAATGTTTGTCCTTTACGCTTATTAAGAGCCATTAACATTAATGTCAGAACATAGAAAATAATAATATAATTTCTTAAAGATTGCCCAATATAGTATAATGATATAGTATAATAACAATAAGATACTATTTGATATATTTGATTATTATTAGATATATTTTGATACCTATTAAGCATTGTATATTTAAACTGTTTATAAGGTTAAATGTTGTATATTTTGCAAAGGTATTTGTTAAACTGGTAATCAAATGGCGGAGACCCAAATAACTATTAATTTTTTCTCAGTAAACTGTACTCACTTGATGTTCACTTAACTGGCTGGTACCGCCTACTGAGGTACCAATTAATAAACAATTTTAACAGTTTACGAGAATTTGTTAAATTTGATCACAAACTATATAGTGTCTCCCCGTGACCACGACTGCTGCAAAGCATCCGAAACGTCGAATCGTAGTTAAAATAATTTGTAAATAAATTTTACTTATACATATGGCGTTTTAAACCGTTAAAGTGATTTACTAAAAAAATATAAAATTCTTTCAGATTGCAGTATTCCTTTGCTGTATATTCGTTCTTGCATCGGCAGCACCGAGGCCGGACAGCGCTGGTGATTTTCCACTACCAGCTCCTGGTCTAGCTTATGGTTAGTAATTAATTTCGCCCTATATATAAATGTTTATGTTAAAATTATTTAGTAATAAGTTAAGTATAAAATCAGAAAATTAAACAAATTAATTTATTGTTCAAATTCTCGTCATTAATGAATAAGTTATGTAATTAACATTTAATTAACATAGTAGTACTTTTTAATGTTATGTTTTAAATATTATAAATTTAATATTTAAAAATAAAAACAGTATATACTTTATATTTGTATAAGTGAAATTATTACATTAGTTGTCTTTTTCAATAACAAAAAAATAAATGATCTATGAAAACTGATCAATGTACACTATAAAATTATTATTGAAGTCAAATATATGCATAAACACATACGTGTACACAACAGTTAAATTCAAAGTACTGTTTAAATTCAAAAAATTACGCCTTTTATTTTATTGCTGGCAAAAGTACATATCAGCAAGATTGTTTTTTTTATTTTTAAATTTTATAGTAGTAAGTATTTTAACAATATGTATGCTACCATATACTATTACCGCGTCTGAAGCTAAATGACCAAACGTGTAAAAACGCCTAGCATTGGTTTAAATGTCAAAAGTTAGGATTCGAATCCTGGGGAAACGATAGGTTGTTTTGGTTGCCCTACCCAGCCACAGTACTTTGATCAACTTTGTTTGCGGCTAGACCAAGGGTGCCCCGAGGGGGGCATCGGCCTCGGCTTGGACTGCCGCAGTGCATTCACGCGTTCCTTACTGTTCAAACGATATCTATTTAATAGCTGTGTCCGCGACTTTGTTCGCGTATAATAGTTATTTTGGGCATCCAAATTAGTTTTTTATCAACCAAAAAAAACAAAAAAGTTCTTTAATCAGATTTAAGCTTTTACTCGAGACGCCGGTCGCGTCTCGTCGTTCTAGCAAGTTGATCTTAAGAGACAGATATATAATGTCGCGGACATTTTTTAGAAAATTTATAGAGCAATCATTCTCTCATACATTTTTTTGGGTATCTTGAATTGTTTTCGTAGCGTACGCATCGTTATATATAGCGTTTTTTCCACATTTACATTTCAAATACTCTGTGTGTGAAGTTCCCTTCGTGGGGCATGGGGTGAACACATTTCTCGGGCGTAACGCAATGCTAGGCCAAACGTTTAAACATTTGGCTACAGAGGCAGTCTGACCAACTCTAACCAACACAAAAATAATTTTACAATTCCAACCCGTAATTCTTGAGATTAGCGCGTTCGAACATACAAACTGTTAAGCTTTATATAGTAGTACCTACAGATAAGTTTTATATTATTCTGAAATTTTCAGGTGGTATCCCGTATGGCAGTATGAGTGGAAATGTTGCTGAGTTTTTCAAACACAGAAACCCAATTTATAGCAAGCTGAGCATAGGACATGCCTATGCGCCCATTGAGCAGTACTTATAACCACGGAAGATTATTGTAGCTACTTATTACATTAAGAATAAATTATTATTTATTAATGCATTTTATTCAAATAAAAATTGCCTTTTTTCTAATGATAGAAGAGGACAGACAAACGTGACATTTACTCGATAGAAGGTCAAATATCCCCAGCATATAACATGTTAGCATATTCGTGACGCGGACGGAATCGATATCTATATATATATTAATATATTCATATACAAAACAGCTGTTATATTTTGATATAATATTATGCAATCTTTTATATGTATCGGCTATGATAGTAGTAGAGGTTTGTAGCACAAGAAAAATCTATGTAACTAGCCTGTAGAATTCTGTAGTAATTCTACTTTCGGTAAAAGAAAAATTGCAATAAAAGAACGATCAGAATTTTGCGAAACTTTATTGCTCAGGTATATTTCGTATATTTATAGAGAATAAATTTACTATTAATTATTATTAAACGACTATCAGTATTAAAAGCATGGACGGCTAACTGAGATTAATTCTTAATATCCCTCGGTATTAATTCCACGTCAACGTTATCCAACCTCACTTGCACTTGTTGCTTGCTGTATCTAATTCCGCCATCTTTAACAATCGTCTTCACTGTGAAGTTGCGTAGTAAGTGTACTAACCCAGCCTTAACTTGTAGAGTCGCATACCTCTTCCCGACGCACACCCTATTTCCTTTTCCGAATGGAAGAAAGGCGACACTGGCTATTTTGTGCCGATTTTCCGGGGAAAACCTTTCTGGATTATATACTTCGGGGTCCGGGTAATACCTTTCATCGTGATGTAATTCGAATATAGGTGTGAAAATCTTTGTACCTTTAGCCACCCTTATGTTACCAGTGGGAAGAACTGTGTCATTTACGCATTGTCTTGTTAAGAATCCGATCGGTGGATGCATTCTTAACGACTCACTTAATGCCATTTCTAGAAATTCCATATCATTTATTGCATCGTACGACAATTCGCTATTGTGCTTCTCAAATGTAGCATCTATTTCCTTATGAAGCCTCTTCAAGTACTTCGGATTACGTCCTAGCTCGACGAGGGCGCAGAACATTGCGCTTGCTGCAGGATCTACACCAGCAACAAAGAAGAAGAAAGCTTGAGCAGCAAGCAGTTCATCAGTGGGTGCCAACTCTAAACCCGTGCTCCTATCTACCATATTACCACTGCTTTGCAACTGAACACACAAATCAGCGAAATCGTATTTCTTCGCATTCTCTTGTTCGCGTTTCCTTAAGATCTCTTTAATTGCCCCGATAAAGAACTTCTCATGGTCCTTAAAAAAACTTATTTTAAGGGCTTTGAACACTGGCGGGCTTATGTTGCCAAGGGTAAACTTGAGGTTGGTTATAAAATTTGACGAGAGAGCTTCTTTTGACATATCCAAAAAGGGAGAATCGAAAATCGATTTCGTGGTCACCCCAAACACCGCAGCGCATATCGCTGCACTGCAAAATGTCGAAAGGGTATCTTGAACGTTTTGTGTCAATAATTTGGGGTTGCTGTTCAGTTGCGTGATAAAATCTCGTGCACTCTTGTCTATAATATAATACATGGACTTGAGCCTCGTCGATGTGAATAGTGGCGTCATGTGTTGTCGTACGATTCTCCATCGATTTCCATTCATGAAAAGAATGTTATCTGCTAGGAGGTCATTCACGTTCGTCTCTATCCCTCGATGGTTGAAAGAATTAAAATCTGCGGTCACTACGTGGTGTATATTGACAGGATCTATAACATATAAAGCTGGCGTTAGGAATGAACCGACTCCCACAGCTGGCTCGTTGGGGTATTCTTTGTATATCTGACGGAAACCTTCGAAGAAAGCGAGGTCTTTCGTCATAAAATCCCAAAACACACCGGTCACTTTGTTCTTATGGTAGAAGGTGACGTTACGGCGCCTCCAATACATCTCGTTGTATTTTCCATTGAGGTAGGTGAAAAACAAAATCACTACACAAAAGATTAATATGGCAGCGATCATTGTGGACAACCTTCAACTTGCCGGTAAATTCGTAAAATGATAAATACAGTTCGATAACAGGAATATAATATAAAGTCTTGTATAAATAAAATATTAAATTGTTCATACGTGCGCACACTAAACTCGTTACACTAGTAGAGACAACCGGATCGTCCTTCTTATGCAAATCAAATGCAAATTACAGACGCCATTTTTATATGTTACTAGCTGACCCGGCGGACTTCGTACCGCCTTAGCGTAGCTTTCATGCACTATTTTATTTTATATAGCTGTATATGTATGAGGATATTCAATATGAACTGGAACCTATAATATCCTCCATATAATAATGAGTCCCCATTTTCCCTGGTCTGGCCATACCTGAGAAGGACTTTACTAATTGTATTAAATAAAAAACAAAATATATATTTTAATAATGGTGTTTATTTCATACTTAAAAATGTATTTTATCGATTTTACGGAATGGCAAAATTCGGCGTTTATGACGTGTGCTTTATATGCCTTGCAGAGTAATGGCGAAAGCGGAACAACCCAACGGTTATCAATTTCTATGTCCTGTCGATTTACTTTGACTATTGTTGACTTTCCATTGTCATCAATAGATCGGCGGCGATAAAGTGGATATCCATCATTTCCAGTAATAGTTTCTGTTACTATTTGTCTTGGGTAGCGTTTTGAACATATTCCTTCAACCATACACGGAGAAACGGGATTTAATATTCCACATGGACCACGTATCATATTTTTTGTAATAACCTCATGTAGCAGTGGTTCTTCATTATTATCGAGAATTTCTGCTGATATCACATTATCAATTTCATTCGGTCTTATCCTCTCCACCAACCAAATGAGGACCCCCGCGTTTTTGCCACTCAACTGAGTACATCCAACAGCGCGTCTCGCTGAACACGCGATGCTTAACAATAAAATCCATGAGTGATTTTAATTTCATTTTGAACACCCTTGCAGTGATATAGTGGCGATCAATAGGTGATTGGTTAGTAAATAATTCTTGTTGAATTTCCGTCCATGTTGGATTACATGTGAATGTTATAAACAAATAAGATGTGCCATAATGTCGTACATAGGACATAGCATCTTGCGCATATCATGCATATGTCGCGGCCTTCCAACATATGTTGCTGGGAGAATCTTTTCAGCAACATATGTTGGAAAGATTCTCCCAGCAACATATCCAGTCCAGTTCTGCCAACATTCTGTGCATTTCCGTCAGCATTAATGGCATCCCGAAGATGAATGTATTCCTCGGAAAGGAGTTTTGCCTGGTTCAACGTGATAAATGTCAATCGTTCAGTTTCAACTTTCACATACATATCCACAGCATATTGATGAAATAAACGCCGACACTTTAAGATGTGATTGTCCTCATTTTTCCGAACCATCAGTCTGTATGAGTAATAATTAATTGAACTAACTTTTCTGTTCATTTCAGCACCTGTAAACAAGTGTTTCAGACACACGCTGAAGTTGATCATTCCGCCGATGTAAAACAATGTCTCGGTTTTCAACATTTTCTCCCTCTATGGCAATAACCACATCTTCAATTGTTGGCGCACTAAAACGTCCAACATGTAGTCCTGCAGATGCCTCATCGGCTCTGATGACAATTGTATGATTATCTGATGGCATGCGCTCTAATGCAGTTGTGAATAGTGCAACTAATTCATTGTGTTAATGAAAAAATGTTTGAAGTTGTTCCAAAATAGATCTTTTCACTGAGCTGTTGTGTGTGCAACGCTGACAGACTTCTCTAGCTGAATTGCCAATAAAATATATTTGCAAAAATTTTTAGTCTTTATCAGGCATTGGCAATAAGGAACCTGTTTTATGATATGACCCTGAACCTGCAAGAATATACATATGTATTTAGGTAATTGCATAGCAAATTGTTTGTACCATAATGTGCCTCGCAAAATACTGCCACAATACTTTACATCATTTCAAATTAAAACGACTTTAGACCTCAACATTGAATAGCAGCCTGCCATGGCATCTGTAGGTAGCAGGCTTTACCAAGTATTAGGACACCTTGCTCATGCCATTATGAAATACATGCAATGTGGACACACAATATTCATTGGTCCAACGGCAACAATTTGCTCTGAACTGTAAACAATTGCCACATTATAACTGAACGCAGCTCTGTGGGGATTAAACACAACATTTCTATGTTGATTTCGATTCCGTTGAAGTTCATTTCGAGCTTCGCGTTGCTCATCAGTTTGATTTGCTCTTATACTTCTTTGACTTGCCGTATGTCAAGTTCTGCGGCCTAAGTTTGGAGGTCTGGTTGGTGGCATTGTTAAAAATGAAAATCCAACTGAAAACGAATTGTATAACAAATTGTAATATTGTGTAGTCACCAAAAGATACCTCAAAATCGATATGAAGTGAATTGAACTTACCGTGATTAACAAACACAAACAAAAAACTTCTTAGTCTTTAAAATAAAACGAACTTTATCAAAAACGCATTCAAGGCAAATCCCGGCTTCGCACGGGTAGGCATAAATAGGTATAATATTTATAATAAATAGGTATATAACAGATATTTAAATTAAAAGCATGCAAAACGACCATGAATCACTAAATTAGAAAAAAATTGTATTGCGCGTCCTAGCTTCTTGTTAGCGATCAGCCAATTTTTTATAGTACATATTGATTTAGCGACGTCGTCATAAGGTTATCAATGTATGCAATATTTAGTTTAAAATGTGTTTACAAATATCACTATCTTAAGGTTATCGTCAGGTTGTAAGTGCGTTGTAATTATACTTATTTATACATTTAGTGCATTACTGTGTTGAATCATTAATAATTAAATTTCGCAAGTAGCCTAACAGCAATTTTATGATTTAGTTATACAAGGTTATTCCTACTTCATGCGAAACCTGAAAGTACTTTGTTTAGAATCAGTAGCAGAATACATTCCAATAGTTTTTATACCACGTTATATTTTTTTTCACAATTATATGAATATTTGAAATCCTGGGGGCCTACCACCATCTCTTATAGCAGTATTATTATAATCTTACTTTCAAATTTCGTACCATGACGTTTAAAAAGTAAGCTTATTGTAATATTGTTTCGCTTAGCAGTTTTGTGACGTCACCGCAAATCATTCGCACAATTAAGCGTACCACAACGTGTCTTTTGACAGTTAGCAATATTGTTTTTATGTCAAATTTAGCAATCATAAAAAAGTTGCTTTTGTACGCTGGAAGCAAGATTGTTTTCATATTTCTATTAGAAAAACTAGATATTTTAACTTCAAAAGTAAGTAAAACGTTTTAATTTGCGTGAATCTTTGTGAAAAAGTGATATTTTACTAAGGAAAGACCCAAAATTAGATCTGCAAAGTTAAATGTGTGCGTGGTTCTAGACGGCCGATGAATATGAAAAATTCGAGTTTTTGGAAGTAGATAATGCCGAAACAAACTCATCGAAGAAGCAACGTCGTAGGCATTTACGCCAGGAATGTGACCCTTTCGACCTTGACGAAATGGAGTTTGTTAAAAGATATAGGCTTACGAAGGAGCTCACGTATAAGTTGTGTGATGAATTAAGGCCTCTACTAAAGAAGCCAGTTAAATCCACTAACTTGTCTGTGGAGACGAAGGTATTTTAAATACTATTTATCAGCTTCCCAAACAATGACCAAGAAAGCAACAGAATAAAAGCACAGTAAGTGGTTTTTTATGTCATTATGTTCTTATCCCAGCACAACACTTTTTATTATTATGTAGTAAGGTCATATTATGTTCAGAGTCAAGCTGACTAGACTAATGAATCTTTCTGTATATATGAAACAATTTATTATATATTAAATGTTAATATATTTTTTTAGATTCTATAACAAATTTAACATTCCGGGTATCTTAGGATGTATAGACTGTACCCATGTTGCTATTGCACGGCCTGCACTAAATGAAGAACACTATTTTTGTCGCAAACATTATTATTCTTTGAATGTTCAATTGATAAGTCATGTATAAACTCCCAAACTTACAATTGATATGTTATTAAAATTTTATTGAAATAATAACAAAGAGTTGGATAGCTTTGAACAATAAGAAAAGAAATATGAGGTAGTCACTTTAAATATTACTTATTATGTTATATATATATAACTATTTTACTATGTTTTTTCAGGTTTGTGATGCACATATGAAAATATTAAGTGTAGATGCAAGTCATGGCAGTGCTGCCCGTGACTCCTTTACCCATTGAGAAAGCATTTAGAAGAATTAAGTAATGTAGAGAGTATTCGGTTTTTAGGTATTTATATGTTTTGTTATGAGTGAAAGATGTAATTGAGATTAATTATTTAATTGTCTAAGAAGTAACAATATTATTATTTCAGGTGACTCTGGCTATCCATTGAGAAGGACAATGATGATTCATGCGGTGACAATATAACTCCACCGAGGATGGGCTACTAGGACTGCCCAGCTCTGGGAAAGGCGTCATTTATAGATCTGTAAATAGGAGTGAACATTAATATTATTAACTTTGTTATTAGTTTTATTTTATTATAATATTAAAAGTTTTTTTTTATGTATAGTTTATTATTAAAACTTTATTATTTACTGTGTTTATATTCAAAAGTGAGAGATAATTTTGTACATATTTACATTTGTAATTAATAAATCTGTTTGTAGTTTTTAAATTAAATCACATTTGTTATTTCTAACCTAAAATTAAAATACCTTTCAATGTTTTGCAAGGCGCTGTGTATTTTTTCTGAACCCTCTGTAATTCTGCATTAAGCTTGTCACTACCGACAAAAAATTAAAACACTTTACTTAGCTACTTAAAATTCCAAGCGACGAGAACTTAAAGCTAAACGAAAGATATTTTTTTGGTTATATAAACTAAATAAATTATAAAAACACTATTTTGAACTTGTACTTACTTTCCGTCTGCCATTTTAAAATTGAGATATGTAAATTTTGCAATTTACTTTAAACATACAAACTTTATAATATTCAAGCGTTCCCGCGCCGAATTTCACTGACACCTCGTCACGACTTAATAAAAGTTCCGTTTCATGAAATCACAACCGCGAACCTCCCTATTTTTGACATACTTACGTCTTAAATGTATGATAAGAATTAATTTGAGACAAAAAATTAAGTTTTCAAATTTATTTGAATATACTTTTATTTATTTTAAAAACTTTACACATATATGGTTAAAAATATGAAGTACCTAAAAATCCAAAATCTTAACTGTAAGTGCGTGTTTTGGAACACTGTACGAAAGTGATGACGCTATACGAAAAACATTAGCTATCTCGCTTTCTCCCTAAGCAGGGAATAGACAATCATTCGTTCTTTTACGTCACTAAGCAGGAATAAAACAATATTGTTTTATATAGGTCATGGTACGAATCTGAGTAATATTGTTTTAAGCCTGCAACAAAACGTTCCTGATACATGATGGTTTTTTAAGTTTGTGGTAGGCCCCCTGCTCTCAGAGTCTCTAGTCTACTAGAGTCAGTGCGTGCTCAACTCTTACGCGGTGATTACGTAACAACTTTCTTCCGAATCGCTAACAAGCAATTGCGCATCCCACGGGCGTCTCGTCGTTTCGCGGTGATTTTTTAAGTGTGTTAATTGTACATACATGTCTTACAATTATACCAATGTACAATATGTGGAAATGTTGCGAACACTTGCTTTGTGTGGTGATAATGTTGACGAAGCAGTGAGACGTTATTGAGAACAATTTTGCAACTTGGTATCATGGAACACAATGCTGAGCGTTACGCAGCGCTTACGAGACCATGGCCAGTTCAGACCAGTCGCAGGAGACAGAGGCGAGGAGATTATTCAACGTAAGTCAGTCTTACGTGTGGTGGACTTCAAGGAATGACCACCAATACCTTTATCATTTTAGACGAGCTCAAGAGCTGCTCGAAAATGATAAAGCACAAAGATTCGATAAATTAGTGTAAATAATGGTGATTAAAATTTTCTCTTTGTCTCAATAATTAACGCTAGACTTACATGCCGTTTAACCATTCTGACAATCCAAAGCCTGTAAGTGTGATGGAAAATGTAATTGACAAAAGTTCTGACCATGTGGTTGCTGCATAAAGAATGACATGAAAAAAAATTATAACTTCGTGAGTTTTCATTATTTTTTAATTTTGATTTTTTATCCTGATTCTGCGAATAAAAAGACGTTTGGCGTGTTTCAGATTTAGTATCAACAAAGTATATCTTGTATATATTTTCATCTTCGCACTTCCTAGGTGCAACACTAAGGTGTATATAAGCAGCCGGGTGGATCCTTTTCATTATTATTTAAGCTGTTTATTAATTTATGTAATTGCGTATTTGTCTCAACCAATCTATGTTGTAAGGGCTACTTTGTCGCAACATTCTCACCTCATATCACTCCTACTCTAACTCCCACTCCCACTCAAACTCCCACTAATATTCCCAAAAAGCTAAACAAGAAAGTTTCATTGTTCTAGCTTCAAAAACCACAACTTTCCATACAAACTTCCCCCCCCCCCTTTTTTAACCCCTTACAACCCATTTTAACGCAATAAGTAGCCTATGCTCTTTCTCAGAGTCTAAACCATCTGTGTACCAAATCATTCAAATCCGTTCTGTAGTTTTAGCGTGAAACAGTAACAGAAAGACAGACAGAGTTACTTTCGCATTTATAATTTTAGTAAGAATGGAGTACAATTTATTAAATTACCATAAGAATATAAACAAGTTTTTTATCGACACTAAGTACTTTATTTCAAAATAAATATACCACTATCCCTTCAGATATTACTTTCTATGAGTTACTTTGTCAATTTACACTCTAACTCTCTTTTTTTCAATCGTATCTGAAAATTATTCACATCTTTCAGCATAATTTTATATTCTATACGAAAAGGTTGGTCCGGGGGCAACGATGCCGGTGGGAGTATTTCGTAACGGGATAATAGAGTGGCCAGTAACGTCTTCAGGGAAAGCATGGCGTATTTTCCACCTGAAATTAAAGAATGACATAAAAAAATCTTGCAAAAATCCCTTTTTTTATGATAGAGGAGGACAGGACAAGACCACTTGATGGTACGTGAAATACTCCAGCTATATAACATCTAAACAAGATACGCTGTCGACCTGTTTTGGCTTTGGATATTCGGAAATCCACAGACTGAAACCCAAAGGCGATTAGACTTGACGGCTTTTACATCTGCAGACGGAATTCCGATATTCCCACCACCGATGTAATATCTAAATTTTTAGACAAATGTTTCAGAAAAATGTTCAGAAACACGTTGAGCCCGGCCCGTTGATTCTCAGCCCTACATTGCTACCACTACGCCAACGAGACGGTCGAAAGAACGTGGAGTAATAACAAAGTAATGCGGGGATGTTCGGTCAGGCAAGTGATAAAAAGTCTGATCACTTACTTGTAGGCAACAGTAGGCTCCCCGTGGAACTAGGGGATAGATAGATACGGGATGTCACTTTTTAAATGCGATAGTAATATTTTGATTATTTATTTTCATCATTCATATCACACACACCATCACACCTTACAATACTGCACAAACCATTATGGCAATTAAAATGAGCTTTAGACAATAAAGAACTCTTGTAAGATACTATTCCTTTTTTCTTCCGCGTTTTAAACTGTTAAAATTATTCATTATGAACCTCCCTATTTGAAAAATGTTGACCAACAGGTGCAGATAATAATTATTTTTTATTTGTTTTAAATACCTGCGACCTTTTAGTGACAAAACTCCTTGGTTCGGATCAAAGACAGTCCTTGAACCCGAGCAAAAACTTTGACAACGCTGAACGTCAGTCAAAAGTATTCGAAAATGAATACTTAAACCATCTGACATTTAGTGACGAGAAAAATTATACAGAATTCGTCAATGCACTTAGCACGACCTCGTAAGTCTAGTGTTAAGTGCCTGCTGACTTCTTAAAGTGTTACAAGTGAAAGATAGGTTCAACATTTGTCATTTTTGGAGGACAATTAAAAACCTCGTGCGCCTGCCCAGCGTAGTAGAAACTCTTAAAAAGGCTGATTTAAACCTACTTAAACCTTTTAATATCGTTTTGAACAGTTAAAACATGAAATATAATGATTATTGTGTTGAAAGTACGACCCTTTTTGTCGTATTTTAAACCGCCAGTAATGCTACTTTTATATTTTTTAAAACGATATAGAGTTCACTCATTCGAAGTTAAATAGACCAGCCATATAACATCTATACAAGTGCGCTGTCAACCTTTTTTATTTTCGATATTCGGAAATTCAGTCTACGACCGAAACGCGATTAAACTACATTGTCGGCTTTTTTTATCTGTTGTTGTTCTCTGGATATTTCTACTATCCATTTAATATCCAGATGTCTGGACGAAGTCTGACATATTTCAGGACAAATATAAATTGACTAGAAACATGTTCTACACGGCGAGCGTCGAACCCACTAACTACTTTGAAATACAACACTTTAACAAATTAAATCGCGCCATAAATTAGTTAAACTTGTTGGGTAATTATTTTAAATACCGGATTTTTTAATCGTGTCTCTAATATCAAATTAAAACTGAGCCACCGCCAAATAACTACGACGGAACAGATAGTAAATAATTTTCAATTAAGTTTGAGTATATATATCGCGTTTTAAACAGTTAAAGTATTTTATTTAAATCTCGCGTAACTTACCTATACAGTTTCTAGGTCCGTAACTAAATGGTATGTACGCTACTGGATGCGTGATGTTTGGATTAATAAAACGCTCTGGGTCAAATCTTTCGGGGTCATCCCCCCAGTACTTTGGGTGGCGATGCATTCCCCACATGTTGAATCCTACTGTCGTGCCTTTAGGTATAAATTTACCTGACGCTGAAAAAAATACAATATATTGGTCAATAATTCATATGCAACCGTTTTTAATTAAATGTAATTTTAAGTTAATATCTCATAAGTACTGCTGTAGTTTATGCGCGATTAAATATGTGTATTAATTTAAATAAAATATTTTAACGGTTAAAACACAAAATATAATAGTAAAATTTTGATGACCACGACTGCTACAAAGCACCCGAAACGTTAGCCGTAGTTAAAATAAGTTAATCTTATATATTTCCTGTTTTAAACCGTTAAAGTCTTTCATTGTAATAATCTCATAAGATTAAGTCATTAAAAACACCTTTAAATTAAGGAAGACACAGCTATGTATGATGTAGACGCTAACATTTATAGGCAAGTAGTTAATAGGATTCCGAAATACCGAAAAATTAATTTTCCTGAGATAGGAACCTAGAACCGCAATGCTACAATAAATACTAATACCGTATATTCTATACATAGAGCTACTTTCATAGTACATAGTTCAATGGTATAACTGCTTGCTTGCTTGCTCGCATTGCATTGCGTACGAGATGTCCTTGTTTCGAATCCGAGTACACAATAATTTCATCGAAAGCCGAATGTGACATCCCTTTCCCTACCATGGGGCGAACACATTTTAATGTTCGTTTTAGTGTTGTATCTGTTATACTTATAGGCAAATAGTTGATCAGACTTCTGTGCCCGACTGAAACAATATATTGTCTCCCCGGGATTCAAATCCAGGACTCGCGTTTACCCCAATGCTAGGCCACACGTTTAGAGATTTAGCTACACAGGCGGTTGTGGTCGACGGCTGAATGTAACTGAAATAAAACCGACCAGTGCGCCAAATGGGGAGACGGGATTCATACCCTATTTTTCACATAAGAAAAGTGTTCTTGAATACTAAAAAATACAAACAATACAAAAATAACTAACGCAGTGTAACATCCTTATCGACCAAGCGACCGACAAAAGGTGCCGATGGATAGAGCCGCAAAGCTTCCTTCAGAACCGCTTCCAAGTACTTTAATTTCGGTAGATCATTGTAATCTATCGGTCTTATTGTGTCTCCCATTACTTCTTTAACCCTGAAAAAAAAAAAGTGAAGTAATCGTACCTAGTAATTTAACAGTTTTCTGGCTGATCTATATATTTTATTATTTAAGTAATATCTCAAATTTACGCGAGCATCAATTTAAATAAATCATTTTCAACATTTACAAATAATTTGACCGGACCTGACGTTTCGGACTGCAGCATGGAAGGGCATTTAATTATTTATATAATTATTTATTATATTTCACTTCCTGAAATACACTGAAATCACTAACGCTGAAACTAATTCACGAAGGATGTTTTATACATGAATAAGGTAATATTTTTAAAAACTTTACCGACGGGAATCGAACCCACGAAAATTAGCTCCGGCGAAATAAAAATATTGCTACAAAGGACGTACTCTTGATAAACCTTCTCCTGTACATCAGGGTGCTTCGATAGTAAAATTGCCGTGAAACAGACAGCCACGGTAGACGTGTCTGTACCACCCACAGCCAGCACTAAGATTTCTTCAAGAAGCTCCAAATCTGTCATCGTATCACCATAATTCTCCAATAGATAGTCCAGAATTGAAAAGTCGGTATCGCCTTTAGTCAATTTTCCTGTAATGTAAATTTTTATACATTGAGTAGGACAGACAAGCAAATAGGTCGACTAAGCAAGATGCTCTGTCGACCTATTTAGCTTTGGATATTCGGAAATCCAAGGCCTGAAACTACGATTAAACTTTTCGGCTTTTTTATCTGTGGACGTTGGAGTATTCAGATTTCTAGACGAAGTCCAAAATGTTTTAGAAAAATTATTTATTCATTAGAAAAATAGTGGACCTGTTTGGGCTCGAACCCCCGACCCGTTGATCCATACATCGCTACCATTTCACCAACGAGTTCGTCTTGAAAACTTTATTAGTTTTTACGTGTTATTGCAAATGAAGGCACTATATAATTTAAAAATCGAAAATAAATTTTAAAATATTTTGACTTTATTTTCGGCTTTCTATCTTTCTAGTAAGTTCAAGGACTTGCCACAGACATCTTTTTCTATCTAATATAATTCGCTTACCTCCGTCGCTTCTAAGTTTATTTCCACTTTCCCGAATCTTATTTCTCTTGTCTTGAATAATCTAAAAAAAAAACACCACGTGCAACGTTTGTTTAACAATTTTCCCCACTATCCATTATTACTAAAATTAACGCCTTGTTTAACGTAGTTAAAGTCAAAGGAAGTATGGTTAAACTACCATACTTCCTTTGACTTTAACTACGTTAAGTAAAACACTTTGACGGTTTAAAACGCGAAATATATTAGTAAATCTCTCGGGTACTTTGCAGCAGCTGTGGTCAGGAAGTAAAAATGGGGTCGCTGTTAAAAATATTTCGTAAACAAGTTTAAGTAACGTATTTCGCGTTTTAAACCGTTAAAGTGTTTTATTTCAATGTGTACTACTCGCGTGAACTACATACAGCATCAGTTTCACACTGATTTAGGTTGAACAGGGCACAAAACCGACCTTTAAATAAAAATCTAGGTATCAAAGGTAATAAAGAAAGCTAGGTACCGCTTGCCCCGAATAAGCGAAATCAAACCTTTTTTTTTAACTTCGCATAACGTCTCACTTAACATAATGTCCCAAGTCAGAAACAGACATCAACTGTAAGACCCATTTTCCGTATTATATTAAAATTAATTTATTGCTATTGTTAATTAACTTATTACTTTAACAATTATTAGAAAATTTTATGAAAATAGTATTGTCCGGTTGTGGCCTGAAATGGGCACTTTTAAAATAATTAAGAAGCTAATTTTTTAGTTTTTTTAAAGAAAAAAATTGACGTACTTCATTTATAATGTTGGTCATTATATTCTTGTTCTTGGTTAACGTTTTGTGGTCTGCAGTCCTCCTGAAGATTGATTCCACCACGTAACACCAGGGTCTGAAAGCCAGGTCCGACGCGCAATTGATGTACTCCTCGAAGGCTTCAAGGAGTTTTGCGTTGTTCTCGGCTTTTGCTTGACCCCTCAACCCTAGGCCGGTCTCTGAAAAAATATATGTTGCCACATTTACTTAATGGGAATTTAAATTTATATGAGTGAGACTCGAACCCAAGACCACCGCAATTGAACTACACATTCCGGGTACCAACCCGGAATATTTTTTTTTCATTTACGCAAAATAATTTTCAAAGTTGCTCAAGAATTACAATTCTACATATCATTGTCTTTTGGGCTGTTCGGCCGATGTGAGCGAGAAGAGGTTCTCGACGTTTCGCCATCGCGTGTGGACGGCATCAACAGGAGATGTTAACTTAATTCTTCGAGCAATCGAGGAGCTAACATCTCCTGATGATGCCGTCCACACGCGAAATTAAGAAGCTTGTATAGATTTATTTTCTGACATATTTGTAAGTAAATACTGTCTATAGTTTACGCGAGTAGTACACATTTAAATAAAACACTTTAACGGTTTAAAACGCGATATATTAGTTAAACTTATTTGAAAATTATTTTTAACTTCGGCCCGACGTTTCGGATGCTTTGCAGCAGCCGAAACGAGGAAAGCATGTTCAAAAATGTCATCCCTAAGGAAGATGCGGAAGCAATACGGCAGGATATATCTTGTATCCTACGCTCCAGCAAGCCGCCAAAACACAATCTTTCGCTAGCGGAATCGACTGCTCTCAAACAACTAAGAGCGAATGAAGATATTATAGTACTGCGTGCTGACAAGGGAAACGCCACGGTCGTGATGGATACGTCGGACTATAATCAAAAGATGTCGGAAATACTTGATGACGACGCGGTTTACAACAAGGTTGCAAAGGACCCCACAACCAAAGTAATGAAAAAGACGTCGGAACTTATAAACAAGTACAAAACGACTCTAAGTCTCGACGCCAAACATCTCATCGCAGCCTGCCCGAAGCCACCTAAAATGTACGGGTTACCTAAAATTCACAAATTAAACAATCCCTTACGTCCAATAGTCAGTCAAATAGATTCGCCCACTTATAAGTTAGCAAAACACTTATCCAGAACACTTGCCCCCCTCAGGGGAAATACAAATGCTCACGTCAGGGATTCGTATCAGTTTGTAGAAACTATTAAAGGTCTAAAGGTAGCGGACAATGAGGTTATGGTAAGCTTTGACATCACATCACTTTTTACAAACTTACCTATAGCTGATTGTATCAAAATTATTAAGAGCAAACTTATTAAACACAACATGCCTATAGAATATGCGGATATCTTAGAACATTGCTTGACGACCGGGTACCTACTTTGGAATGGGGATTTCTATGTTCAGGTAGATGGGGTAGCCATGGGTTCTCCAGTTTCACCCTTAGTTGCTGACATTTTTATGGAAGACTTTGAGGAGAGGGCCCTTGCTTCTTCCCCGGTTAAACCTAAGCTTTACAAGCGATACGTAGATGATACCTTCACCATCTTACCCAAAGCACAAGTATCTGCATTTCTTACACACCTTAACTCAATTCATAATAACATTAAGTTTACAATGGAACAGGAGGACAATAACACACTACCTTTCTTAGACATTTTAGTAATTCGTGATGAACACGGTAATATTGGGCATACCGTCTTTAGAAAAACAACCCATACAGATAGGTATTTGAACGGTGACTCACATCACCACCCCAGCCAACTTAGTTCTGTCGGAGTATCTTTGTTTCAGAGAGCCCGCCGTCTCTGTGATGCTGCCCACTTAAATGAGGAGTTACAGCATGTCAAGCAGGTCCTATGCAAGAACAAGATGAGAGTCCCTCCGCAGCATCCCAGGAACAGGAACAAGCCACCCACAGTCAAACGTCAGCCCGCCTACCTACCATATGTGAAGGGAGTTACAGATAGAATTAGCAGAGTCCTAAATCGAGCTTCTATTGACACAATTTTCAAGCCGCACAAGAAGATTCAGCAATTCCTGAAACCAAGCAAGTGTACTATCCCTTTACAAGATGCAGGCGTTTACAGACTGGATTGTGATTGTGGCCTATCCTACATCGGCCAAACAAAGCGTAGCATCTCAAACAGAATTAAAGAACACGTCGCGGATATAAAACATAAACGTCTCTCCAAATCTGCGGTATGCCAACACTCATCAGAAGGGCCCAATCACTACATTCGCTTTGATCAACCAAAAATCCTCGCAAAGGAGAGTAGATTTTTTCCAAGATTGGTACGCGAAGCAATTGAAATCAAAAAACACCGAAATTTCAATAGGGAGGACGGCCTCAAACTATCAAACACCTGGGATCCCATATTAAAAACTCTGGATCCCAATAAACAGCATACCAGCAAACGCGTAGACACGGCCAGTTTCGCCAAATACCAACTTCGACGGAACAGATGGCGCTAGCGTAGCAATTTTTTACTTTGACGTCAGAGACATCCTCCATCTTTAGTCTTCCCGTGACCACGGCTGCTGCAAAGCATCCGAAACGTCGGGCCGAAGTTAAAAATAATTTTCAAATAAGTTTAACTAATATATCGCGTTTTAAACCGTTAAAGTGTTTTATTTAAATATTTGTAAGTACCAACTCTTATAGAAAAACATGTATGATGTACGGAAACCACATATCCTAGACAACCATATCAGTTTTTACCGCATTACGTACAATATTATAAAAAAATACAATATTTCTTAATACTTACCACAAATAGCGTTCATGGAGTAAGTAATGAAGTACGACCAAACAGAAAAATCGCCACCATCGCACTTAGCCTTTAATCTAGCCGCTGTTGCTATGCTGCATTGAGAAAACACATTGACAAAATTGTTTAGGTTCTTCTGGGAAAATGACGGCATCATCAATTTACGCCGAGTTCGCCAAATGTTAGCTGTAAATGAAAGTTTTAATATAAATATATACTAGCGACCCGCTTGGGTGAAATGCCGATACTAAATACACTACGAATGTTGTATATAAAAACCTTCCTTTAGATTCACAGAACGGACATAAAAATGTGTCCGCCCCTTGCGCGTGCGCTTATGTACTAGTTGTGAACAGAGTACTGAGTCTGCTAGTTTAAGAATTACTAATGCTAGCGACTGGATATAATAATAGAGGGTTTTTAAAAACATTGTAATCGTCTGTAAAAGGCCAGTGTCGTGTAACTGCTGACTACGATAATAAACAATCTAATTGCAGAATACTACTACTCGAATTAGTAGATTACGCTTGAATTATGTTCTTGAATCCATTGTTATTTATTTATTTAATGTTATATATTTATTTAATTTACCTGGTGCAAATATTGTTCCATTTCCGGTCAAAAATCTACCTAGTATGCTGACAATTTCCGGTTTCTCAAGACATTCCTTCGATAAATTGTCAATTACATCTGGGTCGCATATAACTAGAAAAATAGAAAATTCATGTTCAGTTAAAACCCTAGTCGGATTAAGCTTTATTTTAAATTACATAAAAAATAATTTAATATTGCTTTATTACACATTTTAGATTGTAATGAAGTTTAAAAAAAATATATTTTTTTAAAAATGAATGAATGTTTTCATGATATTAGGTGATATACTTCAGCCTATAGCATCTAAACAAATTGCGCTGTCAACCAATTTTGGCTTAGGATATTCGGAAATCCACAGACTATAAGCTTCATGGCCTTTTTATCTGTGGACGGTGGTGCGAAACGTAGACAGAATTTCGATATTCCTACCGCCGATTGAATATTCAGATTTCCAGACGAAGTCCAACATGTTACAGAAAAATATAAATTGAAAAATTAGAAACTTATTGGCCCTGGTGGGGATCGAACCGAAGACCCGTTGATTATTTGCCATACATTGCTACGATTAGACCCACGAGCCCGTCAAAATAAATTTAATTAAAGAATTTGTGATTTTTTTACTATAAGATATCAAACATTACAAGGCCTTTCGTCACTTACGTTTGTAAAGCTGTATGTACTATGTAGAATGAATTAAATAAATAAACATTTTCTTACCTAAGTAAAAATCCATGCCAAGCCATAACGATCCTATTTTATGTTCACTTTTAAGAACTTCATCTGACATTTTAAGGAATACATTCATGCGATCTGTAATTAGAAAATAATAATGTTATTTATTTATTTACAAATATCCACTGTCAACAGAGAGAATACAACGCGTCAGTGACTTATTAACAATACAATAGAACAAAAATACTAACACGAACTCAACCAATACTAGATTTTATAACTCAAAATAAACATAAGTGTATCACATTTAAATAAAACACTCTAACGGTTTAAAACGCGATATATTTTAGTTAAACTTGTTTGAAAATAATTTTCTGGACTGTTTCAGGACTGTTGAAATGTAGTAAGGACGTACAATTAAAAAAAGTATTGGTCTTTTCATTCAAACAATTTATATAAATCAAAGTGTGCACTTTTACTATATCTTAGTAAACTTCATTATTTTTTCATCTCATAACTAAGTATGTACAAGTAAATATTTTTTATACGTTCAACTTGTCAATTTTTTAACGAGGAATATACTAAAGTATGCTGTCGCAATTTTTTTTGCGATTTTTTTTCTCGACGTGGCTAGTCAACTGTAGAAAAATTGAGAAGTAATTAATAATAAGTAATATAATATTCTTATAAGACTTATTGACGCTTTAGTCAGTACCAATTTTATAATATATTTTTTTCTTTTCACAAAATTTTAGTACTCGAAATTAAACTGTATACTCGAAGTAGCAAAACGCCAATTATGAAAATAAAACCCTGTATGAAATATGTCTTTAAAAATTAACCATTAAAATAAATAATTACAGGATATATAATGATTTTTATATTCTTACAATCATTTCAACTCGTAAGTTTTAACCTAACTGACAAAACTAAATAACCCTTAATTAAATCCAAAACTATCTGTGTAGTTTGTAGGACTTTTTCTTAATTCATGTAGTAAATAGATCGACAGCACATAGTATTTCACCTGCCATCAAGCGAACTATGCTTGTCTGTCCTATCAAAAAAATGCCATGTAATTAAAATTTACCTTCGCAAGACCCCCGAAATAAATAAGCATGGCCTACAAAAGGTAGCGCAGTATAACTTAGCTTGAATTGTCTCGACGCCACCATATGCCATCGTATCTTCCACAATTGTCTCAAACACAACAATATAAACAACAATACAACTGTTATGTAAACGTACATATTGATAACACGCAAATCTTAAAACTGTACCGTCCCCAAACGCGCTTAGCCCACCGATTACTTCATAACTGGTTGAACTGGCTCTGATGTGTAGAGGCCTCGTTAAAATTCAACTTGTGTCAGTTAGACGAGTTACGACCTTCTAGGTGTACTGAGTCAAGGAGTCACATTATTAATAATTCATTGAACGAAGAGAAATTCAAAACAGCCGCAACACGACTAGCTCGATGGTTTTTATATGGTTAATAATCGACAGGTCGTAAGTTCGATGCCCGCCGAATATGTTTCTAATCAATACTGTAATATGTTCACATATAAATAACTACCATAACTAAATCACATCACTTCTATATGTATCCACACCATTTAAACATAATAAAACCACTACCCTTCCTTCGCTGATGTCGGGTAAAAATTACTAGTATATGGCAGTTTTTTATATTAAAGCCGGCACTAAAACCTTATTCATAAACTATCATTTCTATAATTCACTAATAAATAATATAATATACTAAATAGTTCAATAAATTACAGTCCCAGTTCGTTTCGATAAATATTGTGTAAAAAAACCGAAGACCATTTCAAAGTGTAAAATTATAAATCTTTATTTATCTTTACTAATATATAAAGCTGAAGAGTTTGTTTGGTTGTTTGAACGCGCTAATCTCGGGAACTACTGGTTCGAATATTCTTTATGGTTAGAACATTTATCGAGGAAGGCTGTAGGCTATGAAACATCGCGCTGTGACTAATAGAAGCGAAGATACAGCGGAAAATGTGAACAAAACGGGGGATATTTATCATCTCTGTAGGTTTCAGATGGGTACGCTGGGAAAACTTAAAAAAAAAAAAAAAAAAAAAATTGTTAAAAAAAAAAAAAAAAAAAATTTTTTTTTGATTTTTTTTTTTCTCAAAAAGAAAAAGGGAAAAGGGCCGGTTTTTTTTTTTTTTTTTTTTTTTAAAAATAAAGGAGGGGGGGAGAGAGACGCGAGGGCGCTAAATTTATGTAGAGGTTTGCAAAAACTAATGTGGATGTAAAAATAACTATTCTACGCGGACGAAGTCGCTGACACAGCTAGTTATAAATATTTATCTAAGTGAACTCTAGAAAATATTAATATATTTTTACAAGCATAACATTCACCTCTTAAGGTTATATGAATTCCTTGAAGGTTGAAAATTACTGATTAATAGCCTTTGATTATCAACCGACTCTGTTTTAATAACATATAATTATTTTGTTCTAGAGTTGTTTGTAAACCATATAATTTAACATTCTTATCAACAAATAAAGACATCGATTTATACTTTCTTCAACTGTTTACACAATTGTCCGTTTAACTTTATTAGTAACTATTTAATAAATCTTAACTAGCTTATTACAAATTATTAGTGTATTTTTACAAAGAATATTTTTTTGTAAAAATACACTAATAATTTTTTAAAAATTACAGTTTAAAGCTTTTATTTTAAGACAGTACTTGCAAGTATTATCTCGGCTCGTCGTATTTCTTTTCTGTAGTACATTTAGGTTTTGTATGAACAATTTATTAAAAAAGTATCTAATAATTAACAGCTTTTGATATATTAATTTATCAACCGCGATGGCAAAAGTTCAAGTCTATAAATTATATTTTTTACAGTATCGATTAATCATTTATTATTTTCCTGTTATTGAACTGATACAAAATACAATAATTATGTTTTTACTTGGTGAAAGTATAATACTGAATCTAATACAAAAAAATATGCACTCACTACAGATTATACTAACTTTGCAAAACACAAAAAAAAAATACTGTCTATAGTTTACGCGACTAGTACACATTTAAATAAAACACTTTAACGGTTTAAAACGCGATATATTAGTTAAACTTATATGAAAATGATTTTGAACTTCGGCCTGACGTTTCGGATGCTTTGCAGGCAGCCCTGGGCCTGGACACGTCGGGCCGAAGTTAAACTTTTTTACAAATAAGTTTAACATATAAGGGCCAAAATACTTTTTGATGCCTAAAAACCAGTCCCTGGAATTAACATTACATTTAATGCAAGTGGGTTACAAAATTGTGACAATAGTATAATTATTTTAAAATTTAACATTATTATCTAATACAAAACACATGATTTGAACTGAAATAATTGTTATTAATTGAAAATTTACAGTAACAAAGTTGCCATTTTTAGTAACGCAGCCGTTTTTCATACTAAATATCTATGTCCCTGAGCATGTGTGCCAAACTATACGGAACAATTTCTCAAAATATTTCCTAGGTGGCGGTTAATTATAGATGATATAATAAAAATGCAAGGTTTGGACGTTATTAGAATGGCATTAGAAACGTTTTAAATTGAACATTTAATAAAATAAAAAAATAATGTATCTGTGTCCCCAACGAGTAACAATATCGGAGCTACCTTGCGTTACTGTATGAAAAAAGACTTTAAAATGATTGGATTAAGGTTACTTGCACATTATTTGGTTCGATTTGTAGTAACTCGTTTAACAAACGACAGCAACAGCGCGGGGGCAGTACTCTCCCCGTGCTGGTCGCGTCCCGGTCCGTGAAGGAGGTGCGTGTATCTATTGTCTGTCTGCTGAGTTACCGCTGTTAATTTTACGTCCTGACGATATTTCACGTTATTATTGTTTTATTACGCATTTAGGTATGTATTGCAACCGTGAGTGTAAAAATATCTGGATTTTATTATTTGATTTGGAAATTATTTACAATTTAGTCAAATATTTACAACTGCGTAACTGCTACACTGCGTTACAAAAAAAAGTAACGCAGTAGTTAGATAGATAACGTAGTTGTATTTTTGTTACTTATAAACAGTATACGTTATTAAATCCGATATAGCTATAGGAAAATTGTATCTTTTTTTCTCAGAAAGAAGTTTCTGTCCTAAATGGCGCTGACAAACGCAGAAAAACAACGTCGCTATAGATAAAAATTGAAACAAGACCCGGTAAAAAATGCTGAAGCTGGATTATGAGAATTTCGTACCATATCTGCAAATAATTCTAATAATCCAGCCTCTATCTGGGCACACTTACATCCAATAATTAGTGATATACAACATAACAATCCTAACATAACTACAATTCATTTTTTCTCCGATGGACCAGCTACTCAGTATCGACAGAAGCAAAATTTTTATTTCATTAGTCACAGAATATTCACTGAGTAAAAGATCATACGCGTTACATGGAATTTCTTTGAAGCTGGGCATGGCAAAGGGGCTGCTGATGGTGTTGGCGGCTATCTCAAACGCATTGCAGATAAAAAAGTTGCTGTTAGTTCAAATATTTCTAATGCAGAAGATTTTTTTGACACCCTAAAAGACTTGAGCAAGGTCCGTTTTTACTTGGTGACACTGACTGACAGTGATATTCATAACGTTGAAAATACACTACCTGAAAGTCTAGTGCCACTTCAGGGTACGATGCAATACATCAGGTTTTTACTCACACTTTAGGTGAACTTCGCTAAAGAGACCTTAGTTGTTTTTGCAAGAGGGGTTTTTGTTAGTGCATGAATCCAAAAACATATCAGCCTGCATACAAACATATCCCATCATTGACACATGTAAAGAAGACGTTCCATTTGATGAATCGGATAATGATATAGTCCTTGATGACATTACTAATATTGTTGCCGTACCTTTAAGGTACGTATTACAAGATTTATTAGAAGTTTATTATTCGTCTTCTAGCTCTGACGAGAAGCCCTTATCAAGCTTGTGCCAAGTGTCAACATCTAACGTACAGGAACACGCACGTGAAATACAGCTATTTCAAAAAAATGCAAAATGTTCATCCTACGAAGATATATGAAGGTGTCCATGTTTTAGTAAAAGTTACTTATGTTAAGGAAAAATAATATACTTTCCTTGGTGTTGTTAAAAGTAAAGTTGATGAAGAAGGGGACGTTAAAATTATGTTTTACAAGACAATTGACGACACTGGCAAAAGATTCAAAGCAGTAGATACCGATATATCTTACGAACCATACGAAAACATTGTAGAAATTGTCCCTAACCCCAAACTTGTCGTGAAAGGTAAAAGATTATACTTCAATTATGACAAGCCAAAAAATTTCTGAAGAGAGACTGAAGATATAGTGCCTCGTTAGTTTATACAGTTGATTTTCTCATCAAGGTATATTAATTCTTAACAAATATTGACGTAGGCAAACGTTTTATGTTACTTGAGGTACTTAATTTTATGTCGAGTCATGAACAGTTAAAATTGTTTTGTTATAAAGATCTCTATTAAAACTACAAAGTATAGTATATAAAAAATACTACTGTGTTACGAAGATTAATACTGCGTTACTTTTGTGTCCCTCTTGTTTTTATTGTATCTTTAATTATACAAAGGACTCTTATTGTCAAAAATGTCTTAAATTTATACGTACGTACTATTTATGACAAGAACAATACTATGTTGTCAATTGGAATTAATTTTAAGTTTATTTTTGTAATTTATGGAAAAGTTTAAGTTTTAATATTTAACATAGGTAACGCAGTGTATCTAATTAAACATGAATATTCGATGAAACTGATTATTTCTGTGATTTTGCTTTATAGGTGATTTATATAATCACTACAGTTTAAAACTGACGTATTATTAAGTCTCAATATCCGATTTATCAAATAATAACCTCATCTGTAAAATAGTTACGCAGTTGTTTAATTTCTCGACAACTTGATGTATTATATGCTATAAATATTATTAAATCATTTAAACCATCGCTGCTGAGGTAGGTGTGTTATAAATAGAACTATAACGTATCTATTTCAGCATTTAAAAAAAGGAAATTAAGTATTTCAATTTTGAAAAAAAAATCTGAATTGTGTTCTCGGATTAGGCGCTTAAAAGTATTTTGGCCCATAAACATAAAATGTTGCCAATAACAAAATTTCCACGCAGACATAGCGTCATATTCGCGGGCACAGCTAGTCATCGATAAAAGTCATTTGGCACGCATGTAATGTGATTATGCTGTTTTATCACAATATTTTAGCACTAATTACTTACATCTGAATTAACAGTCTACCTTACTCGTAACTATAATCTTTGATTTGGACAAGTGTGATATTTTAACAAATATACAGACAAAAGAATAGATACTTATACAGTAGAATTGAAAAGGCAAGGATACGTCCTACATTCCGATCTTAACTTTCGCTACTAATATTCCTTAGTGCATACCTCGTTAGTACTTTTAATAAAGTGGTGAGCTTTTAATACAGATGTATCGATTAGATATCAAATAACGAGTGTATTAAAACGTGTTTCTGTGAGTTTTTGCATGTAACACGCCTTGTGAACACCGCACTTTGATATTTGCACGTTTTTTTTAATAATAGGACGCTTCAACTCCGTTCCGTGTAATGGTTTTAGTCTAAATAGATTTTTAATTAAACACAGCAAAAATAACATCTTAAATACCTATTTACGCTGTCGGTGTATTTTGGCTTTGGCTATTTGGAACATCATGTATGTGTTTTTTCATCATTTGGCTTTGGTCTTTTAAAAACGCGTTACGCCGCGTCAGGGTGCATATAGCGTCGGGTAGGTACTTTTTTTTAGAAAATTTCAAGAGAAATCATTCTTTGATACATATTTTACACATACATATTTTTTGGGTACGCCTCGTAAACCTAAAATAATTATGAATAATTTTTACAATTTGTTTCACATTTCTCTCTGTATCTGTGCTTCTATTAGTCACAGCGCAATGTTTTATAGCCCACAACTTTCCTCGATAAAAACAAGCCGAGCCAGTAGTTCCTGATATTATCACATTCAAACAAACAAACCCTTGAGCTTTATATAATATATAATCTTTTTGAAACTATCGCGTTACATTGTTTTCCTTTCAGCATCCCGAAAGTTTACACAGTCCTTTGTTTCAGCTTGATTGGAAAATTGTGAACATCCCTCATCATCATTTTGAATTCTAATCGCAATGGTTGGTTCAGGTCTGTAGAGGCAGCTGGAAGAACCTCGTAACGATGTATGAAATTTGCCATCATCGTTTTTATAGATACCATGGCGAATTTGTAGCCTGGAAATGATCGGTCGAATTTATTAAAATGTAACTTTGAAAACTTTAATATTTTTCACATGTTGTTGCACATGATCTCACATGAATTAAAAATTGATTATAAATAATAAAAATACGACACATACAATAGGTTTAAAAAAATTGACCATTACGTATAGGACGCGGTAGTTCATATTGTCAACAGCACGGAACGCCTCTTGGATGCCGCTTCAAGTCCTACCCGCATTGTACTTTTTTTTCAATCTAAAACCGATTTTTTTATTTAAAATACTAATCAATCTGATCATAAGCAGATTGATTAGTAATTTAAATAAAAAACTCTTATGAGTTTTTTATTTAAATTATAACGATCTCATAACAACTTATGTTGTTATGAGATCGTTTGTTAATCGTCAATGTCTAAACGGCTTGACCGATAAGGATGAAAGAACCATGGCCAAATCGTATCTGACAACGACCAGATATGTTTTATTCTTAAATACTTTCTGTACTTTACGCACGTACACATTTAAATAAAACTCGTGATGTGCAGCCGTGCAGCAGTCGTGGTCACGAGGAGACTCACCCCGTGACCACGGCTGTTCCAAAGCATCCGAAACGTCGGGCCGTAGTTGAAATAATTTTTAATTAAGTTTAACTTGTTAATAAAGCGTTTGAAACAGTTAAAGTGTTTTATTTAAATGTGTTATAATTTTTACATAACCCCATTTATATACTTAATGAAAAAGTTAGTTAACATGATAATTTTCTGCAGTTGAAACATTATTAATTAAACCGAGTTTTCAAACAGATTGGAATGCAAACGTTTATAGCTCACCTACACAATTCCTAGGGCCGCAGCTAAATGGTATAAACGCAGTAGGATGTGTCGGGTATCCATTCATAAAACGGTCCGGATTGAATGTATTTGCATCTTCGCCCCAGTATTTCGGATGACGATGCAGCCCCCAAATGCTAAACCCGAAGGAAGTCCCTTTGGCTAAAGTTATCCCTGACGCTGTAAAATAATCCACAATGTATACCAATAACGCTGAAAAGTTTGTTTGTATGTTTGAACGTGCTAATCTGAGGAAGCATTGGTTTGAAATGAAAAATTCTTTAGTGTTGTTTAAAGCATTTATCGAAGAAAGTTTATAGGCTTACACATCGCGCTGTGACGTAACAGCGACATATGTGAAGGAAACGACAAGGCGGGCCCGAAGTCGTGGGCAACAGCTTAAATATATAAAGATCAAAAGGGGGTTTTCAAAAAGAAAACTTTTATGCCTAAAATATTATTTTATACAGACGAAGTAGCTGACACAGCTATTTAAATAAAACACTTTAACGGTTTAAAACGCGATATATTAGTTAAACTTATTTGAAAATGATTTTTAACTTCGGCCCTACGTTTCGGATGCTTTGCAGCAGCCGTGGTCAATTCTGTAAGGACCCGGCCAGTTTCGCCAACTTAGACGGAACAGATGGCGCTAGCGTAGCAATTTTTTTCTTCGACGTCAGAGACATCCTCCATCTTTAGTCTCCCCGTGACCACGGCTGCTGCAAAGCATCCGGAACGTCGGGCCGAAGTTAACAATCATTTTCAAATAAGTTTACCAAATTTTTCCCTTTTTAACGTTAAAGTCGGGCCGAAGTTAACAATCATTTTCAAATAAGTTTAACTAATGTGTCGCGTTTTAAACCGTTAAAGTGTTTTATTTAAATGTGTACTACTCGCGTAAACTATAGACAGTATTTGACATAGCTAGTTTAAAATATACGACCGCGTCCGAAGCTAATTACCTAACGTGTTAGTAACATTGTGTTAAGGAGTGATCTCCGACTCGAATCCCGGGGAAGCAATAATGCTGACGAACAAAGAAGTTTCAACATCATATCTCATGTCTGTAGGTCGATTAGTAAACTTAAATAGGGAGAAATTGGATTTGACTATTAAAGTTTTTTATATTAATATTAATTTTATTAAATTCTCTATCTATAGAACAGTAATATCTCTATAGAGAATTCTATTTACCTAAGACAGGATTGATGTGCGGATACGATGGTTCCATTGGTTAAAGAGTAACACGGACCGATTAGTCATGAGTTCGAACACTGATATTAGCATTAACATCTTTTAGCCGAAAATAGTAGAACAAACTTCTAATCTATATAGTAAAGACAGTCTTATTTAGTCCTGGCCGTATTAAAAAATATATTTTCGATTTTTAATTTGCACATTTTTTTATGTATATCTTTAAAACCTAATGAAAACCTTTACTACACGTGTTATGTTAGGACCTAAGTTCCAGCTGTGGGAAAGGGTTGATAGTATTACTTACGTAATGTAATGTCTCTGTCGATCATTCTACCAATTAAAGGGCCAGGTGGATAAAGCCGTAAGGTCTCTTTCAAGACCGCTTCCAGGAACTTCATTTGCGCCAGGTCGTTGCTATTTAACGGTCTAATTGTGTCGCCCATTACTTCTTTTACTCTGAAATAATGAAATAATGCTAGACAACGGATTTAACAACGAACTACGTTCAATACTTGTATATTTTTTAAACAGTTTTATTTAGCTCGACCCGTGCGGAATTTAATTATTTGGGTCAAAATTGGAAATTGAAATTTAAGCACCTTCCCGTTGTCAGATCTGAAATTTGGTATACACATTTAATTTAGATGACAATACAATATAATAAAATCAAAACATTATAAATCCGAGATGGCTACCCATACAAAATGGCGGATTACATATTTTATCTTTACCCTATCAAATGAAAGGGCTACACTAGTGAAACACGATGATTATGTTAAAACTTAAACTTTTTTGTAGTTTTCAGTGCACAAAAAATAAAACTGTTTAACATAAAAGTTTTTTTTTTATGTTGATACTTGTTTATCATAGGGGATGACAGACAAGCACGAATCTCACTCGATGGTAGGTAAAATACCTCATCTAAACAAGATACGATGTCGACCTATTTTAGCTTCATTAACAGACTGAAGCCGAAACGCGATTCTTTACAGCTTCAGCTGTGGACGGTCTTGATCCGGAAATTTCGATATTCCTAGAAGAATAAGTCTGTCTACGTGTCGTTTAGTGTGTAAAAAAGTGTGAAAACCCGTTTCCCCGTCGTGGGGCATGGTGCGAACACATTTCTGTGTCCGTTTCAATGATCCGTTCTTTTAACAGGCAAGTAGTTGATCAGACTTCTGTGCCCTGCTCGACCGAAACAATATTATGTTTCCCTGGATTCGAACTCAGGACCTCTCTCGCTTAACGCAATGCTCGGCAACACGTTTAACCATTTAGCTACAGAGGCGGTCTTTAGTGTGTATGATGTCTTTATCCTTTTACATAAGATATACATAAGAATTATTCTACCTATAATTAAGTAAGTTATGCATGTTTGTGTACTGAGTTAATAAGCCTTAATAAATAAATGTCTAGACTACTTACTCCTGGTAAACTCTATCCTGTACATCAGGATGCTTGGCCAGCATCAGCGTCGTGAAAGAAGAGGTAACAGCAGATGTATCGGTACCAGCCACCGCCATAACGATAATCTCCTCGAACAATTCTTCATTAGACAAATGGTCCATTAGGTAATCGATAATTGTAAATTGTCCGTTTTCACCTTAATAGGAAAAAACGAAGAAGTTAAAAGAAGAGTTCGCAGGTGGCTCGTAGGTCTAATGGTAGCATTGTATGTCTAGAAATCAACGAGTCGTGGGTTCGAACCCCACCGGGTTTAATATATAATAAGTCTATCGCAATGGAATTTTTCTGTAATGGTAGAATATGTTTATAATGAAATAAATAAAAAAAATAATAAAAATAAATGTTTCTAATCAATTTATCTGAAACATGTTTGTGCGGAAATCTGGATATTAAATGGGTGTTAGCAATATCGAAATTCAGTCCAGTCCACGAATCACCGTCCACAGACGAAAAAGCCGCGAAGTTTAATCTCGTTTCGGGTTCAGTCTGTGGACTACTGAATACCCAAAGCCAATATAGATAGACATCTTGTTTAGATGTTATGTGGCTGGGGTTTACATAGCATCATAATTATCAAGGTGTGCTGTTGATCTATTTTGGTTTGGCCATTATACAGCGGAAACGTGTTTAAGAACTACTAGATTTCTATCTGTGGTGGTGTCTGACCTGGGCATATTTTTTTATATTCCTACTATCCATTAAATATCCAGTTGGAGTAACATGTTTCATAAAATATATTTAAATAAAACCAGAATCAAACCCATGGCCCGTTGATTTAACCATATATTTATTGACGAACCGCAGAAAACATTTATGTACGCAGATAATTTTATAGACGTGTAACGCATTTACTTTTTTTGTAATCTGTATTAATATATAAAGCTGAAGAGTTTGTTTGTTTGTTTGAACGCGCTAATCTTAGGAACTACGGGGTCATTTGCTATAAGAAAAAAATACCTGGTGCATCGATGTTGTTCAATTTCTTCTGTCGCTTGTAGGAAATAACCTGCAACAGTGATTATTTTAAAGTACACTTTAAACACTGTTTTTTAATTAAGATATATATTTTAAAGTACAGCAACAGAAACAATGGATATAGTTTATTTAATTGATACTAAAAATATATATATTTTGTTACTAAAAATAGTATTCGTTTACTACTGTTTTGTGGTAGAAATTATACCAAAATATAAAATGTATTTTTTTTAATATTTCTTTCCAAAAAATGTGTGTAAAGTACCGTTTCCTCTCATGGGGCATGGGGGCGAACACATTTCTGTGTCCGTTTCACTGATCGATTTTTATTTACAGCCAAGTAGTTGATTAGACTAAGTCTAGACATTCTTAATTCAACACAAACCTATAACTTTGATTATTTAAACTTTTTGTGCCTTCTTGTAGGCTTTCGTACATATTAACACGACATTGCCATAACGATCAATCTATCCTAATATTATAAAGCTGTAGAGTTTTTTTTTTTGTTAAATGAAGACTATAATATGAATATACTGACTTCGTTGATTACTGTAAATAATATCGCCCTGTTCTCTTGTAATATTTTGTACTCGTTAGTCCTTTCGAAGATTGTTTGAAACATGTAAAGCCACGGTTTGAATCCAATATCGACAGCGACTTTTAAATATATCGCCAGCGCATTGAAAAATTTATCATTGTTTTCCTTATTAACGAAGTCCGTCATCCCGAATCCAGTCTCTAGAATAATAAATATTACCATATAGTTAAAATGTGTGAAAATAAAGGTTTTAACGTTTAAATAAAACACTTTAATATTAATTTACATATTAAGACACTTAAATAAAACAAAATGGTTTAAACCGCGATATACTAACGTTTTTTCTTTGACGTCAGAGACACCCTTTATCTTTAGTCTAACCGCTGCTGCAAAGCATCCAAAACATCGGGCCGTAGTTAAAATAAGTTTGACTAATATATATCGCGTTTTAAACCGTTGAAGTGTTTTATTTCGATGTGTACTATTCGCGCAGACACTACCTTAATACCCACTAGTAATAATTTATAAGGATTCCTTTATATTACAAACAATATTATACAAGTGTATATAAATGTTCGTTAGTTTAGTGGTTAGTGAACTCGTCTCCCGGTCAACCCAGGACGGTTCAGAATCTTAGAAAACTTCCACTATCAGCGTGGTGGGTCTCTCCTATAATAAACGAGGCCTCAGCTTTGGGATGTCAATAGATTATAGTGATATGAGATAGTTCTTTGCTCTTTTATTTTTTTCTTATCTTTTCCTTTTTTTTGAGGAGAACAGACAAGAATGGCGTTTATTTGGTGGTAGACAAAATACCCCAGCCATGTAACATTTAAGCTAGATGCGTAAACCTATTCTAGCTTTGAATATTCGGAAGCCCAAAATGTTACTTTAGAAAAATACTTCTTTATAGATCTTCGCTGTCACAAAATCGTGTGATCTTTTATTATGCCTTGTATAGAATTTAAATATACGAACCACATATTCCGTTCATGAAATGTGTAAGAAACTGTTGCCATACGGAGAAGTCTTTTCCATCGCATTTAGATATAAACCCATCCATTGTAACTTTACTATGTTGTGAAAATGTACTAATAAAGTTGTTTAAATGCTTCGGAGAAAACGACGGGTACAATATTTTGCGACGACCTCGCCAAATTTTAACTGTAAAGAAGGACATTTCAGTGTTTGATACATACATACATATATATATATATATATACACACACAATAATATATTTATAATACTTACTAATATTATAAATGCGAAAGTAACTCTGTCTGTCTGTTTGTTACTCTTTCACGCTAAAAATTCTGAACGTATTTAAATGAAATTTGATACGTACACATTTAATTTAGATGAGAATACAATATAATAAAATTAATAACATTATAAATCTAAGATGGCCGCCGATACAAAATGGCAGATTACTTATTTTTCTTTAACCCCCTCGATATGGGTATCAAATGAAAGGGCTACACTAGTAAAGCACGATGATTATGTCAAAATTCATTTTTTTTCTAGTTTTCAGTGCACAAAAAATAAAACTGTTTAACTTAAAAAAAAATTGAGTTGTTACTTGTCAATCTCCTAGCTCTCATCTCCTCTGTAACAAATTCTAAACAAATTGGTTCAGCCGTTCTTTGAGTTATAAATTTAATACTAACACACCTTCCATTTGCATAAAGCTATTTTATGAACATGTTTGTAAAATTTAAAGCTTTACTCCCGCCCATGCTATGGTGGAATTTGAAATTTTCTTTTCGAAAGAAAATATATGATTCGGTTTGTGATTTTTTTCCATTAGTAAGACTGTTATATTTAAGTTTACTTGATGGTGATTGGGTTATCGCCATGTAACATCTAAACAAGTTGCGCTGTCGACCCATTTTGGCTATGGATATTCGGGATTTATTGATTGCGTTAGAGCCTCTCTTTACAAAATTACTGAAGGATTAAATAAGGCTTATTACCTGGTGCAAACACTGACCCGTTCCCCGTGATGTGTCGACCCAACAGACAGACCACCTCCGGTTTTTCAAGACATTCCTTGGACACATACTCAATTGTGTCTGGATCGGTTGAGACTGAAATATTATGTAATAAAATTATTGAAGTATGGCGCAGACACATCCGTCTACCTGTCTGTCTTTCAGACAAGTTAAGTTACAGACGCCCACCATGTGAAAACATATTTTAGTCATGTAAAATACTTGCGTCTTCAACGTTGAAAGTGTTTTATTTAAATGTGTACTACTCGAGTAAACTACGGATAATACTTCTTAACTTTTTTTTTATAGACTTAAAGAGTTAGATACTGTCTATAGTTTACGCGAGTAGTACATATCATAGCGTCTCAAACAGAATTAAAGAACACGTCGTCGGGCCAAAGATAAAAATCATTTTCAAATAAGTTTAACTAATATATCGCGTTTTAAACCGTTAAAGTGTTTTATTTAGACTTAAAGAGTTTCTAAATTAATTTTCAGATGAGCTTATCATCGTCGTTCTTAAGCTCTTAAGCATGATGAAACATGAAACAAATGATGAAACAAACTATAAAAACGTCTTCTTACTCGCGTAATAGTCCAGCCCTATCCACACTGAAACTGTATTGTTATCGTTCTTGAAAGATTCATCTGTAATTTTTATTATCGCATTCATATGGTCTGAAAAAAATAATTAAAAACATCTTAGTTTTGTCCTGTAATTGTTGTGTTAAATCATCTCTCCTCTTGTAGGATAGATACTCACTAATCTGTTTTATTTACAGATAGTATCTATTTTCGTTTCATCAACAATGACAGCAGTCGAATTGGTGTAATAATAATAATAATAATAAACTCTTAATTGCACACACATAGACATAAGAATATGGATACATAGAATTATATATACAAAATAAAACATGTTATTTTGGTATTTTTCTTTTAATAAATATTTTTTTATTTATTTATTATTTTGTGCACAAAAATAAGACAAATAGAACTTATAAGCCAGAATGAAGGTCGGTCTTATCGCTAACGAGCGATCTATTCTACGCAACATTAACTTTAAAAGAAAATAAAATGTGCAAGGTAGGTAATCATTTAAATAAAAGAAACAAAATAATGAAAAAATGCATTTAAATATCTTTAAAAAAATAAATGTACGAATCACAAAAGTCTACGAGTTTACTATCTGAAACATTTAAAATAAATAAACAGATACTAATTTACTCAGATGGTAATGGATTGAAAGGAAATGTTTTTTGAAACTTTTTATTAAACAGTTTTATACCTTTACCCGTCGTTAATTTATTTATTAGGGTCAAAATTAGAAATTGAAATTTAAGGACCTTCCCGTTTTCAGTTTGATCTGAAACTGGTACACACAGTTAATTTAGATGACAATACATTATAATAAAATCAATAACATTATAAATCCAAGATGGCCGCCGATACAAAATGGCGGATTACATATTATTTTTCCTTAACCCCCTCAATATGGTTTTCAAATGAAAGGGCTACACTAGTAAAATACGATGATTACATAATATTTTTTTTGTAGTTTTCAGTGCACAAAAAATTAAACGTTTAACTTAAAAGTTTTTGTAAGTTTAATACATTGTTTAAAAATGGGTCAATGAATTATTGTGATTTTTTATAATAATTGTTACGTAGCGACGATATTATTGTCTGTTTTTAACAAAGAATATTCGTTTACTTGACTGTAAACTTGTGTGAATCTTTGTGATACTGGGTCGGTGGTCGTGGGTTCAATTCCCACCAACACTTTTCTAAATATGTTACACCCTAAATATGTATCACCCTGACATGAAATTGGTACTAAGTTATAATTGTTCACAGACGTAAATACCATTTAGCGTAAATAAAAGCGTTTAAGTTTTAGTCTGTTTAAAATATTCAAAGCCGAAGTACTTGCAACTAAGTTAGGCGTCGTTCCTATATCTCCTATACTCCTTTACTATATCAATGATTTATTTAAATAAAACACTATTAATGGTTTAAAAAGCGAAATATATTCGTTGATTTTCAATCGCGATCGTGATGCAAAGCACATGAAGCATCGGGACGTAAAGTTAATTGTTTCATGTTTTAAACCATTAAATATGTTTTACTTAAAATACTAGGTATTATCGAACTATTAGAATTCTTAAAATATTACAATACCTTCACTCGAGCCCCAAAATAAATATGCATGGCCAATCAACGGGAGGGAGTAGTAACTATTTTTAAATTGCTTCGCAGTGACCATAAGCCATCGTATTTTCCATAATTTCACCAGATAACATATTGCAAATAACAATAAAACTGTTATATAAACGTACATTTTACTAGTATACTAATAAACAGGCGCGCAAAGATATTCTGCAGTGCAACGCTGTTCCGGCGAATATATACAATTAGTTGAAACAAAAAAGCCAATCAAATTATGCCTAAAAATTCCACATAAAAGAGTCTATTTATACATCTTAGAAGATATATAAGAAGTTGTATTGTTGTAAAAACTGCTTGTCTGTTTGTTGCTAGTTGTTGTTCATGGCCTCTGTAGCTAAATGGTTAAACATGGCCTGGGTCCCTTCCCTTCTCCCTATGCCCACGAGGGGAAACGCCATTTCGCTTTGTATTATTGTAAAGCCTGATGCATTTAAGGGAATGTTATTTGTCAATTAGTGGAGATTGACAAGAAACAAGAAGACATAAATTATATTTTTCTATAACCACATGTCCCTTCTGACTGACGAATGGGAGACGCCGTCGTCCTTAGCTAGTAAAACACTATAGACAAAATTATTATAAAAAACACGTGTCGTGAAGATTAAGGAGATTTTTTGCAAGAGCCAATTAGGATTCCGTACCCAAGGATTTACGAACAGTGTAACTGTTTAAAAGTCTAACTGACTTCCTGAATTCTCTTTTGCATAAAAATGGTTCTTGAGAGCTAATTCTAAAAGATAGATTTACAACAAATGTCTCCAGACATTTTTTTTAGATTATTAAAAAAATAGTAACTATCCTTAAAGATGAATATTTAACCTTGCTTTTTCCACATTTCCGACTATTCCTTCGCTCCGATTGCTCGCTGCTTATGGTATATGTCCTAAAACCTTCTTTCAATTAGAACCGTTCCTGAGATTGGTACGTTCATGAAAGCAAAATCTTAATTTTTATAATATTAGTATTGCTTTCTAAAAACTGGCATCGTATTCTTTCAGAAGTTTTTTTATTTACTAATAATATGTACGCCCGTAAATACAACATATTTAAAAGTAATTTTATTAGTAGCTGTAGTAGGTACACAGATATTTTTCAAATACTTTTATTCTTTTGTAATACACACTTGTTTGTTTTACACTCGGGCAGGACTTGAACCGTCATCATCAGCGTTCCGTGCTGTTGCTTTAACAATTGAGCTACACGCACCTCTCGCACAAATATCAAATAACGTTCAAAAATCATTGAAGATGAAATTACAAAGTTATACTTGCTTATCGTATATTTGCGTTATCAAATGATTTGATATGAAAAATTCGACCTATCGAAAGCTGGAATCAACCGAAAGATCGACAGTCCAATTTACAAGGAGCCAATACTCAGTGACACTCACCGAATTTAATTAAATTTCACAGTACGGAACGATTTGTTCTAGGCAAACTTTTTTAAAAGTATATATTTTTTTAAATTTAAATATGCGAATTTTTTATTACAAAATAATGATTTATTGTAGTAAAAAATCGAATATTAACCTTTGAGTCCACCCGGTATATTTCATAGATTTTTGTCACGTGTCTGGTCTAATAATATCCCCCATTATAATTGTATATATGTTCAGCGTGTTTAATAATTTTAATAGCCGTGAATCTTTACAGTAACCATAGTCACGAACTAATGTATTTTATCTAAAGTTTATTTTTTACCCAAAATCAAAATCTTAATTTTCATAATACACAAACATATATATCACAAATTTCTTGAAAAGCTTTCTTAAGTTTAAAGCTGTTCGTATGTCGTTATTGAAACGGAAATCTTTTAAGAACAACCCTTGGGGCACCCTTGGTCTAGCCGCAATCGCGGTTAGTATTAGAGGCCCCGGGCTAAAATCCATTAAAAAAAATCAAGAACTACATCTCAATTACGACGATCGAACATTTTAAAGACAAGAAGTTTTACATATGTTAGATATTTTCTATCGTTCTCTTAACCTGATTTGAAAGTTATTGTGGTCTTTAAGCATAACATTATATTCTAAACGGAGAGGTCGAGTTTCGGTTGCAGGCAGTATTACGAAACGGGAGATGAGAGTTGCCAGCAACGATTTTAGAGACATCATTGCGTATTTGTAACCTGAAAATACGAATTTATAATTGAAATCAAATTCAATCATTTATTCCTTATAGACAAAAAAATAATTAAATTGATGTGAAGGGACACCACTCAGCTTTTGTTGTACCTGGTAGTCGGTACAACGCCGATTTTCAGTAATGAAACTTTTTATTTTTTAAATAAAACAACGTTTTAACGGTTTAAAACGCGATATATTAGTCAAATTTATTGAAAATTATTTTTAACTTCGGCCCGACGTTTCGGATGCTTTGCAGCTGTCGTGGTCAGGGGGAGTTTTATTTAAATGTGTACTACTCGCGTACACTATAGACAGTTACATGACGTTATTCTCATGAAGGTACTTTATAATTTAAAAATCGAGTTTTAAGCTCGACGATGAGGTGTAGGACTCGATAGCTAAATTGGTAGAGCAACAGCACGGAACGCTGACGATGCCGCTTCAAGTCCTGCCCGAGACGAAATTTTTTTCAATTTATTTTTGATTTTTAAATACATCGTTTTTTTTTAAGTTTTAGTCTCCCCGTGGTCACGGCTGCTGCAAAGCCGATCGTCGGGCCGTAGTTAAAATAATTGTAAAAGTAACTCGCGTAAATTACAGCTAATATATCGTTATATGAACATGAACATACTAGTACCTATACAGTTTCTAGGCCCATAGCTAAATGGTAAATATGCAGCGGGATGTGGCAGATCTCCATTCATGAAACGGTCTGGATTAAATAAGTGTGCATCTTCACCCCAGAATTTTGGATTACGTTGCATCCCCCAAATGGTGATGGCCATCGTCGTTCCTTTTGGTATCGTTTTTCCTGAAGCTGCAACAAATTATCTACATGCGGTTTGTCGGCACAAACAATTTTGGAACTTTTAAATATTTAATTATTTGTGTCGTACGTCACTAGATCTCTAACAAAGAATTTATGGGAAATCTAATGAATATATAAGCATATCTATACTAATGTATAAGGCTGAAGAGTTTGTTTCTTTGTTAGTTTAAACGCACTAATCTCAGAAACGACTGCTTTGACGAATTGAAAAATTAGTTTAGTGTTGGTTAGAACATTTATCGAGGAAGACTATTAAACATCACGATGCAACCAATATACAGCGGGAAAAAATGTTCATCTTTATGAGTTTCCGATGCGTACACGGCAAAAACGATCTAATTAAAATGTCCGTGACACTAATATGATTACGAATATTTTTTAGGTTAACTTGCAAGAACAACGGGACATGACCGACGTCACCGACGTGGACATGCTTAACAAGGAAGCGATGCCCAAAATAACTACTCCATGTGGTCAAAGTCGCTAACACAGCTAGTTTCAGGATAAGCGTCTGTTAATTTCGAGGGTGGAAACGGTTCTCATGGCATGTGTCGTTCTGGATCATTTCATATATATAGATATAATACTTTTGCTATGAAATTTATATCATTATAGTTACTAACGTAAAGTGACGTCTCTATCGGCCAATCTCCCAATCAAGGGCGCAGATGGATACAGTCGTAAAGTCTCTTTTATAACAGCATCCAAATACTTCAATTTTGGTAAATCATCATAAGGTATGGGTCTAGTTGTGTCGCCGAGTACTCTTTCAATCCTGCAAAATAAATACTTGTTATCCAAAGATTTGCTCTTTCACAAAATTTGATTGTTATTCGCCAGAGAAACAATATTCTATAGGTCTTTCGTATAATTAATTGCCTGTTTCTGATCATAGTTTACAATATAAGGTAAACTACCTTGTTGGTCCAATGGCAGTAATGGATAATGATCAAATTGATCCTCACCAGGTCATGTTGGACCTGGTTCAAATTTTTAAATTTCTAATTTTTCTGAAATATGTTTTCTGATTCCAAAGTTCGTTGGAAGTCTGGATAATAAATTACTGGTAGCGAACCACCATTCGCAGATCAAAAAGCCGTGAAACGTAATCGCGTTTCGGTTTCAGTCTGTGGATATCTGAATATCCAACACCAAAATAGGTAGACAGCGCATCTTGTTTAGATAATATAGGCTGGGGTGTATCACCTACCATCAAGTAAACCCCATGCCATGTCTGTCCTCCTCAATCATTAAAAAAGCTAGTTTTAATAATGGCAAAATTAAAATAAGTAGGATCCATTTAAATAAAACACTTTAACGGTTTAAAACGCGATATATTAGTTAAACCTATTTGGAAATGATTTTTAACTTCGGCCCGACGTTTCGGATGCTTTGCAGCAGCCGTGGTCACGGGAAGACTGGTCTCTCCGTGACCACGGCTAAAGTTAAAGTGTTTTATTTAAATGTGTACTACTGGCGTAAACTATAGACAGTATTTAAGAAGGATCCATTTTTTAAAGTATAAGGTCATAAGTGGTAAATAGTGCTATTTCTACGAACTCTTGATAAATTTTCTCTTGTATTTCAGGATGTTCCGCTAGCAGAAGAGCACTGAAACAGGCTGTGACGGTAGTAGTATCAGTTCCGGCTAAAGCCAGTACCAAAATCTCCTCCAACAACTCAAGATCTGTGATTGTGTCACCGTGATTCGCCAACAGACTATCCAATATCGAAAATTGTTTTTCACCTGAAAAGTATTTATGTGTAAGTACACGAAATACTAGACTGGCTTCGGTATCTGTATTTACCCAAAACACGAACTCAGGGCTTTTGGGTAAATATAATACCTTTGTTTAAATGTTACACTTTTGTCGCATTCAAACGCCAATAATATGATTATTTTTTTTTTTATTTCAAAGAGAATAAAGTATATTTTATTTTATTTCTACTTAGTTTGGTCTTGCCTAGTAATTAAAGCAATCAGTAAGAAAAGACACAGACGTGAGTTTCCCCAGACAAAAGGTGAATTTCCGTTTGATAAAGTAAATACTTACATTCCAAGTCTGGATAATTGTCAGAATTGATCGAATTCTTCCTTTGCTTCATTACTTTGCGTTTGTATGAGATAGCCTGAAAGCAAAATAGGAAAAAATATATGCGATATTTTCTTTCCTCACTTTCTTTGGGATAAAAGACAGACATGCGTGGTGGAAGATAACACCCGAGTCATTAAGTTCGAAACAGGATACGCTGCCAACCTATTTTGTCATTGGTCATTAGTTAATCCACGGATTAAAACTGAAACTAGAATGATAGAGCTTTTTCACCGAATAGATTTTATTACGTAACCCGGAGGAAATTTTGGTATTCCTATCCCCAATTTAACGAAGTCCAACATGATTCAAAAATATTATGAATTTTTTACAAACATGTTACACCCGGTGGGGAATAAACTCAATACCCTTTGATTAGATAAATATTGCTAATAATAAATTTATCTGTTGAATGCCAAACCTCATTCACTATATCAGACATAATTTTTTTATTCGAAGTTAATATATCATAATCCTTAATTCGTTTGAAGACACCATCAATCATAAAAAACCAAGGCTTGAAAGCCAGATTCGTAGCCACATTGCAGTAGTCCTCGAAGGCATTGATAAATTTCCCAGTAATATGATCTTTTGCTTTCTCGTTCACGCCTAACGTTGTCTCTAAAACAAAAAAAATAAACTTAATCCTACATCTTATACAGTAAACAAGGGGTAGATATTTTTCTTTCTCTTTGCATTTTGATTTTTAATTTAATTGTAAATCTATCTTTATACCTCAGCCCTTAAGGTAGTCAGTAGGTTCCAGTGATGACGTACGGTACCAAAATATTACCCTACGTGATCGAATTAGGAATGAAGAGATTCTTAGGAGAACTAAAGTTAGTGATAGCCGAATGAATCAGGAAGCTGAATTGGCATTGGGCTGGACAGATTGCTCGCAAAACTGACTGGCCGTTGGGCCAAAAAGGTTCTGGAGTAGAGACCACGTACCGGACGACGAAAACGTGGACGACCAGATGGACCGACGGTCAAAGTAAGTACCGGTCGTACTGAAGTCTTTGGGGGCCTATGTCCAGCAGCGGACACCAAACCAACTAAAACTATATTAATCGGATCCAAAGAAAAATTTGACTGTAAAGCGCTCGCTGGTGGACAGGCTGGATAGAAGCAGGGGGGTTTTATGAACGCCGAAGGTTGTTACTGCACTGACTGCAGTTATTCTTTATCGCTTTTGATAATAATAAGAAACGAAAGTATAATGGCTGCTCTATACGATGGCGAAGATATTGGCGAATGTATTAGCCAATACGTGTTGGCCATTGTGTAGAATGGGGGTTGGTGATCTATTTGGTAGGTATTGGATTATTGGCCCACGCTTTGGCGCAAGATCCGTGTGGTGTCGGTTTTTCTACGCAGATCAAAGGGTTATGGTGGGATTGTTACCGCCATCCCCCCCATTAAATAAATACTGTCTGTACTTTAACGGTTTAAAACTACGATATATATTATTTAAACTTGTATGAAAATATATCGCGTAACCGTTAAAGTATTTTCTTGCTATGCTTGCGAACTATTTGCGCAAAAGCGAGCGCGGTGACCTGGTACAATTGTTGTTCCGTGACTATCCTCAAAAATATTTATTTTGGATAGGCCCTTAAATCCAGTATATAACGACTACTTACCATACTCCATGGAGTAAGAAATAAAGTATGACAAATAGAGAAATCTTTTCCATCAATTTTTGCTCGAATATTGATCGTCTATGGGTCGCTTTAAAATATAACATTATATTCGAATCTTGTTAGATGTTATATGGCTGGGGTATTTTACCTCCATCAAATGGACCTCACCCTCTTATGTGTCCTCCTTTTCATAAAAAAACGAATGGCAGATTAAGACATATTCCAGCTCTAATTTAAAAATACAAATACATGAATATGTTTATAATGAAATAAATAAATAAAATACAAATATATACAAGTACGGAGTATTTATAATAAACATAACATTCATTAATGATATCTGTAATACAAACCATTAATATGATAGATAGAAAAGTTGGACTATTTTAAAATAAAATAATATCATTATATTCTTAACGTGGAATCCTTGATCGTCTCAATAGTTAAACGTGCATATCGTTATGGCCCAAGAGCCCACGACGGCCAGACCTTCGTTATTTTATAAAAGTTGAAATTTTCTCTGTACATGTCTCCTATACCGGACACTTATGACAGTTGCTACCCCTTGCCAGACACCCCTAAACTTTGATAAATTACAATTATACTTTCATTATAGTATAAAAGCTCAATTTTATATATGTTACTTGGGGACCTATAAAAAGATGTTACCTCAATAGCCGGACAGTTTTTGTGGTTTTTACATCTTGCCAGACACATTGAAAGTCCACTGTAGGTGCGAGCGCGAATACTTAGTCGATTACTATTTTTTAAGATATCAAATAAAAAATAATTTTATTGCGTTCATAGCCATGTTGTATAAAGTAAAAAATATTAGTTTAATATCATAAAAATATAATAAAAAGTGTGATTACAGGTAAAAAAAATATTTAAACTTGTTTATTAATTTAAGCATTGTCGTCGATGTTTTCATTTTCTTCATCACTACTACTCCAATCGATGGCATGATCGTCCTCAACATCACCTTCTTCGTCAGTTTCTGAAAGAAAAATAAGCAAGTTTATACAATTATGAATAATTAAAAAATTATGTATCATAATTTTTCATAATAATTATATACCTGATTGAGTTTTGAGCGAATCCCTAACATAGCTCGGTAGTTGATCCCCTTCAAACCATTTGAACTGGTATTTGTCATCTTTTAATACCCAGCCGTTATTGTCTGGTTGATATGTGGTTGGATTTTTCAAATGAGCATTATTCCAAATGGTACATACATAGTTTGCTCGCAGAAATTGCTGCAGTAGCTCGCTTTTGCACGTAGGTTCTAGCGTCAAAATTTCGCAACTTCTTTAGGTCAAAAGCTTCGTTTACATCGGAGACTTGTACGAGTCGATGAATATTTGAAGTCTAGCGCCATCAACATCAATTACATTAGGGACATTGTAGGCATTACATATAAATCTCTGAATAATATTAAAGATGTTTTGTTGATAATTTAAATTTTCAATTAATTCGTTGTTGCCGAAGTTCTTGAAAGCTTCCTGGTACTCTGGATCTTTTTTTAATATCTTGTATGGTCTTAATTTTCCTTTTCTGAAGACACACTATTTTACATCACTTTTATTACAAACGAAACAAATTAATGTATCTCCCATGAAACACTTTTTACTAAAATTATGCTTTTATTTCACAAAAAACTGCACAAATTCAATTATAAAACGTTGGTTGTATCTAACATAACAATCAATACATCACTAAATAACAGATAGCGCGCAGTAAAAAACGCACTTGACTAAGTGCTTTATCTCACTCCCCCGCTTGAATAGTTGTTACCTCCGCTCCACAGTGGACTTTCAATGTGTCTGGCAAGATGTAAAAACCACAAAAACTTCCGGCTATTGAGGTAACATCTTTTATAGGTCCCCAATAACATATATAAAATTGAGCTTTTATACTATAATGAAAGTATAATTGTAATTTATCAAAGTTAGGGGTTCTGGCAAGGGGTACAACTGTCATAAGTGTCCGGCAATGGATGACAGATTTCTATAGTTATCCCGAAAAAAATATAAAAAAATTGAGCATTATGCTCTAACAAATTTTAAGTACTATTTTATACACCTTTACTACCTGTTACCTGCCCAAGTAACCACAACCAAAACTCTATAGTCGCTGGTCGTTCTTACCCGTATAGGAGACATGTACAGAGAAAATTTCAACTTTTATAAAATAACGAAGGTCTGGCCGTCGTGGGCTCTTGATCTATTAAGCACGAAACGTACAAGGTTCGATTATAAACTATTTCGGTCAGGCAGGGCCCAGTCAGTAATAAGCATACTGTTAAATAAAAACGACCCGTAAAACGGACACAAAAATATGTTCGCCACAAGTCCAAAAGAAGAAATGGGCTTCTGCTACTAATGCTGAAAATATTGTATTTTTGTATTAAACCTTTGAATCTAAAGCTGAAGCATTACGTTGCCTGTTGAATTTTTTAACTCTTTCTAAAGACAGCTAAAAATTACTGTGCGTGCTGTACCTGATGTGAAAATAGTTCCATTCCCTGTCAAGAAACGTCCCAGTAAACGGACGATTTCCGGTTTTTCAAGATATTCCTTCGACAAATAGTCGATCGTTTCTGGGTCCGCTATAACTAAAGATAACAATTATAAAATGTCATTGTCACCATTTATTTTTATTATACGAATAAACGAAAGGTAACGTAGTATTCTGCTTAAAGATAGAAGTCACTACAGAAGACTTGTTTCTCGTCATTAACACCAACATACCAATTCGTACATAATTTTTTTATGAAGGAGTTTTTGTTGAACTTTACGCTCGTAAAACCTATAAACAAACATATTTTCGTAACTTAAAGACCAAAACAATTAAAGTTTAAAGAAAAACAACAAGACGAACTTGTATAATAGTTTAAGCCAATCCACACCGACGCGATATTGCTGTCGTTTTTTATAGCTTCGTTCGAAACTTTTTGTAAACCGCTCATTCGATCTGCAATACAACAAAATAATTTTATGATCTATCTGTATGTATATATATATATATATATACATTTAAAATATATATATTATTTTTTTTTTACCACATTCAGGACAAACTAGTTTTGCCTACTAAACTAGTTTGTCCTGAAATTGAAAAAGAAGACTACTTTATACTTACGCACGGCTGCAACTAGACGCAAAATGCGTAAGTAAAGACTTTTCTCAATTACTTTCATTCCGCTAAATTTGTTTACTGTTTAGACTAGGCCATACCAGTTTATCCTAGAGTGTGCATATTTACATCAGTATCAACTAGTTTGGCCTAGCCTAAACTGGTTTATCCTATCGCGTATAGGAAGAACTAGTTTAGCCTAGGCAAAACTAGTTTGTCCTGAAATCGGGTTTGGCCGGTAACATATATACTAGTATTATACAGTTGAAGAGATTGTCAGTATGATCGCGCTAATCTCGGAAATTACTTATTTGGATTTAAAGTAATATTTTTGTTTTGCTAAATATCATCCTGCTGAGAGCAATAGGAGCCAAAAAACAGTGAGAGCGATTCTAACTCGCTGGCCGTTTAGACCACTATATTACTTATTGAATAAAAACTGTTTATAAAACCTTTGAGGGGAATTTTTTGCCACTATTTCACGTCAGTTTTCGAACATACTTACTCACTCTTTAAATAAAACACTTTAACGGTTTAAAACGAGATATATTAGTTAAACTTATTTTGAAATGATTTTTAACTTCGGCGTTTCGGATGCTTTGCAGCAACCGTGGTTACGGGGAGACCCAGTTAAAAATCATTTTCAAAAAAGGTTTTACTAATATATCGCGTTTTAAACCGTTAAAGTGTTTTATTTAAATGTGTACTACTCGCGTAAACTATAGACAGTATGAATATTTGATATTAACACTTACCTTCGCCCGAACCCCAGAACAAATAAACGTGCCCTATAAGAGGTAGACTAATATAACGGTTCTTGAACTGCCTCGAAGCTATCATTTGCCACCTTATCTTCCACAATTGCATCAAATACCACACCGCACATAGTAATAATATTGTTAAGGAAATGTACATGATACAATACGGTATTGTCTGCGAGTGTACTTGTATACTCGACGCTATATATAGCTAACTCTTTGTTTTATTTATTAATTTTCTGTGTATATCGAATAACTTGAAGACTTGCATTGACGTTGTGACTTTTAAAACTCCAAACTATTTTCGTTTCTGATTCTTTTAAATCAATATCTATACCAATATATAAAGCTGAAGAGTTTGTTTGTTTGTTTGAACGCGCTAATCTCAGGAACTACGGGTTCGAATTGAAAAATTATTATTTTCGTTGATTAGAACATTTATCAAGGAAGCCCTGTGACTAAAACGAGCGAAGATACAGCGAGATGTGTGAAAGAAACGGGGGAAATTATTCATCTCTCTGGGTCGGGAGCGCAACCGTTACTCTGCGAAAACGGTTTAAGAAACCAAAAAATATGTACAAAAGAATGATTCTTCTTTACATCATAAAACCGGGAACTCACTATATATCTTTCTTTTAAGATTAACTTGGTATAACGTCAGATAGAGAAGAGAACTTCTTGACTTATGACGTTATAAAACGAAATTTTAAAAAGAGATTTGAACACGAATACTTGTTGGTACTAGAGCTTTTTATTGGATAGGTCGATAGATCGATAGATAAAAAATAGTATAATTCTGTGTATGTATAAAGAAATGAAGCAAACTACGTGTTTGGTCAAAAAAGTCATTAACGAAAATGTCGAATGCAAATAAGTTAATACGAATTTTCCCCATTCATTGGTTCTGATTTTAGTTGAAAGATTAAACAAGCTTATCAATATTGCACAAATTTTTACTTTAATTACGCAACGTTTGTTATCAACATGATGTAACAAATTGAATGAAAATATACACTAAAATATTAGTACAATTAAAACCTTCATCATGTTCGGACTTGTATTAGGACTATCCGTTTTAATATTATTGTTAATTTATGTAAGTGGAAGATACAATGAAAATTACTGGAATAAGCGAAAAGTTAAATTTTACCATAGAAACAAAGTAACCGGCATTTTTTGGGATTATTTAACTAAAGACAGGGCATTTTTCGAATATTTGTACGAGATTTACAAGGAATACCAAAGTGAACCGGCTATAGGGCTGGGTGGATTACTCACCCCTACTTTGTATGTGATGGATCCAACTAATGTACAACACGTATTGGCGTCTGATTTCCATTCCTTTAATCATAGAGGAATAACTATTAGTGAAGGCGACCTTCTTGCTAACAACATACTTCTTATGAACGGTAACCGGTGGAAGCTTGTGAGGCAAAATTTAACTCCACTTTTCACATCAACGAAGTTGAGGGCTATGTACTACATTATTGATAAAAGTGCCATTGATTTTATGGAACTTCTTAAAAGTACACCTGAACTATTAAAAGGTAATTTATTTGATACACTGTCTTCCTTCTGTAGTGCTGCAATTGGAGCTGCCGTGTTTGGCGTTGGAACTCAGTCCATATTTGACTCACCGTTCCTGGCCATGGCTCGAAATTCATTCGAACCAAATACTATAAATAATATCAAATTCTCTTTGGCAAGTATAAGTACGACTGTATGTAAATATTTGGATGTGAAATTTTTTACAAAGCACGAAAAGTTTTTCATCGGTGCTATCAAGCAGATAATAGAAGAAAGAAAAAAAGAAAACGTTAAAAAGCACGATTTTGCAGACATTTGTGTCACTTTACAGAAGAATGGGAAGTTAATTGATAAAGAATCAGGCTTAGAACTAGAACCGACTGATGAGCTTTTAGCCGCTCAAGCGTTCTTTTTTTACTTTGCTGGCGTGGAACCTACAGCGACAGCAATATTTGCAACATTAGTTGAGTTAGGTCGCCACCCTGAATTTTTAGAAAAGGTTCAAAATGAAATTGACGAGGCGTTTATTAAGAATGATAGTAAAATGAACTACGACATTGTTTCAAATATGTCATTCCTTGATATGGCTTTTAACGAAGCGATGAGGATGCATCCGCCCATAGCATTTTTAACAAGAGAATGTGTGAGAGACACGGTACTCCCCATCGGCAACATTAAAGTTGATAAAGGAACCAGGATTTACACACCAATATTCGAATACCACCATAATGAAAAACACTTCGAGGATCCTGAAACTTTTAAACCAGAAAGATTTTCCCCAGAAAATATACATAAAATAGCAGATATCAGTTTTATGCCGTTTGGAAAGGGCAACAGAATATGTGTAGGTATGAGATACGCTAATCTTCAAGCGAAAACTGGACTGATTTACTTGCTACGTAAATTCACAGTGAATACGATTATAAAGGCAGGAGGAATGAGGTATAGCAAACAGCAATTACAAGTGAGACTCAATAATGTAGATTTAGAATTATCCCCCAGAACTCCTAGATGCCAATAAAGCGATTTACCTAATGATAGGTCTTTTTCATTATTTATTTTACCCTAATACTGAGTTTAATTTTTTAATATTTTTAAATATATACACTTCTCACAATTCAAAGGCATTATATACAGTGTTGTAGATATAATTACTACTATTATATAACTATTGTAACGTGTCACTGGCTTTAATTGTTTTTTATATCTATTACAACTGATATGAATAATCCTCCGACTTAGCGGGGACGACACAACACTAGTGCGACGCGATTACCGCGCGCGTCCCGACACTAGCTCAGGAACGGTCATTGGCGCGCATTCTGTCGGTTAAGCCTAATTTTGGATAATAAATTAATATTTAAGAGTTTAACATTGTTTTTCCGACCTAACACAATACGATAGTGGACAAAAGAAATGTCGTAAAGCCAATTATACTAGAATATGTAAAACTGTGAGTTATGATTAACATAATAGAAGTGACTTTTTTATTTATTTCATGGAGTGAATACTGTCTGTTGTTTACGTCAGTAGTATAAATTTAAATAAAACACTTTTAAACGCGATATATTAGTTAAACTTATTTGAAAGTTATTTTTATTGCGTCTCTACGTTTTGAATGATTTGCAGCATCGGCGGGTTTTATTTTGACAGAAGAAACGCAGCATTGAAATATATCATCTCAAGTAATTCTTGGGAGTCATATTTTATATCCGTTCCTTGTTAAAGAAGTGGTCGGTTATTTGACGTCGATCTGAAAGAATTAATCTTCGTAGATTATTCCTCTATAAAGCCCATGTCCCAGCTGTGGGAACGGTTTGACGACATGACAAAGCATATTACTACTAGTTACTATACCTTTTTCGCAACATGTTATAAGTATGTTTATATATCTTGCAATATCTTTTTCTGAATTTTCGATTTACAATGGAAATATTTTGAGAAAATGTCAGAGGTCACGTAGATAATTTTTATTTGCCACGATATCATAAATTAAGTCGATAACTCGCAGGTTAGACTTTAGACCAAGATTAAAAATGTATTTAGATTTTTTTTAAATATTGGTTTAAAATATTTCTCTATTGCTTAATTTAATAAATAAACATACAGATATGTATGTTTAATTAATTCGGTTATTTTTAATATCTTATCGAGTTCTCTTAACAAAAAACATAATTTAAGTATTCGGTATCCGGCCGACTAGTATAGTAACCGAATATTCCTTTGCAAGCCCATTTAAATTGCAGGATAAATGGTTATTTATAACTTTTTGTATGAATGCAATTGTGTTTGTGAATTGGCACAATGGTGGCTTAACAAAAATAGAAACTTTCTTCAAGAACGACGAAGCAGTGCGACAAAATTTCCATTTATACTGTCATAAAGAGGTTATAAAAGCATTTTAAGAGCTCACTTGGGTCGCTAATAAGTTTTTAAAAGCAAGTTTAACTCTCGGGTACAAAGAATATAGTATATTCGACGAAAGTATAAAATGTACAAATATAATAATTTGCAATCAGCACGCGAGTAGTAATAATTTATTTAGTAAACCGTCACGGGAGACGGGGTCGCCCCGTGACGGCTCAATTGGTTAGAGCAAACAGCACGAAACGCTGTAGATGGCGGTTCAAGACCTGCCCGTCCATAATTTTTAAACTAAAATCGATTCTTACATTTAAATAAAGCACTTGCCGTACAAAGTCGTGGTCATAGGCAGGCTGTTGCAAAGCATCCAAAACGTCGGGCGGTAGTTAAAATAATTTTCAAATAAGTTTACTATCATAAATCGTTTTAAACCGTAAACTGTTTTATTTAAATGTGTACTACTTTAAACTACACACAGTTTTAATCGATTTTTACTTTAGGTTTTCGATGTTCGGCGATAAATGCTTTGTAGCAGTCTTTAACGAGTCTATCTATTTTTTGCGTTTAGTAATTAACAAAACAAATATTCCCTTTCAGGAATATTTATTTTCACAATAACTGATACACAAATGTATTATAATTAACGTTCTATCGTTGTCTTAACCTGATTTGGAAGTTATTGTACTCTTTGAGCATAACTTTGAATTCTAAGCGAAAGGTTTCGCTTACTGGTGAAGGTAAAAACTCGTAGCGAGAAACCATAGTTGCCAGCAACGATTTTAAAGACAGCATTCCGTATTTGTAACCTGAAATAAAAAAAAAATATACATCCAATATTGTCATCGTTATCAGCCTGGAAGTTATTCTGATGGATGAGACGTCAACCAGCTTTGAATCGCTCATCAGTGTAATGGTACCAAAGTAGAGCTAATACTCGTCATAAACAGGTCGTGGGTTTGATCCTCAACATTGTTCTAAACAATTAAACTTTTCTGAAACATGTTGGGCTTCGTCTGGATATCTGGATATTAAATGGGTGGTAGGAATGTCGAAATTCCATCTGGGTCACAAACCACAAAATAAGTTGACAGCTCATCTTCTTTAGATATTATACGGTTGAGGTATATCACCTTCCATCAAATGAACCCCGTGCTTCTCTAAAGGCAAGTTGATAGCAAATTATGAGTTCTAGGACATGCTCAACTAGCAGGTACAAGTCAAGATGTCTACAAAGATGTTAATGGAAGAAGAAGATGGATGCACTAGTATGACAACACGGCTCTTGGTCCAAATGTCCAAAATTATAAACACATAAATATGGGGCTACTTTCGTTGCCAGCCAAATAAATTTATGTCATAAACTTCCCACACATGCAACATGACCTTTAAACTAAAATTTGTCAAGATTTAGTAATTAGTAGATAAAGCAATTACATAAAACATGATATACATATTAGGTAAACTTATTTATATCACTAAAATCAACGCCTTGTTTTAATAGCATAGATGAATGCTAAGAAAGTATCGTTGTTTAAGTGAAACACTTTGACGGTTTAAAACGCGTAATATATTACTTAAACTTTCGGAAACTTTGTCGTGGTCACGGAAAGATTAAAGATGGGATCGTAGTTAAATATAATTTGTAAACGAGTTTAATTAATGTGTTTCGCGTTTCAAACCGTTAAAATGTTTTATTTAAATGTGTGCTACTCGTATCCACTACAGACAGTATTTAATGAACATACCTATACAGTTTCTAGGCCCGTAGCTGAATGGTATGTACGCAGCGGGATGTGGCAGGTCATTCAAGAAACGATCTGGATTAAATAACTCTACATCTTCGCCCCAGAATTTTGGATTACGATGCAGCCCCAAAATATTAAAGACCATCGTTGTTCCTTTTGGGATAATTTTTCCTGAAGCTGAAACAAAAAAATCCATTTGCTGATTGTAGGAACAAATTTCAATTTTTTTTTAAATATTTGCTATGTCATAACCTCACAAGATCAATCAATGAATTCAAACTCATGGATTTATTAAAACTAGCTGTTTCTGCGACTTCATCCGCGTAGAATCAGTATTTTGGTATTTTCATCTTTATAAATTTAAGCTGTCACCCACGGCGTCGGTCACGCGTCGTCGTTCTTGCAAGTTTTAAATGATAGATATATACACATTACGTACATTTTTTGATCATTTAAAGTTTCTTATTCATTCTTTCATACATATTTTTTTTGAACAGTTTTCGCAGCGTGCGCATCGGAAACCCAAAAAGATTTTCCGCGTATTTTAACATTACCCGCTATTTCTTGGTTCTTATTTGTCACAGCGTTGTTTTATAGCCTTTCTTGATAAGTGCTCTAACCAACACGAAAATATGTTTTCAATTCGATCCAGTTGTTTTTGAGATGAGCGCGTGCAAGCAAATAAACTCTTCAAAGATAAGCTTCAGTTAACTTTGCTTGTGCGTTGTTGAGTGTTTTATTTGAAACCATTGTTACTCGTATACGCCGTCCTGGATTACAAAATTGTCTCTTTATTATAGTTACTAACGTAAAGTGACGTCTTTATCAGCCAGTCTTCCAATAATGGGTGCAGGTGGATAAAGTCGTACAGACTCTTTTAAAACGGCATCCAAATACTTCAGTTTCGGTAAATCATCATAATGTATGGGTCTTGTTGTATCGCCAAGTACTTCTTTTACCCTGTAAAAAATTGCCTTTTGTTTTCCAAAGATTTCAGTTTCACAAAATTAGATCGTTATTATTGTCATAGTACCTATATTAAATACTGTCTGTAGTAGGACTTAATAAATACTAACTTCGACGAAACAGATGACGTTTGCGTAGCAGTTCAACTAATAATTTCGCGTTCTAAACCGTAAGATGATATACATATTTAGTTATGATTCAAAATCTGTCGAAAATTTAAGTTTGATAGTCAGTTTACAATCTAAGATTATTTTCAATGAAATAAAGCCATATTTGAAATGAGAACAGTAATTATTTCACGTATAAGTGGTAAAAAAGAGTGCTTTGTCTAAATACTGTCTGTAGATTATGTGAGTACTAACACAAAAACACATTACATACGCGATATATATTAGTTAAACTTATATGAAAATTATTTTAACTACGGAGACTTCCTTATGCTGCAAAGCATATGAAACTGAAATAATTTTCAGATAGGTTTAAGAAATATATTTCGTATTTTAAACCGTTAAAGTGTTTTATTAAAGTGCTTTATCTACTAATTACTAACTCTTGATAAACTTTCTCTTGTATATCAGGATGTCTCGCTAACAGAAGTGCAGTGAAGCATGCTGTGACAGAAGAGGTATCAGTGCCGCCCAAAGCCAGAACCAAGATCTCCTCCAGCAATTCCAGGTCTGTGATCGTGTCACCATGATCCTCCAATAGATTGTCCAATATTGAAAATTCTTTTTCAGCTGAAAGGTATTAAGATGCGGCCATGTACAAAGTTACCTATTTAAATGTAAGTTCACTAATTACTAGACTGCCTCTGTGGCTATCCTGGGCTCTACGTTCGGGTAAACATTCGGTTACGATTAAAAACCGATTATAGATTGAAACAAATTGTTTCGTGCCGTTACTCTAACCATTTGAGGTACTGTGTACTACACATCATTGTAATTTATTTTCAACGTATTCCTACATGCTTATTTCGCACAAAGTAATCTTAACCTTGGCAAATGATTTTAAAAATTACTGATGCCATCATGTGCACGTGAAGAATATTAAAGATTTTAAACAAATGGTGTAGTAGTTTAATGCACTACTTGTAAATGAAAACAATTAATAAAATAGACACAGAAAATTGTCTTTACACGAAATACTTACATTTGCTGTCAGAATACTTGTCACATTCAATCGTATCTTTATTTTGCTTAATTATGTTGCGTTTGTATGAGATAACCTAAAAGCAGAATAAGTCGGAGAAAAGAAAAGATCGTGTCAGTGCAAATTCACAATGATGAACAATTTTCCCAATTTTTTCCACATTGCTGTTTCTTCGCTCCTGTTAGCCACAATGCGAGGCTTTCCTGGATAAATGCTTTAACCAACACAAAAAGAACCAGTAGTTCCTGAGATTAGCGCGTCCAAACAAACGCTACAGCTTTATATATTAGTATAGATTTATTAGTAACATGTTGCACCCAGTGGGAATCGAACCCACATCTCTTAGAAATATATTCCTGCTAGTATTAGTTCTGGCCAGTCAATAACAATTAGTTCATTCATTAAGTGCCATACCTCATTTACTATGGTGGACATTATAATCTTATTTTTAGTTAATATTTTATAATAGTGAGTTCGTTTGAAGACAGCATCAATGATATAACACCAAGGCTTAAATGCTAGATCGCAAGCCACATTGCAGTACTCCTCGAAGGCTTTGAGAAATTTCAAGTTATTCTCCTTTGATCTTCCCTTCATGCCGAACGTTGTCTCTGAAATATTAAGCATGTCTGTAGTTTACACGAGTAGAACACATTTAAATTAAACACGTTAACGGTTTAAAACGGGAAGACTATTTAATTACGGTACGGTAAGACCGTTAGTCAATTCTGCATGGACCCGGCTAGTTTCGCCAAATACCAACTTCGACGGAACAGATGTCGCTAGCGTAGCAGTTTTTTACTTTGACGTCAGAGACACCGAGAGGCGATAGAACGTCGGGAATACATATCGCGTTTTAAACTGTTAAAGTATATAAAGCATGGTACACCTGTGCATGGTGGTATTAGACATATTTTTATGTCTGTTTTTGTTAATAAGTAAGTAGATCGGAATTTTATAACTTGACGAAAGAAGATCAACGTCGTAAAAAATAACAATAAAAAAATATCTTTACTATTTGTAGTTTATGCCAATAGTAAACATTTAAATAAATCACGTTTAACGGTTTAAAAGACGAAATATATTATTTGACATATATTTAATTTACTTTAAATGAAACTTATCATTTTTAATGTCATGACCGCTACAAATTGATCTAATACTTTTAATTTGAGTAATATATTTCACGTTTGAAACTGTATAATTTGTTTCGTTCTGATGAAGTTTTTAGTTTAAAGCATTACTTGAATGTATGTATGTCTATTAGCTGTGCGATAGACGAAATATATTGACACGATCCATTCTGAATTGAAACTGCTACAAATTCATATTTGTTGAGTATAAACAATACTGTAGTGTCGTCGACAACTACCCTCCAAAAATTATTTTCGAATCCTTCGATTTTTTATCTAATATCATAACGAGTACTTACCACAGATGGCATCCATAGAATAAGTAACGAAATATGACCAAATAGAGAAATCATTTCCATCGCACTTAGCTCTTAATTTATTCGCTGTTCGAATACTGCCCTGTGAAAATACACTGACAAAGCCGTTCAAATTCTTCTGCGAAAATGAAGGTAGTATTAACTTGCGCCGACATCGCCAAATGTTTACTGTTAAAAAATGATTTAATTACATTCTTAACTCCCATCGCCGTAGCTCGGGACGTCCTGGGTTCGACATCCGAGAGCATAAAATATTTCAGTCAGGGATAGTGTTGTCAACTACCAGCCTGTAGCCGAAAAAAGAACATAGATAAATGTTGATACCATGGAGATTATTAATGCTGGGAAATTCAAGTTTTTTTTAACTTTCCGCTAGAGGCGCTAGAAACCTTGACGGGTGTTGGTGGATGTCGTTGGAGTGGAACAGCAATGTTTGGCAAATCTATAGATCGCGGGTTCTTCTTCTGGAAATCTAGATTTTAAATGGGTGGAGGAGTCTCAAAATTCTGTCCGGATCACGGTCCACCGTCAATTATCAAACACAGTCTATTACGTCACAATCTGTAGCGCAGTTGAAAAAAATATTTTGCATTCCTTTTTCATTTCTCACCCGGTGCGAAAATAGTTCCGTTTCCGGTCAGAAAACGTCCCAGTAATGTCAGGATTTCCGGTTTTTCCAGACATTCCTTTGACAAATAGTCAATCGTCTCTGGGTCGGCTATAACTAAGGAAAATAATTATAAAATGTCATTGCGACCAAAACATTCAATTATAGCTTACAGCTATTTCAAATCTGAATTGTAACACTGAGCTCGATTGGTTTTTAATAAAATTGAAAATGTATTAATAATTTTCACAGGAATAACGATAATAAACTATTCAATTAAAAAATCAAGGAGGGACGTAACCAGCAGTTACAGCACTAATATTTAAATTATCTTGACAGACTGCAAAGTATGCGAAACGTCGGGTCGTATCAATAAACAAAAAATAAAATGAACCGAGACTGATAATAACATAAATTTTTACCAAAATTACATTAAATACTGTCTATAGTTAAACTTCGGCCCGACGTTTCGGATGCTTCGCAGCAGCCGTGGTCACGGGGAGACGGCTACTGCAAAACATCCGAAACGTCAGGCCGAAGTTAAAAATCATTTCCAAATAAGTTTAACTAATATATCGCGTTTTAAACCGTTAAAGTGTTTTATTCAAAATTACATTATTTTTTTTTTAATAATTTATATTTAACTAAATTAACAATTTTTTTTTTCATATATATATACATTTTTGGCAAAGCATATATTTATTTGTATTGTTTAAAGTCAGTTTTTTATCATACCGAGACATAAAAGTAAATAAATTTCAAACAAAAGCTACTGTAACTATTGTAACACATTAAGGCGTATTCTGAATCCTCTCGTCCCTAGTCTTCATCATCAGACCCCTAAGTCACAGCCCATCAAGGATTAAATAGAAGGTATCATTAAAGAGTTCCTTCGACTGTCTCTCGAAGCCATCATAAGATCTACTCCAAGCCATAATCAAATTATAGTGATTTAAGTTCGAATGAAAAACAAAACACACAAGTACTTTACTTAAAACGGTCATTGTGGAAACATCTAATTCTCTAACTCTAACAAAAGTACATAAATGAGTTCTGTGGGAACAATCATAAAAAATTATATATCTAATTGAGAACCAATTGGATGTTTTTTTTTAATACAGAAGACAAACCTGTATAATAATTTAAGCCAATCCACATGGATGCAATATTGCTGTCGTTTTTTAGTGCTTCGTTCAAAACTTTAATTAAACCATTCATGCGATCTGCAATACAATAAAAAGATAAGATAGATATTTGAAAAATCGAAAATAAATTGAAAACAATATCGACTCGGGCAGGACTTGAAGCGGCATCGTCAGCGTTCCGTGCTGTTGCTCTGACAATTGAGCTACCGAGTCCTACCATGCACCTCCCAGTGCCATCATGAGCAATAATAATAATAATAGATTTGAGATATGTTTTTTATTGTGTTCTTAGTGTCCCTTCTTTTATCAGAAGACATCTGGGTAAAAAAGTGAAAGCCCGTTTCCCCCTCGTGGGGCATATTTCTGTGTCCGTTTCATTAATCCGTTAATATTTAATATTATGTTTGGCTCATGAACTTTTAATTTCTAACGGGAACAGGATACCTTTATGGTAGTACTTAAGAAGTATGTGTTGTACATTGGCTTCTCTTAGGAATATTTAAATTTTTTACCCATTCGCAACAACTCTTTCTTATTGTCTAACTTATTTCTTATTGCAATGTGCGTGTTGTGGTCATTTTCTTTGTCATCTACTAGTTTCAATAATGGAGAAGGTATAAAACTCAAATTTGATCTACATTTGTTCTTGGTTTTCGAAATAGAAATTTACGTCACAGAGAACAAGTATCAACTAAAAAAAACTTTTAAGTTAAACGGCTTTTACTTTTGTGCACTGAAAATTACAAATAATTTAAATTTTGACATAAATATCCTGTTTTACTAGTGTAGCCTTTTCATTTGATACCTCATTTCAGGGGGTTAAGGAAAAATATGTAATCCGCCATTTTGTATCGGCGGCCATCTTAGATTTATAATGTTATTGATTTTATTATAATGTATTGTCATCTAAATTAATTGTGTGTACCAAATTTCAGATCAATCTGACATAGGGAAGGTGCTTGAATTTCAATTTCTAATTTTGACCCAAATAACTAAATTCCGTACGAGTCGAGCTAAATAAATTTAAAAATAGGGAAATAGGGGAATTGTCCTGTCTGTATTATGTTGGGTCTAACTGTTGGGAACCGACACGACAAATGGCTGAACCTTCTAGATCATTATCATAATCAATATACACTTTTTTGACGACGTGTATGTTTGCAAATCTGATAAATATATACTAAATAGGCCTTTCGGAGACAGTCAGCCTATATATCATAAATAAAGAATTAAATATAAATTAACAAAAATTTACGACTTGGCAAGACTTGAACCGGAATACGCAAGGTGGAAATTATATTGAGCGAGAGGTGGATATATCAAAGTTTTCTAAAATTATTCTACGATTTACATTTGTTATAAAAACTTACCTTCGCCCGAACCCCAGAATAAATAAGAATGCCCGATAAAGGGTAGACTGATGTAACCATTCTTGAACTGTCTCGAAGCCACCATTTGCCACCTTATCTTCCACAATTGCATTAAGTACCATATCGCAAGTACTAATATTATTGTCAAGTAGACGAACATTGTTCGATATAGTTTTGGAACAGAATCGTGTACGCGTGTGTCCTCAGCTTAAAATAACTTGCACTGTTAAAAACTTCGAGTGATGTAACTTATAGCGAGTGCAACAACGTCTTGACCATAACCCACTGAGCTGATACTTTATCTTAATTTTATTACGTCACTGTACTTGTGGAAATGTGAACGTAATTTTTTAACAATCGTATTTATTTAAAAATCGAAAACAAATTTAAAATTTTTTTAACTCGGGCAGGACTTGAACCGGCATCGTTAGCGTTCCGTGCTGTTGCCAATTGAGCTTGATGGTCAAGAGTAGCAAGCGAAGCGAAATGTTTAGAGGAGGCCTTTGTCAAATGACAAGCTGTTTACAGAAATAAATTTTAACAATAATTATTATATAGTTTAGTTAAGTTAAACTATAAATTAGTAATTATAAAATAATAATTTAGAATTTAAACAAATAAAGACTATTTTAATTTATTTTTATATATTAGTCAAACATTTAAAATTATTTTAATACTAGTTTCCAAATAAACAAAAATCATACATATTCTAGTTGAGTCAGAGAATCTTTAGTCTTCCCTGACACGTTCTCAAAATAAATTGAATAGTTAAATAATTTTCAAATAAGTTTAATTTTATATATCTTTAAAACCTTAAATAACTTTATTTAAACATATAATAATGAAACATAGATCAATAAACATATACAAACTATTTTAACAACAGCCCACGTTCCGCCTTTAAAAGTGTTTAATTTAATTGTGTACCTACTTCTCGCGTAAACTACAGACAGTACATAGATCAAACTTTTAAATTGTTTGTTTAATTGACCACCTCTGTAAGGCAGTGTTTAAACGTACTGCGTTAAGAGGTCCTCAGTTTGAATTCCGGCAACAATGTACTTTTAACTAAGTCAATCGCTTTTCAAGAACGACGGAACACGACCAATGTCGTGGGTAATTACTATATTTTATATAGATAAGGTTTCCAAAAACAAAATTTCACACCCAAATAAATTTTCTACGCAGACGAAGTAGCTGGCACACCGAGTAATTTAAAAAAGATAAAACGTTTGTGAGCAAAAATAAATAACAAACAGACAAAGTCGCGGCCATACGTACTTCTAATTTGTGGTATATACCTACAATGCTTTGAAGTATTGTTTGCAACTCACCTACGACCACATTCATTGTGTCCAAATTCCCACGACCATATTGTCACAATAATTACTTCAAGCACCTTTAAAATACATTGAAATGTCCCACAAACGATGTAGAGAGTAGATATTATTAATTAACAAAATCAAAAAAACATAACTTACTGTTTGATATCTGTTGTTAAGGTGATATATTTGCCAGATGGTGGAAAACCGAAGGATACTTGATATCTCGTGTTCGAAACCTGGTTGTGGAAATTGTAACTTTGTTGTATCAAACCATTTTCTAAAGAAATATCTAAAAAATATATAAAAATTAAGTCTACTTTATTCTTTTTTTAAACTTTAAAAATTATTGAGATTCGAATAAAACACTTTAACAGTTTAAAACGCGATATATTAGTTAAACTTATTTGAAAATTATTTTTACTCCGGCCCGACGTTGCGGATGCTTTGCAGCAGCCGTGGTCACTGTTGTTTTTCTTAACTACAGTCACGTGGTCGACCGCAGTTAAGAATAATTTCCAAACAAGTTTAACTAATTTAATTAGCGTTTTAACCTGTTAAAGTGTTTTACTTAAACTTAAAATGTTTTTAACAATAAATTAAGTAATGCATATAACATTTCGTGTTTTAATCCACTAAAGGTATTGAATGTATACCATTCGGATTGACTACATTTTAATAATTTGAAATTCGAAGATAAATTTAAAAAAAATTCGACTCGGGCAGGACTTGAACGGACTTGACTCGGTAGCTCAATTGTTAGAGCAACAGCACGGAACGCTGACGATGCCGGATCAAGTCCTGCTCGAGTTTAATTTATTTTCGATATTTACTCAATAAAATATAAAAAAAAAATTTTTTTTCCCCCTTTTTCCCTTCTTTTCTTTTTTTTTTCTTTTTTAAAAATTTCCCTCTGTATTTATTTACAAATATAAAAGTCACGTTTATTTGGTGTGAAACTAGTATAAATCAACACTATTTTAACAATATATATTCCAAATAATTTCTTTGTTTTTTCCTACGAAGTTTTGCTTTTTAATGGAATATGTGACTACATATTCGAGTAAATCACATCTGTTAACAGATGAAAACGCGAAAAATATTAGATGAGTTATTTTTAATTATGATCAAGACAATGGAAAGTATCCGAAACGTCTGGCTCTAGTTAAGTAATGTTTTCGCGTTTTAACGGTTAAAAGTGTTGTATTTAAAAATGTATGCCTAAATGTATAAATAAATACAACCTGTAACAGAAAAAAATTAATCTGAATTCTATGGTACATCTTAAACATATAAGTAATATTAACATCGTAATAAAATGTCTTTGTTTAATTTATTTTGTATATTCTTGTTATTATTGTTAGCACGGCATTAAGGTCCGGTTTGGTGTACAATTCGACGAAATGTTTGTACAATGTTCCGCGACTACTATACGAAACTGTTAAACAGTAAGAATTTTAAACTTAATTTTATTAATATAATTTTTATATATATAAGTTTTATATATTTCACTTTTCTAGGTTGGACACAGAAATAGCCTATAGACACAAATATAATTTTATATATCGTTGATTTCGTAATTTATGCATATAATGAGTAAATTAAAAAAATACTAACGTTCAAAGTTATCTATTTTTTTTGGGAATACGTTCTTTTCGTTTTATGTTAATTGTAATTAAAAAAATACTATCGCAAAGTTTCTATTCTTTTTTGGGAATCCCTACCTATGTACTTAAACAATATTATCTAAATAAGTTATAAATAACAAAGCCAAGCGATAATCTCAAAGTATAAACATCATGATGACTTTGTAAATGAATTTGCGATAATTATGCGTAAACACATTGATATTTTTAATCCTATTAAAATAATTAAAAGTTATCGGTATTGCAGGACCATATCTTATTGAAGTATGATTACGCTCTCTATACGACTCTAAGACTAAAACTTCGTCTGCCTGCACATTTCTTAATATAATTTTAAATACTATTTTAAAAAAAAATTTTTTTCCCAAATTTTTTTTTTTCACCAAGTTATACTAAATATTAGTAACCAACTTTAATTGTCTTTAACACAAATATAATTAAATTTAATGTTTTCATCTTCTACCTACGGCACGACGATAATTTTAAAAAAAAATTTTTCCCTCCTTTCCCCCCTTTTTTTTTTTTTTTTTTTTTTTTTTTTTTTTTTTTCCCCCCCCCCCCCCCTCTCGAATGTTTTCAGATTCGTAGTCACGGGGAGAATGTAAATAAGTATCTGATATTTTTCCCGTTTCAAACCGTTAAAGGATTTTATTTAAATGTGTACTACACGCCCAAACTACAGTATAGATTTACTGAATATAAAGAAAATTCGTATTTTTGCGAATTAAAAAAAAAAAATCTACAACTCAACACTAGTACTTCAAATATTCTAATTCTCAATGATCTAAAATACAAATTACTTCCTGTTTTATTTTATATTTAATATAAATTAATTTTATTTTTACTGTACCTATATATTAAAATAAATATATATAAAACCTTCTCCCGAAAGTTGGAACTGATTTTAAAAACGTATTAGGAACCAACTTTCATTGCTTTAAACAAATAAATAAATTAATAGATTTCAAAAGAAAAACCTTTTTATAAATAAAGGTAATTATGTTTAACTGCTTCGATGTCTATCAAGGTCCCTAAGATATTATTTTTGTAATTTATTTACATATCCCAATTATTTTAGTTAAATTAACATAATAGCTTAGGATATATCAATTTTATACAATATTACATTGATTTAAAAGGTTATAAAAAACAGGTATATGGCCAAGATAAAGCATTTTTGCTATCTGGGAAAAACGTGTGTTATCTATACTCACTAGTTACCTAGTTCGTTACATCATCTGTACATAAAGTGTGAAAATCATTTTTTTTATTGTCATTAAACATGATGGCATTATAAACATTAAAAATCTATTGAGTTTAAAAATTTGAATGACACGGGCGGGACTCGAACCGACATCATGGCACCTATCGAAGCTCTTAAAGAAGCAGCATGGAACGCTGTGGATGCTGATTCGAATCCCGCCCGTGTCGTATTTTTTTTATCCCAGTAGATTTTTGATCTATATCAAACTCGTCGACGTGTATGCTATTTACAAAGAAAAATCTTCGAGACCTGCGTAATTTCCTCAAAATATTTTCTTTGCTAATCGAATTTTAAAGATAACTTTAGTTTAAGATATACAAAACGCATATAACATAATAATTTGCTAGTATAAAATAGCAATTATCTCATGTCGTCAAACTATTCCCACAGCTGGGACTTGCACTTTCTACAGAAGTAATCTTATACTATTGTTAATTTATAAACCAAGCCAAACGTTGGAACAGTAATTATAGCTACACCACTTGAACGTGAATTTGAATCCCGCTTGTGTCATGGATAATTAAAATATTTGAAAATTTTCACATACATATATTGCAAATGATGGTATTATATAAATTAAAAAGCGATTAAAGTTTAAAAAAAAATTAGGACACGGCCCGGGACTTGAACCGGCATCAGTAGCGTTTCGTGCTTTGGATGCCGGCTCAATCGATTTTTAATTTAATTTCAATATTATGTACAAAAAGCGCCATTTAGTATGTAAATATTGTCACTAAAATTTAATAGTTTACAAATAAAAGACACATTTTTATAAAACTTTTTATATTACAAATGTTAAACTTATATACGTACATATAATTTGATATATATATCTATATTTAATCTATATAATCTCGTTATTCTTTTTGAAAATATTCACTTTGTATCATTTACTCAACAAATAGGGTTTAAGTGAGAAGAGATCGATTAGACATAGAGCATAAAAAAGTAACTTAGATTAATAAATCTTGTAGAAATGTTATAATTTTTAAATATATTTTTAAACCAATTATTGTCTAGAGAATATATTTAAAATATTAAATTTAGACTTTATACTGTAAAGTACTGAATATTTAAATAGCTCAAGTACAACACCTATGATATAATATAATTAGCATCTAGGAGTTCTGGGAGATATTTCTATATCAACATTATCCAGTCTTACTTGTACTTGCTGTTTGCTATACCTCATTCCACCTGGTTTTATAATTGTATTCACTGTGAAGTTTCGAAGCAAGTAAATCAGTCCAGTTTTGGCTTGAAGAGTTGCATACCTCATACCTACACATACTCTGTTTCCCTTTCCAAACGGCATGAAACTGATATCTGCTATTTTATGTTTGTTTTCTGGAGAAAATCTTTCTGGTTTAAACACTTCTGGATCTTCATAATGCTTCTCATTATGGTGGTATTCAAATAATGGTGTGAATACCCTGGTTCCTTTATCAACTTTAATGTTACCGACGGGGAGTACCGTGTCTCTTACACATTCCCTTGTTAAAAATCCTATGGGAGGATGCATCCTCATTGCTTCGTTAAAAGCCATATCAAGGAATGACATATTTGAAACAATGTCGTAGCTCATTTTACTATCATTCTTAATAAACGCCTCGTCAATTTCATTTTGAACCTTTTCTAAATATTCAGGGTGGCGACCTAACTCAACTAATGTTGCAAATATTGCTGTCGCTGTAGGTTCCACCCCAGCAATGAAGAAAAAGAACGCTTGAGCGGCTAAAAGCTCATCAGTCGGTTCTAGTTCTAAGCCTGATTCTTTATCAATTAACTTCCCATTCTTCTGTAAAGTGACACAAATGTCTGCAAAATCGTGCTTTTTAACGTTTTCTTTTTTTCTTTCTTCTATTATCTGCTTGATAGCACCGATGAAAAACTTTTCGTGCTTTGTGAAAAATTTGACATCCAAATATTTACATAAAGTCGTACTTATACTTGCCAAAGAGAATTTAATATTATTTATAGTATTTGGTTTCTAATGACTCTTGAGCCATGGCCAGGAATGGTGAGTCAAATATGGAATTAGTACCAACGCCAAATACAGCAGCACCAATTGCAGCACTACAGAAGGAAGACAGTGTATCAAATACATCACCTTTTAATAATTCAGGTTTACTCTTAAGAAGTTCCATAAAATCAATGGCACTTTTATCAATAATGTAATACATTGCCCTCAATTTTGTTGATGTGAATAGTGGAGTCAAATTCTGCCTCACAAGCTTCCACCGGTTACCGTTCATAAGAAGTATGTTGTCAGCAAGAAGGTCGTCTTTACTTATAGTTATTCCTCTATGATTAAAGGAATGGAAATCCGACGCCAATATATGTTGAACATTAGTTGGATCCATCACATACAAAGTAGGAGTGAGTAATCCACCCAGCCCTATAGCCGGTTCATTTTGGTATTCCTTGTAAATCTCGTACAAATATTCGAAAAATGCCTTGTCTTTAGCTTAAATAATCCCAAAAAAGGCCGGTCACTTTGTTTTTAGGGTAAAATTTTACTTTTCGCTTATTCCAGTAATTTTCATTGTATCTGCCACTTACATAAATTAACAATAATATTAAAGCGGATAGTCCTAATATAAGTCCTAACATGACGAAAGTTTTAATTGTACTAATATTTTAGTGTATATATTGTCGTTTATATTCATTGAAATTGGCATGTCTAAAAACATTGCGAATACGTAAATTTGTATACCTTATTTTCGAGCAAGATTGATAAGTTTCTTTTATCTTTTGTACGGAGACGTCAGAAAAATCAATGAATAATATATATACGAACTTATTTGTATTAGGCTTTTTTTTACTTTTTATACAGATAAAAGCCTTCTTCTTCTTCGTTATTTTATTATTATGTTCTTGTTCTTCATTTATTTTAAATTACGATTTCATAACTTCCACATCATTAAAGAGATAACTATGCAAATCTAAAGCCGAATAATAATGAACAAATCTTATCAACGCGATATAATAATTAAATATATAATGGACATGTCAAATATTTACAATATTTTAGTGTAATCACGTCAGTTATCATGTTTGGACTGTTTTTAGGAGTAGTTATTTTAATATTATCAATAATTTATTTAAGTGGCAGATACAATGAAGCATACTGGAACAGACGTAAAGTTAAATTCTATCCGAGGAACAAATTTGCAGGTATATTTTGGGACTTCTTAACGAAGGACAAAGCCGTTTTTGAAAATATTTATGAAATTTACAAGGAACATAGGAAGGAACCAGCAATTGGGCTGGGTGGTTTAATGACACCAACATTATATGTAATGGACCCAACGAATATACAACATGTTCTGGCGACAGACTTCAACTCTTTCAATCACAGAGGAATAACTATTAACGATGGTGACCTTTTAGCTGACAACTTACTATTGATGAATGGAAACAGGTGGAAGCTAATGCGGCAAAATATGACACCACTATTTACAGCAACTAAATTAAAGTCTATGTATTATATCATAGATAAAAGTGCCAGTGATTTTATTGATCTACTAAATAATAAGCCCGAACTTTTAAAAGGAAACGTGTTTCACACCCTATCTTCGTTCTGCAGCGCTGCAGTTGGAGCTGCTGTTTTTGGAGTTGGTACTAAGTCCATTTTCGATTCTCCATTCTTAGCCATGGCACAAGACTCACTTGCCCCAAGCACAATAAACAACATTAAATTTTCTATAGCAAACACAAGCACCGTTCTTTTTAAACTGTTAAATATTAAAATTTTCACTCGGCATGAAAAATTCTTCATTGGCGCTATAAAACAAATAATACAGGAACGCAAGCGAGAAAATGTCAAGAAACATGATTTTGCAGACATATGTGTAACCTTACAGAAAAGTGGAAAGTTAGTCGACAAAGAAACAGGCTTGGAACTAGAGCCAACAGACGAGCTTTTAGCTGCTCAAGCTTTTTTCTTCTTCATTGCTGGCGTTGAACCTACAGCAACAGCAATATTCGCAACATTAGTTGAATTGGGTCGGAACCCTGTACACTTAGAAGAACTTCACAAAGAAGTAGACGACGCTTTTAATAAAAACGATAATACAATAACTTACGATGTTGTCTGTAACATGACCTACCTTGATATGGCTTTTAATGAAGCAATGAGAATGCACCCGCCTATAGGATTTTTAACAAGAGAATGTGTTAAAGAGACTGTGCTCCCGGTCGGTAACATTAAAGTAGACAAAGGAACCAGAATTTTTACGCCAGTTTTTGAAATTCATCACGATGAAAGGTATTTTGAAGACCCTGAGGTGTATAAACCAGAAAGGTTTTCCCCCGAAAACAAGCATAAGATTGCCGATATAACATTTATGCCTTTTGGAAAGGGTAACAGAATATGTGTAGGAATGAGGTATGCTACTTTGCAAGCAAAAGCTGGACTAATGTACTTGTTACGTAACTTCACAGTAAAAACTATTATTAAGGAGGGTGGAATGAGATACAGCAAACAGCAAGTGCAAGTAAGACTTGACAATGTCGACCTAAAATTAGTTGCTAGAAATTATTAAATTTTAATAAAACGATTTTCATAGAGTTTTGATTTTATTTTTCAATGTATACCAAAGTTTGATTTATATTTACATTTTCCAAGAATAAATATACAGACGACTTTGAGCCTTCTTTGTAAAATCCAAGCATAGCATTTATTTCGGAATATCCACACCTAGTCCTATACTTATTTCTACAATGGAAAACAAGTATATGTGATCATATCTTTTTGTGAATATGACATATGTGCATAATATTATGCTCAATATACGTACTCATTTTAACTCCAGACAAAATTTGGAACCAAATATTACGAAAATATAGACCGCGTCAATTTTATTGACAGGCATGTATGCATTAAAACTCGGATATAAGCTTAGTTTAACTACTGACCTTACGAGGAACTACAACTTTTACCACAGACATGATGAATAATGAGAAGATAGATACTTTATTTACCACTGTACCATTAGGTGAAAAGCTTACTGTAAAAAATTATAATAATATAACTCTTTATTGCAGAAACATAAGAACACGTTATTAAAACAAAATAAAAAATGTTTAAATAGTGAATTTTCCTTTTTATATATATTTTTTTGTAGTGTAGGTTATCTATCTATACCAATATATAGACCTGGAGAGATTTTTTGTTTGAACGCGCTAATCTCAGGATCTACTGGTTCAAATTGAAAAATTATTTTTGTGTTGGTTGGTACATTTATCGAGGAAGGCTATAAAACATCGCGATACGAATAATAGAAGCTAAGATACAGCGGGAAATGTGTACAAAACGGGGGGAATTTTTCATTTCTGTGGGTTTCAGATGCGTACGCTGCGAAAACGGTTCAAGACACCCAAAAAATATGTATTAAAGAATAATTCCTCTTTAAATGATCTAGAAAAATGTCCGCGACAGTAAATGTCTGTCTTTTAAAAAATACTTCCAAGGACAACGAGACTGGAACGACGGGTCGCGACTGACGGGACGCGACCGGTGTCGTGGGCAGCTTAAATTTATAAAGATGTAGACGTTTGCAAAAACAAATTTGGATGCCCAAAACAATTATTCTACGCGGACGAAGTCGCTGACATAGCTAGTAAATAATAAAGCTGTAATAATACAATAAAAATGTACAGTGTTGCAAGTGAGACAATAATAATAAATCGAAATGCTTTTAGGATAAAATGGTAAACAAGATAACATAATATCTACAGCAGGTGCGTGTTTGCTTATCTTTCAAGTGAGTGTACAAAGTCACGATGACAATTATTTTTAAATGTAATCAATTTCTACTTGAATGATGCCTTTTATCTGTTGTTAATAACATCAAACGTCACAGATCTTATAACTAAGTTCAACACTTATTTGTATGAGTTAGATAGATAAGTTTTAGGGTAAAGTGACCATAGCTTAAATATATTTTTCTTTAATAACGGGCTCTTTGGTGCACTAAATTTTCAAATATTTTTTTAATTAATACATATTTGACTTAGTCTAGAAAATCAGATAATTTTACTGGTTATAACAATAAAAAATTGTATCTAGATCATAAAGTAACAGCACATTTGTTTAAGTGTCATTTGAATGGGGTATGTTACTTCCTATCGACTTACTTCCATCTCTCGATATTTAAATATTAGCGGCCCTGTCCCGGCTTCGCATAGGTAGACATAAATAAGTACACATATTATAAGTATGCAAATTAAAACGACCATGAATCACTTAATTAGAACAAAATTGTATTGCGCGTCCTAGCTGTTAACAACCGTTGTCTATCACGCTGGGTCAGGAGACGCTGCGTGCGTTCAGTGTTAGTGTCCCGTGCACGCTTTCGCCAATTCCTAGCTCTATTTCCTTCAAGTCGCAGAGACGAACTTGTATTTTGTTCTGCAAAGCGAACCTGAGCATTTGACGATAGATTCTCTGGCCGGGAAGCGTACACTCTAATACTTTCCAGATGACCATTTTAGGAAGAAGACTCCCCAATACGACGAACTTTTGCTAATATCGCTTGGAAACTATTCTCAGATAGCTGCCACCTTCTTCTTCTAGGCATATTGCTATGAAGGATATTTATTTTTAATCAGCGAAATTAAGAATAAACTAATAATAATACAAAAGAAAATATTCAAATTCAAAGCGATAGTTTTGAAAAGAACTTTGACAAATATTATGCAAAGTGTAATTCCTAATACTAAACTAAGTAGCTTTGAAAATAACTTTTTAAGTGAAGCATAAAAATGTTAAAAAAAATCGAAATATTCAATGTTGTTCGCGCCCACTCCGTAAAAAGCCCACTGCCCCTCTATCGTCGAATTAGTTACTCGAAGTCCGAATGTCCGATTTCAATAATTTAAAGTAACCATCAGGTATTGAGACAGTCTTGAATGTTAAATTATTTATTTGGATAAAAAAATATAAATGGTATGGATAACACGGTTTGATTTTGATCGGTATTTCTATCAATTTTTTAAAATTAAAAAAGTAGTTATAGCGACGTAACTACAATAGTTGGACATATGCTCTCGCGATGTTTTTTGGAGATATTGATATCTAATATATAAAATTCTCGTGTCACAGTTTACGTTCCCATACTCCTCCGAAAAGGCTTGACCGATTATGATCAAATTTTTTGTGCTTATCCGGTATCTATGAGAATCGGCCAACATCTATTTTTCTTCCCCCTAATTTTTTTATTTATTTTTTAGACAAAATTTTAGGGCCATAGTTAAAATAATTTCCAAAGAAATTTAACTAATACATATCGCGTTTTAAACCGTTTAAGTGTAATATTTAATTCCTACAGGTGATCGGCAATCAGAGCTGCTACCCGACATTTCTTATCAGACGCCTGATAATATAATAAACATATAAGTGGTCATGTACCAACAAATACTTTATCGCATCAGTATTATTAAATCTACGATCATGTTTGAACTTATTTTGGGAGTAGCAGCTGTTGTGTTATTTATAATTTATGTAACTGGCCGATACAATGAAGCCTACTGGATTAAGAGAAATGTAAAATTCTATCCTCGAAACAAGTTCGCGGGTGTAATTGCTGATTTTTTAACTCAAGATAAAGCGTTCTTTGAGCATTTTTATGAAATTTATAAGGAATATGAAAACGAACCAGCTATAGGAATAGGAGGGTTAATGACTCCCACGTTGTACATTATTGACCCAATAAATATCCAGCATGTATTGTCCACAGATTTTAACTCTTTCAATCACAGAGGGATAATTTTCAACGAAAGTGATCTATTAGCTAATAACTTACTATTATTGAATGGACACAGATGGAAACTCATGCGACAGAACATGACTCCACTATTTACAGCCACCAAGTTAAAGTCGATGTACTATATTGTCGATAAAAGCGCTAAGGATTTTATCGATCACTTGAAAAGTAAACCTGAACTTTTAAAAGGAAACGTATTTGATACTTTATCGTCATTCTGCAGTGCTGCAATCGGAGCCGCTGTATTCGGAGTTGGTACTACGTCCATTTTCGATTCGCCATTCTTAACAATGGCACAAGAATCGGTAGCACCAAGCACTATAAATAATATAAAATTTTCTATATCGAACACAAGCTCTACTTTATTCAAATTGTTCAATATGAAATTCTTTGCACAGCACGAAAAGTTTTTTATCGGCGCAATCAAACATATAATACAGGAACGTAAACGAGAAAATATCAAAAAGCACGACTTTGCAGATATTTGTGTAAGTTTACAGAAAAATGGAAAGTTAATCGACAAAGAAACAGGCTTGGTACTAGAACCAACGGATGAGCTTCTGGCGGCGCAAGCGTTTTTCTTCTTCATAGCTGGTGTGGAACCTACGGCATCAGCAATATTCGCAACACTGTTTGAGTTGGGTCGAAATCCTGAATATTTAGAAAAACTGCATAAAGAAATCGACGAAGCGTTTATCAAAAACGATAATCAAATAAATTACAATGTTGTCTGTAATATGGCCTACCTCGATATGACATTAAATGAAGCTATGAGAATACACACGCCCGTAGCATTTTTATCAAGAAAATGTGTTAAAGATACAGTTCTGCCGGTTGGAAATATAAAAATAGACAAAGGAACAAAAATTTTTACTCCAATATTCGAAGTTCATCATGATAAAAGATATTTTGAAGACCCTGAGGTTTATAAACCAGAGAGGTTTTCCCCGGAAAATAAGCATAAGATTGCTGATATAACATTTATGCCGTTTGGAAAGGGCAACAGAATCTGTGTGGGTATGCGATATGCTACTTTGCAAGTAAAAGCTGGACTGATTTACTTGCTTCATAACTTTACAGTGAAGACGATCATTAAAGAAGGTGGAATGAAGTACAGCAAACAGCAATTTCAAGTGAGACTTGAAAACGTTGATCTAGAATTGGTCCCGAGATGTGCGCACGAATAAAGATTCTTATAGTACCAACAATCAAGAAGAGGTTGCACCAAAATATTTGCACGTGTTTTTTCTGTTGTATTTTTATCGTTTGTTTTGTTTTATTTTCCAACTCATCATGATATTTCGTCTTGGGGTAATCACTAAACAAGTGGCACTTGATGATTATGAGTCACACTTAAAGATACAGATCTTAATTGGATACATGAGCTTAGATTGCAGACATTTGTGATAAGGTTATCTTATTTAAAATTAATCTTATAACAATAAAATCTATCTATTTACTTTATGCATAGTTTATACTAATAATATAAATGCAAAAGTAACTCTGTCTGTCTGTCCGGCTTTATCTCCGAACTTGCTTAACTGATTTAAGTGAGATTTGGTACACAGATATTTTAGAGCTTGTGAAAGTACATAGGCTTTTAATTCCAAAAAAATATATATATGGGGGTGGAAAAAGGGGATGAAAGTGTATATGGAAATGCGTGGATTTTGAACCTAGAACAATGAAACTTTCTTCTTTAGCCTTTTGGAAATAGGAGTTGAAGTGGGAGTGGGTGTGGGAGGAATGAGAGTGGGAGTTAGAGTAGGAGTGATGTGAGGTGAGAGTGTTGCGGCAAAATAGCACTAACAACATAGTTTGGCTGACTTAAATGCGCCCTTACATAAATTAATAAACAGTCTAAATAATTAAAAATTCTATCCCAAGTCACTAATCCACGTGGACGAAGTCGCGGGCACAGCTAGTAATATTTATATAACCAGTTAGTTCCTTATCACAAAAACCAAGAATTTATGTGATAAACAACTAAACAAACATTGTTTTCAGTTTTTAAACGACTCAAAGAAAGGTTATCTATTCGATACGATCGTTTTTTATTTTTTAAGTTTGTTTGTTCTGTCGTAATTTCGACGTTTATGATCCGATTTATTATTTTAAGTTTAAATGTAAAATTAGTTTACGAACAAAATTAAAACGTGTAATACTATGTGTGAAGTCTAATTTTCTTATTACTGTTAGAAGTTGGTTATTTTTTAATCATTGTAAATCGTAGACAAGAACCAAGACAGGACGGTACGTGACAAAAACGAGAATTCACTAACTGTATCAATTTATTGCTAACAGATAATAAAAATTCTAACATCGTTGCATCTTCATTGAGAAGTTCTTTTGAAGAACATTACTGAATTTAGTAGAACCAAATGTATAAAATAATGTATAGGACTATCTTCGTAATCCCAAAGGCTTAGGGATCAAATTCGTATGTATTTATTAACATTTTTGGGTTTAAGATGTTATTCAAGTCACGTACAATATCGGTATTTTTTACCGGTCGTCGCTGTCATATTATTTAACAATTGAATTGCATTTATCTGCGATCGAACCTAGATAGGAAACAAACTTGTTTTTTAAGCTTAGTAGTGTAAAGAAAAAAAAATAAGGATTATATTTTACTTCGTATATCATAAACTTTGTTGTCGTATATTATAAACTGATAATTAACGAATCGTCGGTTTGATCCCCACTTGGTCCAACTTTGGCGGTTACTATTTACACTTTTGCTGATTCAAGTTAAAATTCTTCTAGGATTCTGAATATTAAATGGGTGGTAGGAATATCCCGGTCCCGGTCCCGGTCACAAAGCCGAAAAATACCGAACTGACATTTCACTCGATCCGAGATTCGCTTTGGAGAATTTTCTTGAAGTTAAATTTCAATCTTTTTATATATTTATATTACTTGCTGTGCTCGCGACTTCGTTCGCGTGGAATAGTGACATAGGGTAGATTTTTTAATTATTTCGGCTGTTTATTAATTTATGTAATTGCGCATTTATCGCAACACTCTCACCTCACATCACTCATACTCTAACTGACACCCCCACTCCCACCCCCACTCCCACTAACACCCGCACCCCCGCTCCTATTCCTACTCCTATTCCCAAAAAGCTAAAGAAGAAAGTTTCATTGTTCTAGCTTCAAAAACCACATATTTCCATACAAACTTTCACCCCCGCCTTTTAACCCCTTACAACCCCCTCTTCGCAATAAAAAAATCCTATGTTCTTTCTCAGGGTCTAAACCTGTGTACCAAATTTCATTCAAATCCGTTCAGTAGTTTTGGCGTGAAAGAGTAACAGACAGAGTTACTTTCCCATTAATAATATTAGTAAGGATTGTAATTACTAATGAATGCCAAATAAAAAGATTTATTATTTTGACATACAGTCTGTAGTTTACGCAAGTAGTACACATTAAAAAAAACACTAATGGTTTAAAACGCGATATATATGTGAGTCGCCCCGTGACCGCGGCTGCTGCAAAGCATCCGAAACGTCGGGCCGAGGTTAAAATAATTTCAAATAAGTTTAACTAATATGTATCGCGTTTTAAACCGTTAAATTGTTTTATTTAAATTATTATATGCGCCAAACTAAGGAGGTACTGTACTTATATATACGCTTAGTGAATGTCGTAAATTACAAGTTTTTAGGTAATTAGCTTTGTCAATGACAGTAATGACATGAGTCTTCGGAAGGAAGAACGCAAAACAATTGAATGGCGGCCACGGTACTGATTCTAGTGTGACGAGCCTAACTTGATAGGTCATGGCTATATACGCCCTTACTTTACAATTGTTTGAGAGACAACGTTAGATAACTTAATGTTTGAATAAAACACTTTAACAGTTTAAAACGAGATATATATTGGTTTAAATTATTTGAAAATTATTTTAAATGCGGCCCGTTTCGGATGCTTTGCAGCAGCCGTGGTCACGGGGACACTAAAGATGGAGGATGTCTCTGAAGGCAGGAATCGAAATTCCGTCCGGGTCACGGAAAAGCTGTCAAGATTAATCAGTTTACGGTTTCAGTCTGTGGATTTCCGAATATCCAAAGCTAAAATAGGTCGACAGCGCATCTTGTTTGGATGATAACGTAGAAATAAGATGGCTGGAGTATTTAACTTAACATGCAGTAAGCTTCATGCTTGTCTCCGCCTTCCTCCAACATGAAATATATGTTTATCCTATTTACTGGGAATCGAACTATTGAGCTATGTTTAGAGGCACAAAATGCCCAATATTGATACCTCAATTTGAGAAATAGGAATTCTGTGGTCGTGGGTTCGAGTCAATTCTATGTTAAAAATAGTCACTACAAGCAAAAGCAACATACTATATTTACACATAAAAGGCTTGAATAAAAAACTAAGTTATTGGAACGAAGGTCGAACCACTGGCGTTGCCAATGAAATATTGATTTATTTAAGCTATTAGTCATTTAATTAGTCTTACGTCCGTTTGTGGCCTGAAATGGGGAATTTCATTTCAACGTTACAATAAGTATCTACATTTAACAAATTCGGTTAAGTTTTGATAAACGCTTTGATATATGCATTTCCCGCGCAATGTAATTACAACCTTAGCACTTCCGTATTAAGGGTCAATGATTTATGCTTTGCAGCTTAAGAAAATCGTTAAGTTATTAAGTTTGATTTTTTTTTAGATTTTTAATCTATATAGTGCCAACATGTAATCTATACTAATATATAAAGCTGAAGAGTTTGTTGAACGCGCGAATCTCAGGAAGTACGGGTTCGAATTGATAAATTCTTTGTTAGTTAGAGCATTTATCGAGGAAGGTTATAGGCTATATACACGAAGCGAGAGCGAAGATTCAGCGAGAGCGGGGAAATTTTCATCTCTGTATGTTTAAGATTTACGCTGCGAAAACGGTTCAAGATACCTAAAAAATTTGTAAGAAAGAATGATTCCCCTTTTGCGACGCTATATGTCTATCTTTTAAGATTAACTTGCAAGAACTATGCGAACGACAGGACGCATACGACGGGATACGAATATCGTGGGTAACAGCTATCTACACTAATATTATAAAGATAAAAGTTTTGTATTTTTGTATGTAACGGATAACGTCAAAAAGTACTAGACCGATTTTAATAATTCTTTTATTTATTTTTTACCATTTATATTTTTTTATTTAAATAAATTATTGATTTTAATAATACTATACATGGGAAGTAACTCTGTCTGTCTGTCTGTCCAGCTTTAACTCCGAAACTACTGAACTGAAATTTGGTACAAAGATATTTTAGAGTCTGACAAAGGTCATAGGCATATTTTGAATGCCAAATAGGGGTTTATAGGGTTTGAAAAAGGGGGATGAAAGTTGGTATGGAAATTCGTGGTTTTTGAAGCTAGAACAATGAAACTTTCTCCTTTGGTTTTTGGGAATAGGAGTGGGAGTTAGAGTAGGAGTGATGTGTGGTGAGAGTGTTGCGGCAAAGTAGCACATACAACACAGATTGGCTGGCCTAAATGCCCCCATACATAAATTAATAAACAGCCTAAATAATTAAAAATTCTACCCTAAGTCACTATTCCACGCGGACGAAGTCGCGGGCACAACTAGTATAAAATATAAGTTTTGAAACGTATTGTCAATAGACACACCAAACTATAAGATTTTTAATCTGTAACTATTTTAAATTGATTATTTACTTAGGAATATAACCTTAATAAAAGACATATTAATAAATCGGTACGTGTGGATAATGCTATAATAAGATGAATTTAATGACAAATCAATAATAATACTTCTAAAGACAAAGGATTTATAAATATACTGATGTAGATAACATATTTTTTCCTATTCCTACGTCTTCTTTAATAATTGCAAAGTGAGTGTGATAATTATTTTTATAAGATACATACACGAGAAAATAAAACTCCAATAAAATAAAATAGTGTTTGACAAAAACTTTTTGCACATCTAAATAAAACACTATAACGGTTTAATACGCGATATATATTGGTTAAACTTTCGAATGCTTTGCATGGGCACGGCGAGACACGTCGACATTGTTAAAATAATCTTCAAAAAGTTTAACTAAAATATATCGCGTTTTAAACCGTTAAAGTGTTTTATTCTCTAATCTATTGACGTACTTATATAATTTAACTATCTATCTATTATCTTCTATTTTCTTAAACATAATATTGCAGACTAGCTGTGTTAGCAACTTCCTCTGCGTAGAATAGTTATTTTGGCCATCCAAATCTATTTTTGTAAACCGAGGAGGTCCATCTTTATAAATTTTAGCTATTACCAACAACGTCCATCGCGTCCCATCGTTCTTGCATCGATAACAAACAGGCATATAATGTCGCGGACATTTTTATTATCATATAAAGTGGAATCATTCTAAGATAGATATTTTTTTTGGTATTATGAAGTTGTGTTTTCGTTGCGTACGCATCGGAAACCCACAAAGTTGAATAATTTCCCTCGTTTTTCCTATCACAGCGCGTTTTTCCAGTCACAGCACGACCTTTTATAACCAATAGCCTTCCTCGATAAATGCTCTAATCAACTTAATATATTATTTCATTTCGAACCTGTAGTTCCTGAGATTAGCGCGAACAAAATCAGCTTTATATAGTAAGTGCAAAAATGACTATTGTTTTGTTATTTATTAATTATGTCAGCAATTTTAACATACCTTAGTGATACCAGAATTTCTTAACGTTCGTTACGTTCCAGTGAACTTCGGCGACTTACCGTCGTCCTTGTAAGACAATTAATAGTATACCTCAATCCTACCACCATGGAGGTCAATGGCATTTGATGGTGAAGAAGGTAGCCAGTCATCCGTTGCCTCTAGGACGCGCTGGCAATATAAAATGATTGTATACACACAACACCATCAGTGTACTTTCGGTTCCAGGTATTGATAGTTTGCGAACATGGCTTGCAAAGTAAGTATTTTTTTTTAATTTAGAATGTGATAAGTTTAGCATGCAGTGCGTTATTAATTAAAAAAATAAATTAACTTTATTTTTTAAATTAAGAATACGTTTTTTAATTGAGAGTTAAAAATTTCACTTCATTCAAAAATGTATTATTTTAAATCATTTCATGATTTTTCCATAGATCTTAGTTTTTATTCAATTAGCGCAATATTTGTCATACGCAATAGTTAGATAAGATGTTGTAATTTCCAAAATTATATTATAGTTGTTGTAAGATTTTTTCTTATTCGTTTCTTACTTCAGTAGTTGTGTTATTTTATAATAGAGAAGGACAGACAAGCAAAGGAATAATTTAATGGAAGTTAAAATATCCCAGCCATATTACATTTTGACAGGATATGCTGTAGAACTATTTTCGCTTCGGATATTCGCATATCCACAGACTGAAAGACGCGACTAAATTTAACGGAATTTCATCTGTGGATGGTGGTTCTTGGAATTTTTTTTACTCCTACCATCAATTATAATATCCACATTCCGGACAAAGACAGTATGTTTTAGAAAAAATATAAATTGATTTGAAAAATGTTGGACCCGGTGGGGATAAAACACACGACCCGTTGATATATAATTGCTGCCATTATACCAACGAGTGTACCCGTCAAGACTAGGGTAGATAATCAAACTAGCTGAGTTGTTGCAAACTAGATGCCCAATACGTTCAAACAAAAAAACAAACTCTTCAGCTTTATATATTAGTATAGATTTAATCTTAGTTGTATTGTTTTTTTTTTTCAGTTTTTCTTCGTCGCCGTTGCAGTTTCAATGCTGGCGTCATGTTTAGCAGCACCGGCTGAAGTTGACGATCTTAAAGATGCAGCACCACCAAAAGATGACTTGGAAACAGCCGCCTCCCATTATGGTGGCTGGGGTCATTATGGGGGCTATGGGGGATATGGGGGATACGGGGGCTACGGCGGCTATGGATATTACCCCAATTATGGCTACTGGGGTTGGCCAAGTTACGGCTATCTTTATGGGCATGGTTGGCCGTATGGTCAAGGTTATTGGTGGTAACCGAAGCCTTAAGAGTTTTAACAGCACTTGCCCAAATGTTAGTTTTATTTACGGATCTGAATGTGATAATGTTAAGAATGCTTTGCTTCTTATTAGAATTGATAAATAGTTGTACACTCCAATTACAATATAATATATTGAACAACAGACTACATTAAATGTACATCAATATTCATAGTCATGTTGTATATACGTTTGTTCACATTGTCGCATAGTAAAGTGTCAATAATTTTTTATTTATGTATTTTTTAAAATAATCTCAACAACATTTTTTGTTTGAAATAATTAAAAAAATATATAATTTCATTTTCATACTAATTTCATTTCTTCATTACATTCTCATTATATCAGTTAAATAAAACACTTAAAGTCCCGACGATTCGCCGCAGTTACTAAGTGAAACGTCGTCGGGTCAACAAGTTAATTAGCGTCTTAAACTATTAAAAGTGTTTTATTTAAACTTGTGTAAACTACAGTTAATACTTATAAAATAGGTTTTTTTTTAAAATATATTTTAATAATATTTAAATACTGCTGTAGTTTACGCTAGTACACATTTAAATAAAACACTTTAACGGTTTAAAACTCGTCTCCCAGTGACAACGGCTGCTGCAAAGCATCCGAAACATCGGGCCGTAGTTAAAATAATTTTCAAATTATTTTAACTAATATACATGTGTTTTAAACCGTTAAACTGCCTTATTTAAATATTGAACCTTTGTTTTGTCACGTCATTCATATAGTCTCGCTGATTCTCTCGTTTTGATAATTAATGCAATAATAATGTTTGAATGTTTTTTTTTAATTATTTATTAACAGCTATATACGGACATAATTTAATTTACTAGTATTAAGATACATAGAGAATAAAGTACTAAGAATCGTTTTGTGTGTTTACATTTAGTTTTACCTAATTTCCCTTTCTGCCCTCACTAATATCAATATACTAGCTGTATCAGCGACTTTTTTCGCGTAGAATAGAAATTTTGGGCACCCAATTTTGTTTTAATAAACTTCCTCTTTATCTATATGAGTTACCCACAACGTCGGTCGCGTCCCTTCGTTCTTGCAAATTCATCTTTAAAATAGACATATAGTGACGCGGACATTTTTTAGTTTATTTAAAGAGGAATAATTCTTTTGTACTTTGGGTATCTCGAACCGTTTCAAAGATATTGTTTTCGCTCGAACCAGTAGATCTAGACAATAGCGCGTTCAAACAAACAAACAAACTCTTTAGCTTTATATGTTAGTATAGATAGATGACGATAAAAGTGACTATAGAAGCAATACACTCATGGGAATTTCGCGTTTTAAGCCGTTTAAAGTGTTTTTATGTAAGTGTCAAGTGTAAAGCTATTGTAATTGTAAAAATGTTTGTTGACAGATAGACCGGCAGACAAAGTTTTAGTAATAGTTTTCGGATTGTCAAGGAAATATAATTTGCTTGTAGCAAGCGATGTATGGCTAAAGATGAATGGGTCGTGGATTTGATCCCCACCAGATCCGACATGTTCCTAATTTTTCATTTTAGAATTTCTCTGAAACATGCTGGACTACATCTAGTAACTTAGCAATTAAATGGGTTATGGGAATATAGATATTTCGAACAGATGATAAAACCGTGAATCTTAATCGCGTTTCGGTATCAGTCTGTGATTTTCCGAATATCCAAAGCTAAAAATAGGTTGAAAGCGCATCTTGTTTAGGTGCTATAGGCTGTCTCTGTCTTCTATTATTAAAAAAGAAAAGGAAGATATATTTTTCAACTTTGGAATAAGTCAGGTTCAACCGATGTATGTAAAATAGTTTTCGAGATATAAGAGATCAAAAGTTACTAAACTTTTGGGTCCAAAAGAAAAGGTTACTCACGCGCGTTTAGAAACTGGGTTGAAAGTTTCCTACAAGTATTTTAAAACTAAAATGAGGTATAGTCCATTAGTTCTTGAGCTACGACGAGACAAACAAACTGATTTTCTTGCCTAGTTAGTCTTTTGGTGTTATTTGTAATTGCAGATTATGAGGTTCGGGGTTCTAATTCTGGGGCGAACGAAATGTTAAAATTTCTAGCTTGGTAGAAATTGAAAAAAGGAGAAGACACAAGAATGACATTATTTGTTTCATATCATATAAAATTGTTGCATCTATCTATACTAATATATAAAGCTGACGAGTTTGCTTGCACGCACTAATCTCTGGAACGACTGCTTCGAATTGCTTTTTTGTATTGGTAAGAGCATTTCATTGATAAATGCTATAAAACATCGTACTGAGACCAAGAGCAATGAAACAGCGGGAAATGTAGGAAAAAGGGAAATATTAATCCTTTACCGCCCAAAACCAAAAAATAAATATGAAAATGATTTAATTATCTCTTTTAATGATCTAAAAAAATCCACACAGAGCAAACAAGAGTGGCAAAAAAAAGCACTATTCTACGCGGACGAAATCCCTGATACAGTATTTTCTATAATTACGATTATATGAGCGATAAGGCCGTCTTAATGAAAATAATTAATTAGTATTACTATAATTATATTTCATTTATTTGTGCAATAAAGTGTTTTATTATTATTATTAGCCGATATTGATAAAATTATGTAACAAACAGTTTACAATTTTCACTAAGCAAATATGTCGTGTTGCGTAATTGCTCAAACAATTTGTTTAGGCGTAAATTCAAAGGTTTTTTTTTTTGATACATTTCATTTTAAATACTGTCTATATTTTACGCGATTGTTTTAGTACACATTTAAATAAAACACTTTAACGGTTTAAAACGCGATATATTTTAGTTAAACTTGTTTGAAAATTATTTTTTACTACGGCCCGACGTTTCCTATGCTTTGCAACAGCCGTGGTCACGGGGAGTCGGAGAGTTAAAGGGTTTTATTAAAATGTGTTATTAGTCGCGTAAACTAGAGATAGTATTCATTTGAAGACTTTATTATTTTTTACATGTTATTGGACTTGAAGGCACTATATAATTTAAAAACCGAAAATAAATTTAAAAAAATTTTGACTCAGGCAGGACTTGAACCGGCATCGTCAGCGTTCCGTGCCGATGGTTTTTTTAATAAGTATTTAGTTATTTTTTTTAATGCTTTATTATTTATCAAACACATCGCATTTAACATACATTTTGTACGGTTTTCTTTTGTAGTAGTAGTTTTCCATTGTAAAATTTTTAAGTCTTATATTTATTTTTATTTATACAATTTGTCTTAGTTAGTTAGCTATGAAGTTAAATTGGAACTCTTAAATTATTATGTTTTATGTCCAAAGCTAAAGTAAGCCAGTGCATTTATATCTTTTTGTTTTTTAATGTTAGAAGAGGACTGACATGGCACTTGATGGTAGGCCTTGATTAGATGCTATAGGCCCTTGTCTATAGCATCTAAACAATATGCACTGTCGACCTTTTTTGGCTTTGGATAGGATGGATCTAGATGTTACATGGCTTGAGTATATTCAGCACGATCAAGTAAACGCTATTCTGACCTCGTGTTTTAAAAAAAACCTATTAAAACTCAACGTATAATAATATTTTTTTTAGATCTCAAATTAAATAATCTTTGATGATAGTAAAATCAACATCTTGTCATAAGAATCATTATATTAAATGTTATTTAAAGTATGAAGAAGAATTCAGTCATCCTACTGACCTTGCTTCCGGAAAGGTCAACGGAGCTGACCTTTCGTTAGTTACAAATTTATTCTCGAATCAATGTTTGGCTTCTTGACTATACGCGACATCTTCGCATAGGGTGTATTCTTGTAGTATTAGATATTCATTTTTCTTTTTTTTTTTTTTTTTTATTTATTATTGATATTTTCTGTATTTCACCCAAAAACCTACGCAAAGTCATTGTAGTTGTTACTCATTATAGTATCATAAATTTAAATTATTTAAAAGAAGAATACTTTGTTGTATTAGTTTAGCTATAACATAACTATTACCCATGTCGATATTGCAAGTTCATCTTAAAAGATAGACATATAGCGTTAAAGACGCGAAAATATTAGTTTAATTATTAAAATTATTTTAACACAGGCCCGACGTTACAGATTCTTTGTAGAAGCCGTGGTCACGGGGAGACTAATGAGCATAATTGAAACTAATATATTTCGCCATTCAAACAGGCTAACCAAGCTAATAACTATCTAAACAACTTAGGCAAATATAAAAATGGAGGAGGCACGAGGATTATTGAGAGGGACGAAGAAGCAGTGATTTTAGTCAACCTTTTTTCATTGATTAATACTATGATCGATGTTGTTTATTGGCTATCCTTGAAGTTGATGTTGATAATTTGTTTCTCAATTTACAGTAGGGTAAATCATTTCATATATCATCCTACTCACATGTAATCATTTGATATTTCTATCGCATTATGTTAAGGTAGAATACGATATTATAAATTAATTAATTTATATTCCCGCCATACTTCGATGCATCTATTTTTTTTTTTTTTTTAAATTTTTTTGTTTAAAAAACCCCCAAAAATGTTTTTAAAAAAAAAATTTTTTTTTTTTTTATATAAAAAAGGGGGGCTTTTTCCCCCACCCCCCCCCCCCCCCCCCCCCCCGGGGGGGGGGGGAAAAAAAAAAAAAAAAAAATTTGTTTTTTTTTTTTTTGGGGGGTATACTATATAAAGCTAAAGAATTTGCTTTTTGTTTAAACGCGCTAATCTCAGAAGCTACCATTTCGAAGTAATACATTATTTTTGTGTTGGTTATAATATTTGTCGAGGAAAGCTATACGCTATAAAACATTGCGCTGTGCATAAGAGCTAAGAAACAGCGAGAAATTTTGAAAAAACGGAGAGAATTATTCATCTCAGCCCACTACGCTGCGAAAACAGTTCAATACCCAAAAACTATGTTTGTAAGAATGATTCCTCTTTAATGATCTCCAGAAATGTCCGCAACGGTATATAGACGTTTAAGATTAACTTGCAAGACTGACGGGACGTCGTGGGCGCTTTATAATCTATAAA